GGAGACCCTCTCGGAGACCCTATCGGAGACACGAAAACAGAAGAATATCAAAGGCTTACCAGCAACCCATTCACGCCATCCACATCCCCTCTCATCCAAGCGGAGATTACCTCCGGCGGGACGGTTCCTCGGAATCGTTCTTTCGCCTTCTGTAAGGCGTTGACTTCGTTGACCTCGAAGCCCTCCCAGTTGTTACCGCGTATGTAGCCATACACGGCGTCGTTGACCCAGTCCGTGGCGGCCTTGCGCTTGCGAGCTTTCGAGGGAGTAGGGGGAGCGGAAGGAGGCATGGTACGAAAGGAAGGAAGGAAAGATACGGGAGATAGTAAGCTATAGGTTTGCTAAAGGAGAGAGGATACGTACGTCGAAAAACATCAAGTCGACAAACTCCCTCGGGGGTCTTATACCTTTCACATTTCGAGAACAAGACAAAAGAGACCTAGGTAGCAGCTACTAGGACAAAGCAAGAAGTCGTTACTTCGAACACGACAAAGAGAATACAGCGATATCGGTTAGAAAGGACGTCGATACATACGACATCACCTTTGTTTACATCAACGAACAATACCGCGGACAGGGCCATGTTGCAATGTCCGTGGGGAAGACAATAGAAGATAGACGCGCGACGCGTCATCGTCGTCGGCTAGGCGTTTCAGACGGGTCGACGACACCGATAGACAATAGGTTCTTCATTGCAGCACCCGCGGGCGCCGAGCAGTGTTTCCGAAAGAACCAGTGTACCTGGGCGTACAAATCGAAGGTTCTAGACGATCTCTTCGGGGACAATAGAGCGGAGGCACGAGGAGAGTCGCGGGGGTACAGACACTGGACGTTTCGAGGGAACAAAGAACTTCAAGATGAAACGTCTACTCTAGCCTCGGACTACTCGGCTACTTTGGGCAATCTGGAATCTCGCCCTAAGGGGGGGATCCTATTATAGGCATCCGCGGTACGCATGTCGTACACACGCGGGATGTAGGTTTTCACCTCGTACGGAGGTCCGTTCGGAGACTCTCTCGGAGACTCTCTCGGAGACCTATTAGGAGATGTGTTCGAAGATGTCTAACTAGCACCTTGTAGTAGTTAGACATCCGTTATTACATTTATTACCCTACCCGTACCTTCTAGTCCCGTGTGTTACTATTCAGGTTTGCTGGCAAACCTTATACTAGGTATCCCTTGGCTGCGGAGACACAATCCGCATATCCAATGGGACTCCAACGCGGTGACGTTCGGGGATGTCTGCATCAGCACGGGATGTCTCAAGAGGCCCGAGACGGTGTATGCTCTGGACGAAGTAGAGGTGGAGACACGAGGGATCGACCCGTTCAAGAAGATGAAGGGGTCTATCACGGAGGATTTGGTCGTCGCACAAATGCAGATGACCCGGGAGGACGACGAGCGGGCGAGGCGCCCGGACCTGTGGGATTGGGACGTCAAACCTACAGACTCGTTCCAGGATGACCTGGACCCTCCCGAATATATGGAGAAGCTGAGGGACATGGTACCGGAGAAGTATCATGAACATCTTGGAGCGTTCTCCAAGACGAAGGCAGATACACTGCCCCCGAAGCGATCGATCGACCATGCGATCGAACTCAAACCCGGTACGTCGCCGACGTATCAGAAGCTCTATAACCACTCCCAGCGGGAGAGTGAGGAGCTAAAGAAATGGTTGAAGGAGAATCTGGAGAAGGGGTTCATCAGGCCGTCGAAGTCGCCCTGCTCGAGCCCGGTACTGTTTGTACCGAAGAAAGGCGGCGAGATGCGTATGTGCATCGACTACCGTCGCCTTAACGACATTACGGTGAAGGATAGGACGCCCCTACCCCTCATCTCAGAGACGCTAGACAGGTTGAAGGGCGCGAAGGTCTACACGAAGATGGACCTCCGAGGCGCGTACAACCTGCTACGCGTAAAAAAGAAGACATTTGGAAGACCGCGTTTACTACACGTTTCGGTCTGTTCGAATGCTTGGTCATGCCGTTCGGCTTGACCAATGCCCCCGCTACCTTTCAGCGGTGGATGAACGAGGTCTTTCAGGACCTTTTGGATGTGTGCGTCGTCGTTTACCTCGACGACATACTTATTTACTCCTCCGACCAGGAGACCCACGATGGTCAGGTCAAGGAGGTTATGAAGAGGCTGCAGGCAAATGGCCTGTATGCGAAAGCGGAGAAGTGTGAGTTCGATACGGTGGCTACCGAATTCCTGGGGTACGATATTGCCCCGACGGGGGTTAGTATGAACCCCTCTAAGGTCAAGTCCGTTTTGGACTGGGCCCCCCCGAAGAACATTCGGGGACTGCAGTCCTTCTTAGGATTTGCAAATTACTATCGTAGGTTCATTCAGAACTACTCCAAGAAGATTCAGGGAATGACGGCCCTGACGAAGAAAGGGGTGAAGTACTCCTGGACGGCAGCCGCTGACGCTGCGTTCCGGGAATTGAAGGAGTCCTTCACCCAGGCGCCTATACTGGCGCACTACAACGAGGAGCGCCAAGTGGTGCTCGAGACCGACGCTTCCTCTGGAGCGATCAGCGCGGTAATGTCCCAGGTAGGGGACGATGGGAAGCTCCACCCGGTAGCGTTCATGTCGAAGAGCCTGACGCCCGCCGAGAGGAACTACGATGTGCACGACAGGGAACTGTTGGCCATCGTTTATTGCAGTCGGATATGGCGACATTATCTCGACAACAAGTACCCCGTTCGGATCCTCACGGATCACAAGAACCTGGAGTACTTCAAGAGGGACAAGGTATTGTCTCAACGGCAGGCGCGATGGTCGCAGCTGTTGAATCAGATCTCCTACACCCTGGAGTACAAACCGGGAACGGAGAACGGGAAGGCCGACGCGTTGAGTCGGCGGGAAGAGTTGATGGAAGAGACAGAACCGAAGCGAGCGGAGACTCTGCTCCGGCCTGTCGAAGACGCACCCTCTGAGGGGTGTAGTCCGGTTGAGCGACCGCCTTTGCGGTTGAATGGCACCATCCCCGCACTGGGCGATTGGATGGTGAAAGCGCTGATACCGGCGGCGCAGGACGATCCGGTGGCGAAAGAGCTCGTAGCGCAGCTCAAGGCGGGGACCTTGGCGAATGAGCGATACAGCCTGAGCCCCACTGGAGTTCTCCTGTACAACGGGTTGGTGTATGTTCCCAACGCAGGGAACATCAAGGTAGAGCTGATGAAGCGTCTACATGACGGGAAAGCCGCCGGCCATTGGGGGCGGGACAAGACCGTGGAGCTGACCAGTAGAGACTTCTACTGGCCTGGGATGGCGAAGTGGATCGGGGAATACGTCGCTAGCTGCAGTATATGTCAGCGCAACCGGCGACCCCGAATGAAGCCTGTCGGCGAGCTAGCGCCGCTACCGGTACCGGCAGGGCCCTACGAGTCGATCACTTGGGATCACATCACGGATCTGCCCGAGTCGATGGGGTCCAACTCGATCCTGGTGATCGTCGACCGATTCAGCAAGCGGGCGCACTTTATCGCTTGTCAAAAGGATAACGACGCCACGTTCTTGGCGCGGTTGTTCCTTGACCGATGGGTGTGTTTGCATGGGTTCCCGAAACAGATCATTTCAGATCAAGGTACGTTGTTTACCTCGCGCTTCTGGAAAGATCTGTGCCGCATGGCGAACGTGGAGAACAGCTACTCCACGGCGTTCCACCCGGAGACGGACGGTCAGACCGAGCGAAGTAACTCCACCTTGGAGCAATACTTGCGGTCGTACGTCAACTTCCTCCAGGACGACTGGGCGGAGTTACTCTCCATGGCGGAGTTCGCGTACAACAACGCGAAGCACTCTGCCATCGGGATGTCGCCATTCATGGCGTCCGAAGGAAGAGAACATACCTTCTCCCTACCGGTGCCCGGCACTAGGGAGGAGGCGGTCGAGTCGGCGGGAGAGTACCGAGACCGACTCGACGGGATCTACAAGTCGGTGAAGGAGGCGCTGGAACAAGCGCGACAAGACATGGCAAAGTACGCAAATCGGAAGCGTACCGCCGTCCCTGACGAGGGCTACAACGTAGGAGACTTGGTGATGTTATCCACCAAGAACTTGACATCGGTGCGTCCCAGCCAGAAGCTCTCTATGAAGACGCTGGGGCCCTTCCCGATCACGGAGATCGTCGGCCAGAGCAAGATGGCGAGGAGGCTGGAACTCCCCGCGCAATTACGCCGGGTACATCCCGTTTTCCACGTGTCGTTGCTTATCCCCTATCGGGCCAACGAGCTGGAGGGAAGAGAGGTGGTTGAGCCACCTACCCCCGAAGTCCTCGACAACGGCGACTTGGGGTATGTTGTGTCCGAGATCGTACACTCGAAGGCGTTACGATCCGGAAGGTCCGGGAAGAAGACCCAATACCTGGTGCGATTCGAAGGGTACGGGGACGAGTCGAACGAGTGGGTTAGCCCCGCCGAGTTCGACCACGACGACAAGGTCGTCACGGCGTTCCACAAGCGCTACCCCCATCTACCGCAGCCCGGTCGACAGGAGTACGCCGACGCTTGATGCGTTCGGAGTCCGCATCTAGGGGGGGGATCCTGTTATAGCGATCACGTGACGCGTCGGACGCGCCGTACGCGACTCCCGTATGCGACTCCCGTCGGGGGTACTTCTCGGTGTTGTTGTTCTGATGTAGAACTAGTACCTCTGTAATAGCTCTACATCCGTTATTACATTTAGATGTCTACCCGTACCTTGCCTCATTCCTGCGTCCCGTCAGCCTGTCCAGGGGGATCCCCGCCGGGGGCCGCTCCCGGGCCTTACAGTCGGTCTCTCCCATACGGAGAGAACCTAGCGAGGAAGTCGATGAGGGACGTGCTCGAGCGGGCCAGGAGATCGCGGCTGCTGTGGCCGATGGGCAGATCAGTGACGAGGAAGCTGGTCTGATGAGCTTAGCGACTCGGGCGCTCTCGATTGGGACGAGTTCGGCGGGTGTGTTTGGTTCTGTTTATTCGCTGTTGTATATGTCACTGATTCAAACGATTGTGTCATTGCTTCTTTGCTATATAGAGAGTAACGGGCAAGAACAGGCGGAGCCCGTTGTCGAAAGGGACCTCGAAGATGTCGGGATGGAGGGGCCTCAACAGGACTTCGAACAGGACGTCGATGTGCCGATGGAGGAGGACGTTCTGGCCGTCAGGACGCCAACGCCAGGCAGGGCGGGGCATGATGATGGAGGGGTGATGGACGAGATGGAGTTGGCTGGGGAGGATGGTATGTTCATGTTTCACTTGCTTGCGCTTGTTCTTTCCAGTTCGTTTTGCTAATGAATAGGATGATTGTGTCACGTAGCCGTAAGCGAGGCGGAAGAGGAGGCGGCCCCGGCCATCTCGCCGGAAAGGAAGGCTGCGTGGCTGAAGAAGTCCAGGAAGATGGCTGACCAGCGCCGTCGCTCTCGGCGTCCCGAGAGTCCTTCCCCTTTGGGCACCCGGCCGATCGCCCCTCTTGGGTCGGCGACATCTCCTCGAGCCAGACGTGAGGCTCGACAAGGGTCGGACGATCCCGACCAACGGGAGGCAGGGCAGATCTGGGCGGGGTATTGGGGGACCCGGTCCCAGAGACGGGCGAGAATGGAGGAGGAGGAGGATGAGCTTGAGTCGGTTCAAGCGTGTAAGTTAGGACTCATCACATGGCTTTCACCGTTCATGTTGCTGATGATGACTATGTATGCCTCTATCTACTTAGCTTCGGATTGGGCGAGGCCAACGCCGACGAAGAGGATCAGGAGGGTCCCCGCCCGGAATCCTCTCAGCCCAACCAAGCAGGGCACCCGGGCTGGCCCCGACAACAACACCCAGGCTGGTCCTGGACCTCAAACTCGCGCCAACCGCGCTGCCACCTCGGCCGCCTCGTCCCCGGCCAAGTCTCCTCGCAGGAAGCCCAAGCCTGCCACCTCGTCCCCTGCCGCGACGCCCACCAAGGGTAAAGGTAGGGCGACATCCACCAAGGGTGGTAGGGGCCAGGCCAAGGCTGAGATCAAGCCCGAGGTCAAGCAGGAGCCGAGTGCGGGGACGCTCCTGAACCACGCGGTAAGTGACCGATCCTCCCCGACTGGTCGGTCAAGAGTTGGTGGAGCTGATCTTTGTTGTATGACTTCTCTCAGAAGGCGAAACGGCGCCAAGAAGATCCCGGTGCGGTCGAGTTTCTCGGAGACGAGAGGTGCGACACCTGTCGTAGCCTCGGAGCCTCGAAGGGTGGGGACGAACCGTGGTGGGGTTGCTGGAGAAACCCAAACTCCAAGAAGGAGCGCTCCTGCTCCCACTGCGTGGCGGTTCGTGCGAAGTGCTCGTTCAACGACGAGCCCAGGCACGTTGACCCGCCCGCGGCAGGTCCCAGTACAACTGGGCTGAGCCAGGAGTGGGTGAACGGTTTGGCTGCCCGGCTCGACCGAGCGATCGGAGGGATGGAGGTGGGTCTCGGAGTCCTGAACTCGATGGCCGCCACTGCTCTTGGAGAGCCAGCCAACAACATGTTGGCCGAGCGGATTCAGGAGTTTTCGGCCGTGAGCGCGGACCTCCGCCGTGGTCCCTCTGGGTCGACCGCTGCCGCCGCCATCGAGGTTGAGGCTGACGACGAGGACGAGGAGGACGAGGAGGAGGAGGAGGAGGAGGAGGAGGAGAAGGAGGAGGACGAACAGTAGGACCTTGAAGGTCTACGCCTCCGGTTCTTGTTCTTATAGGATAGGTTGTATTCTACCCCGAGAGGGTTTAAGACTCAGATTCTTTCTATTTATTTCATTTTAGATCAAGGATCCTTCGAAAGATATTCATCATCGTCAGCGAGACCCTCGTAGGGGTGGTGGGGGTCCGCTACCATAGTAACGAACGCTCCTGGGGAGGGTGGATGACTGACCCGACCACCGAATGGTGGCGATCGCCGAGAACTTGGAAGATTGCCACGAGGGCAGGATCGACATCGACATCGACGAGCAAGAAGCATTGCGGGTCGAAGCCGTCGGTGTAGTTTGCGGCGGTCGTTGAGGGAGTGAACTGCGGGGTGAGTGGAACGGACTCGACTCAGACGACGGGCGTGGGTGAAGACGGCACGAAAGAACCTTCGGTGTCAAGTCCTGGACATCAACAAGAGGTACTTCTTCATATTCACCATATCCCCTAAATCCTCTGTTCGCTCGTTCGACCAGGGCGCATTCTACCTCAGGGCAACACCGACGGCAACACCAACGGTTTCGCGAGCCTGCACCCCAATGTCACCGACCATTGTCTTTCGCTCGGAACCCCTCGCCCAAATCCCCGGCTTACAAGGGCAGTACTTCTTCCAGGGTGCGCCTAATCTCTCATCATCTGTTCTGCATACCCACTTGCGCACGCTCAAGCACATAATCCGATTGCGATTGGTCACGGACACCTATCTGACTGCCGCTTGGACATGATCGGCGCACCGACCCAACGTGACCAAGCGCTACGATACTGAAGAACAAGCACATGGTCGGCCAAGACGTTCCCCTGCGCTGCAGGACGATGAACTTCGCATGGGACGATCAAGGGGCAACTATACAGGCGGCAACGTATGAGTACAACATCCTCGAACGACCCTCAACGTTCGACAACATCCTCGAACGACCCTCAACGTTCGACAACACCCTCGAACGACTCCCTTCCGTTCCCATGTCGACATCAGCATACACTCTGAACGTCCGACAACATCCCAGAACTACCCGCCCATGTCGACATCGGCAAACACCCTCAACGCCCGACAGCATCCTCGGACCACCCTCACCCTCAACGCCCTAACCCAACGCCCGACAGCATCCTCGGACCACCCTCTTCTCCAGCACGATTCCCTCTCCCCCTCTCAGACGGTCCACTCCGACCCCTACAAATGTTGTTCTGTGAGAAGGAAAGCCCGATTCAGCTCTCCCATGGGTTTCACCGACCCTCGGCCGACTGGCGGGCAAACTGGGGGGGTAGACTCACTATCGCAGCTGCACCTTGGGCGGTAACACCGATTGCCAGTGTCACGGCGCTCACGCCTGTTCGCCAATGTGGCAGGCTCAGTGGCAGGCTCAGGACGAGGGCGACCCTCCTGAGGTCTGGGCGATCGTCGTCGGCGATAGCCTCGTCCCCTTGCAGGGAGAGAGGGAGGAGGAGGTTGATCGACCGAAGGCTCAACTGCAGGCCTGACTGGAGGCGGCAACGGAGGAACCGGACCACTGCGGTCTGAGTACGCAGCTGGACGTTCGTCCTGCGGGGGAGGAACGCCCGGGACAGAGACAGGCTCGACTTGGTGCGGGATCTCCCTCGGAGGCGTCATCCCGGCTTCTGCTGCAAGACCGAATCCCTCGGGAGGCCCTGCTTGCATAAGGACTTCCCCAATACGGACTTCTCTTGCATAGGGCGGTACAGGATCATTGACATCTCCTTCTGGGTTGTCCAGATTGCCCGACCGGAACCGATTACGGATGTGACGTGAAGCCAGCAGAGGATCACCCTGCTGGATGGCCGATAACGCCCTAGCGCGACTTCCCTCATCAAGACCTTGCAACAGTGCTTGCATATCTCTCAGGGTGGCTTCTATGGCACGTCGTCTACCCCCCAGAGGTTGTGGTCGGGCGGGATTTGCCGCTATCGGCCGACCTGTCTCTCCCGCGTATTGGATTTCGGGAGTCACGGAACGTTCTTGAGGTTGCGCAATTGTCCTGCCAGAGGCGTTCTGAATACTCCTCTGCGCAGGGGTGGCGGGTCCGGGAGAGGGGCTATCCCTGACAGTCCGTTGGCTCTCCTCAATCGGACTTGGCAAACGATCTGGACGGCTATGTTCGGTTCGAGCGACCTCACCGACGACCTCACCGACCGGTCGGTCATCTGGTCGGTCTCTTGCGCTTTGGACAGCCTGCCTGTCCTCGGGGGTGTGAGCTCGAGGCTGGCTACCTCTGGGCGGCTCATCCTGGGACAGGTTGATCAAACCTAAGACGTCAGCGTCGATCGACCGCTCTCGTTCGAGAGATGCCTGACGTCCGTCAAGGTCGAATCCACTCCAACCTTCGTCAGCTTGATCATTCCATCGGTTCTGCCGCACTGCGGCGAGATCCTCTTGTAGGGGACCGGCTAGATCCTCCATGCTAGGAGTCTGGAGTGTAGCTGTAGACGCCAGGGGAGATGGAGCTGGTGTAGCCTGGTCAGTGAAGAACAGTGGCTCAGCGCGATCAACGAAACCGGCAGTCTCGAGGGACATGTCCGCCATCCCTGAAGTTCGACCAGTGCTGCTGGATGTAGAGGGACCCGACTGATGAGCCCTGGGGACCGGCATAGCATCTGGAAAGGCATCGACAAGACGAGGGGTCGGTACCAGCCGGGGAGTGGATGCTTCAGTGAAAACGGACGGTGTTGGTGATTCTCGACCGTCTCGACCGTTCCGTTCAGTGCGGTAAATCTTGTAACGTTGACAGTGACCCGTATGACGACGTTTGGAGATCATCTTGACAGACTTGCCACAGGCGATGCAGGTCCACATATCGTCATCATCCTCAACGTCTTCGTCCTCATCGTCCTTGCCCGATGCAGTGTTTTGGAGGTTTCGGATGGTCGTGTAGAACTGCCGGGAGGCTACTTCCTCCTGGTGGGTATAGTCCGGGGCGGTGTAGGTGAAATCTCGATCGTTGACATGTCCATCGACGATGTAGGCGCAGCCAGAACGTTCAAACAGGGCCTTTACCTGGTTGAACGAGCTCGACGATGGTCGGCATGTGGCAGGCTCGAACCGATGGCTGTGAGGATTGGTCTTGGCCCAACACCACTGTTCATTGATACCCTCACGCCGGAAGAGCTCCTGAACCGTTGCGGCGATAGCGGAGGCATGTGCGTTTGCAGATATCCAGAGAGGTTTCCCAAAACCCTCAGCAGCTAACCACTCCTTGACCGCCTCTGCACCCTTGCGAAGTGTCAGCCGGTCCGAAATAACAGCCGAGGATTTGAGGTAGTACACCTAGATGCAAAGATCGGTCAGTCGATTTGGAAAGGGAAAGTCAAGTTGACCGACAGTCGGCCGACTCCGGCCGACTCAGGTAACACTGACAATTGTCTCCTTCTCTTTGCAAATTGAGACGGGAGGACCAGGTGTAATCTGTGTTTGGCGGGCCGGAGCTTTCCCTTTGCGGCCACTGGTGAGATAGGAAGCGAAAGGAGAGCCCGGTCGGATGTTCTGGGACGAAGACGAAGCGGTGGAGGGGTGGATTGAGTTAAAGTTCTGGATGGTGTTTCGACTAATTGCTGGGGGGGTATGCCCTGGCATGTTGCGGAGCGTTTGCAGAGCAGAAATGGTGCTATGTTGGGGTAGCTGACCATAGCTATGCGGGCTGTGGGTAATGGAAGGAGCGGGAGGAAATCGATTATGAAAAGGACCTGTATTATCATTATTTGCGGTATTATGGGTCGTGCCGGGTATCATGGGGCTATACGACCCCTGGCCTAGTGTAGATGGTACCTGAGGCGGTGCAGCTTGTCGTAAAGCTGTCTGTACAGCCTGCTGTATAGCAGCGGCCAGGTCGGCCTGACTTATGGTGATTTGTTGGTGTGAATCGTTGTGTTGAGGCATGGTAAGGGGGAGCGAATAGAATAGGTACTGAATGGCAAAGTACGTGTGAGGATTCTAGATGTGACTATTGATATGTAACAAGTTCATGAACTGGAGTCGGCCGATGGAACGGCCTGAACGATTGACCCTACATGTCGAGAGGTAGATTGTTGGCTGATGGATGTAGCGTACGTAAAGTTCGATGAAAACGATGTAGAGTAAAGGATTAAACGATGTCGAGCTTGATACTAAACGTTGTCGAGTAAACGAATAAACGTTGTGGGTTAAACGTTGCTGACTAAACGATTACGAGATTTACTAAGTCACGTGTAAAGTGGTCCTTTTGGCGCCTCATAGATTTCGGGGGACGGAAGATGGCTTGGCGGCTGTGGCCGATAACGGGAATCGATAATCACGTGAGAGAGAGAGGGGGATCCTAGAGCTTTCCGAGGCGTTTCACTTCTCAGCTGCTCGAAGTGGCTGTCACTTGCAAATGGCCGCCTCTTCACCTACCAATTTTATACACATGACCTGATCTTTCCCTCATATCTACGGTACAATTGACCACATGAAGAAACAATTGAAAGGAATCTGTCATCCATAACTAACTTAAGCAGAAGGGTTTACCTTGCCTAGATCTTTGACTTTCCAATCCTTGTTGACAACACCCTTCAAAATGCCCTTCTTGCGTAAAGCCCTTCGGATGCTGCTGACATCAAAGCCGATGAGAATACTCAAAGGCTTTATTGTCTGTACAGTAGCAGACTTCACCCACTTCCCATTGTATTTGAAGCAGGTATCATCTAATCGTTCCACGCGGTAAAGTTTTGCATTTGCAGAGCTGAATGATTGTCTAGCCCTGGTTGACTTCGAGACAGGACCTCGTCTATTATTAGCCTCACTCCGCCTTGTTGATGAAAATACTGGCTCAGCCTCCAAGTGCTGTTGGCTTTTTGCAGATAGCAATGCTTCCTCAACGTTCTTTTCTGATCCCTTGGGTTTCAAGGATTGAGGGCCAGACACAGTACTATTGAGACCAGCAGATACAATATCGATCCCAGAAGCGCTGGTATCACCAAGCATTGACTCATGATGAACGATTGTACCATGATATCGGTGTTCATGGGTCCGGCTGCATTCTGAATGCGTTGATTCGACATAAGCCGTATCCAAATCATGGTGTGATGTCGTCTTGATGTGATCGCACACAGTTGTTTGGGAGTTGGCTCGATTGATATCAGCTACTTGACGCAGACCCGAGTCTGCATGGCATGAAGGATTTGTTTTGCTCAATTTTGTAACCAGCCATGTACCCCAGCGTATTTCGGTCTCTTCCTTGGCATGCTGAAGGGCCATGATACTGACTCCAGTAAGATCAGAGACAAGCTTTCTGGTGTGTATTATGGCAGACTGCAATGATTGACCAGCCAGAACGAACCTCTCCTCGCCGACTCGTCTCACACGAAATGATCTGATACGTCGATGGACCTGTGTGTTGTTGCCAGCAAGTCTCACATGAGCCTGTGTGTTTTCCACAAGACCAGGTCCTTGAGTTTGAAGGCTCAATTGTGAAATTTCTGGGCCAATCAACTGTATGCTTCGTTCCATTCCAATGGACAACAAGAATTGTTGATCTTGACAGGAGGTCATGTCCAAGACTGTGGGATCATGAACAGATCCCAGACCTTCATTCTGTGATGTTGTGAAGTTGCAATCTTGGGTCTGCATTGACTGCTAATGACCCATGTGACCCAGGTCCCAGTTTTGTTCTCCTGCAAAGTACCGATCTGAAATGAACGGAGCGGATCCAGCATGCATAGGGTCAACAGATTCCAGTAAGCCCTGATCCAGACCAACAGTCGAATACTGTTCGTCAGCTTCTGTTCCATGCTGATAAAGACCTTCATATGGCGACATCATCGGCTGATACAGGCACGGTCCTCCCATTGTATCACTCAATATCGATGGTGGATAGAACTGGGGATCGATCGACAGATCAAACCCTTCAGTATACTGTTCTGTCCATCCATCCATGTTCGATTCTAGCGGAAATCTTGTCATATGTTGGGAAAGGTTAATGATGCGATGGTTGACTGCCAAGTCTATCTTGTTTCCCTGTTTATTGTGACCGGAGAAGAGCAATGGCTGTCGAACCGTTACTTCATGGTACGATTGTGCACCCCCTCTTCCTGCCATCAATATATATATATAAAGGCTGATCGACAAAGGAACGCTCTTTTTGTGCGTCGAGAAGCCTTCTTGATACCTAGGCTACGATATCACCTGGATAGCATGCACGTGACTCGCAGGGACAGAAACAGACGGACATGTAGAAAGAACGAAGTAGCAATGTCATACAGCCAGTGTTCTGCATGATCGACTCTGTAGGAGGTGGCAAACTTGTATGCCGAACGTATGTTTCGATGCAACAAATGCTACCTTCGTCCAAACCCTTCCTGTCCCTAGCATAGGGTTGCGTTCGCGATCATTCGACTATTATACGTCTATTTTTCAGAGTGCCACGTTTTGCTAGTGAATTGTTAGCAAAACTCGGCAGCAAACAAAATTACGCAAGCACTCGAAAGTAGACCGTTCGTGACGAAGATATGTCTACTTTGAGCTGAGACTTCTCGACCAATATTCGAAGTCGACATCGGAGGTCGACAAGAACGTCGACATACCTAGGTCGACGTCTTGTAGCTGTAATATCTCATGAACGAACTATAAATATAGCTATGAACTACAGCACAGATGACGAGGACGAGGACCAGTTCCTCATAGACGCTAATTCCGCCACCGTAGATTTATTAACGGCCGCTTCGCAAGCCTACGTTCAAATCGTTCGAGGTATCCTCGAAAGGCCCCCCCTCCGACCTATTATACATAGTCCCTTCTCAACGGCTCGTATCCTTCTTCAGACGGTCGGCGGACACCCTATGGCTTGCCACAACGCTATAGGAATGTCTGCCAGTTGTCTCGAACGAATTACCGACGATATCGACCAGCTACATCGCATCAAACCCACCGATAACGTCAGTTTACAAGCGAAAGTTGCGATGACCCTATGGATGTTACGCAAGGCAGCGTCAAACCGTCTGACCCAGCAATACTGGCAGATTTCGCAGGCCAGTATCAGTAAGTAAGTGCCTGCGAAGTGGGGCCGGCCGGTTCGCCCGACGACTTGATCAATACTGTCAAATCTAGATATTTTCACGAAGTTATCAACGCTATGTTCGACGTTCGATTCTACGGCCGCTACGTCAAACAACCGACAGCCGACGACCTTCCCCTCCATGTAGACAAGTACACAGACCGTAAATACCGCCACCTTACCAAACGCTGCGTCGGTGCGATCGATGGAACGCAAATAATAGCGACACCTCCCTCCGACGACTCCGCTCGATGTCGAAATCGAGCGAAGTACCTCTCGTTCAACGTTCTCGCTTGCGTCGGCCTCGACGGTCTCTTCACCTTCATACTAGCTGGCTGGGAAGGTAGTGATCACGATAGTAACGTTTATCGAGCAGCCGTAGAACGAGGACTGAAGATACCGAACAATCACCACCTACTAGCCGACGCCGGCTACGGATTGAGCTCAAATCTACTGACCCCGTTCCGTGGGGTCAGATACCACTTGAAGGAGTGGTCGCAGTCACAGAACGGGTGAGTACACCAGCCAAAACGTGACAGCTCGTTCTCAGGCCAACCCCATCGCTCGGGTCGATGAAAACGCTGACGATTTCGTCGGATGTTTAGATCACCCCAAAACGAGAAGGAACTATACAACCTTCGACATTCTAGCTGCCGTAACATTATAGAGAGGTCGTTCGGTATCGTCAAGAGTCGTTATAAGGTTCGTAGCTATCGTTCTGCCGTCGTCGACCGAGAACGAACGTTCTCCGCCCGCGATATCGACGTACATCAGCATATTCGAAACTTACCGAGTCGTCTCGTTCGCTACCGTTTACTATAGGTTCTCAAATACGGAACGGTCTACCCTATCGCCACGCAGGTTAAGATCATCTACGTCTGCTTCGCCCTCCATAATATCATCGAATTGTACGGGGAAGACGGTACCGAATACGACGACGACGGGAACGTTGTAGGCGAGGTCGACGTCAACGTACCACCACCTCCCCCACCCCCTCGAGAACGACGTCCGCCACCGGAAGAAGATAGGCTAGCTGTCGAGAGGCGTGGGAGGATAGCGAGAAGGATGTATAGAGAATACGTCGACTATAACAACGGTCGGAACTAATCGATCGATGTAGTATGGCTATTATCGACGTGGATTCGCTCTCGTAGATCGTGTCGGCTGTCGGCTAGCCTCTTCGTCTTCCTCCCTTCGCTGTTCCATCTCCACCATACGTTTTACGCTGTTGGCGAGGAGTACGTCGGGGGTAGCCAAGAAAGCGATACCTCGAACAGGCCGGTCGGTGAAGTGATTGACGAGACGGTTGTAATCGACGTCGCTGAGCGAGAGTTTGGTAACAACGTCCGCTAGCTTCTTAAACACCCTCTCCATCTGCTTCTCCGGGTCTCGTTTAGCTAGGTCCTCCATGCGTTCGTCTAAACGATCTAGTCGTTCGATTAGATCAGCCTGAACTGAAGTACGTTGACGTTTGGTGGGAGTTCGTCGGGAGGGGGTAACCTGGACCTCGGGGCCTGAAGATTCGGTGCTGTGTGTGTTTGGCTGTTGAGTACTAGTCGGTACACCCGCTTCAGGCTCAAAACGAACCTAGAATCATCCGATTCCGGTTTGGGCCGTTGTTATAGCGACACGCGCGTACGCCGAACTCGAGCCGTACCAACTCCGGCGGAGTTGTTCAAGGAGCATATCGTATTGCATCACTTTGTATCAGCATTGTAGTATATAGTCTTTCATCTGTTATTACATCTATATACCCTAGTCCTACGTTCTACATTACTCCCGGATATGTCCTCGCAGGTATACATCGAGCCGGTCTTCCCTGGAGCCTTCTCGACGCCTAACAGAATAACAGATCATCCGAGTTCCCCGAGTAATGACTTGAACGTAGCAACTGGAGAACCGTTGGTGCTGAGCAGCATAGGTTCTCCCTCTCGGCCGGAGGCTCATATTACGGTCACCGGCACCTTCTACCCGAATGGTACTCCGACGGAGACGGTCTTGATGATCGACTCAGGAGCGACCAGTTTGTTTATAGACACCGAATTCGTCGAGCAACACGGATTCGACCTCATTCCTTTAGAACGACCCCGACCACTCCTGGTCATTGATGGGAGAGAGATCTCTTCCGGTGCAGTTACACACCGGGTACAAGCTAGACTACGTATCGGTAGACATACCGAAACGGCGTACTTCTACGTATGTAGCCTCGGAACTTTTACAACGGTGCTCGGCCTACCATGGTTGAAGGAGCACAACCCCCGAATTGACTGGGAAATGAGCGCAGTAGCGTTCGAAGATAAGTGCGTCCAGAACGGATGTACACCAGCAAAAGAAATAGTATACTCCCCCGTGGATTACGAAACGGAGGAGAAGGAGTTACGTTCGACGGACCGAATCAAAGGAGGGGTCACCGAAGAACTAGTAGTGGCCTATCTCAAGGCCAATGATGAAGAAGAAGAGAGGGTGAGGCGTCCCGACTTATGGGATTGGGACGACAAGCCAGCGGAGAGTTTCCCGGGAGACCTGGACCCTCCCGAATATATGGAGACGCTACGGAAGGTGGTACCGGAGAAGTACCACGCTTTCCTCGGAGCGTTCTCCAAGACCAAGGCCGACGAGTTGCCGGCACATAGAGACTTCGATCACTCGATCGACGTAGAGGAAGGGAAAGTACCCCCCTTCGGAAAACTCTACAACCACTCCGAAAAGGAGAGCGCCGAATTGAAGCGCTGGATCAAGGAGAACCTTGATAAAGGTTTTATCAGGGCTTCGACGTCACCCGCCGCAAGTCCCGTATTGTTTGTCCCGAAGAAGGGAGGAGAGCTCAGGCTCTGTATTGATTACCGGCGTTTGAACGCCATTACCACAAAGGATCGGACCCCGTTACCGCTGATTTCCGAGACGCTCGATAAGTTAACGACAGCGAAGGTCTATACCAAGTTGGACCTCCGAGGAGCGTACAACTTGCTACGAGTGAAGGAAGGGGACGAATGGAAGACAGCTTTCCGTACTAGATACGGACTGTTCGAGTGTCTGGTGATGCCGTTCGGGTTGACGAACGCTCCGGCGACGTTCCAAAGGTGGATGAACCATGTGTTCAGGGACCTTCTGGACGAGTCCGTCGTAGTGTACCTGGACGACATCCTCGTGTTCTCTCCCGACGAGACTACGCACGAGAGACACGTGAAGGAGGTGCTGCGAAGGCTACAAGAAAATGGGCTGTACGCCAAAGCAGAGAAGTGTGAGTTCCACACAACAGACACGGAGTTCCTTGGATACGACGTGTCTCCGGGAGGGGTGAAGATGAACCCCTCCAAGGTGTCGTCCATAGAACAATGGGCGGCGCCTCGAAACCTGAAGGGACTACAGTCGTTCCTAGGTTTCGCCAACTACTATCGGAGATTCATCACGAACTACTCCCAGAAGATACAGGGGATGACGAAGCTCCTGAAGAAAGGAGTGCGGTTTCAATGGAACGAAGCTGCAGAGACTGCGTTCGTAACGCTGAAGAAGGCGTTCACGCAGGCGCCTATACTGGCGCATTTCCAGGAAGATGCAGAGGTAACGTTGGAAACGGATGCCTCGGCCGGAGCGATTGGAGCAGTGATGTCGCAGAGAGGTTCGGACGGAAAACTCCGACCAGTAGCGTTCATGTCAAAGTCGTTAACTCCCGCAGAGCGGAACTACGACGTTCACGACAGAGAGATGCTGGCCATCGTCTACGCCTGCAAGATATGGCGACACTACCTGGAGGGACCTCACCCTATTCGGATCTTTACCGATCACAAGAACCTCGAGTACTTCCGAACGGAGAAGTTACTGTCGAGGCGACAAGCAAGATGGTCTCAGCTGTTGAACAGTCTGAGCTACACCCTGGAGTACAAGCCGGGGGTGATGAACGGCAAGGCCGACGCCTTGAGTCGGAAGGAGGAGCTCCTAGAAGAGAGCGAACCAAGACAGACCGAGACGATGCTACGGCCCATGAATCTCTCGGCTACAGCGCGGGAGATTCCTCCGCATCTACAGATCAACGGTACCCTGCCAATTCCCGGCGAGGACCTCCGGAGAGACCTGTTGCAAGGTTACGAGGCGGACGAAGTAGTCAAGGCCATCTTGGAGAAGATGGAGAGGGAGCCCAACGAGCAGGGTCCCTACAAGAAGGATGGCGAGGGGTTCCTGATCTACAAGGGACTCCTGTACGTCCCTGATGTGGAGTCGGTAAGGGTCCGACTGATGAAGTACGTTCACGACGGCAAGCTCGCGGGGCACTACGGGCGAGACAAAACGGAAGACCTCCTCTCGAGAGACTTTTATTGGCCCCGAATGAGAGACTGGGTAGGCAATTACGTGGCCTCATGCTTGACGTGCCAGAAGAACCGCCGTCCCCGACAAAAGCCGATCGGAGAATTGGCCCCTCTACCTGCGGCGAGGAAGCCGTGGTCGTCTATTACTTGGGACCACATCACGGACCTCCCCGAGTCATTGGGCCAGGATGCAATCCTGGTAATCGTCGACCGCTTCAGTAAGCGGGCACACTTCATCCCGTGTCGAAAGGATAACAACGCCTCGTACCTGGCGAAGTTATTCTTCTCCCACTACGTCAAGTTGCACGGTTTCCCTGATCAGATCATCTCGGACAGAGGAACATTGTTCATGTCTAGCTTCTGGCGGGATGTATGTGCTTTTGCGGGTGTCGAGAGGAGATTCTCGACGGCATACCACCCGGAGACTGACGGGCAAACGGAGAGGAGCAACTCGACGTTGGAGCAGTACCTGCGGAGTTACGTGAACTTCCAGCAAGATGATTGGGCGGAGTTGTTGCCTCTGGCGGAGTTCGCCTATAACAACTCCAAGCATTCCGCCATAGGGATGTCGCCTTTCATGGCCTCCGAGGGGACTGACCACAAGTTCACCATCCGGATGGCCGAAGTACCCAATGAAAGCGCGGATGAGTTCAGGGAGCGACTCTCGAACATCCACGAGTCGGTACTCCGGGCATTGGAGCAAGCAAGGGTGGATATGGCGAAATACGCCAACAGAAAGAGGCGACCCGTTCCCGACGAGGGAATGGAGGTCGGGGATCAAGTGATGTTGTCTACGGACCACATCAAGACGGTTCGTCCAAACAAGAAGTTGGACTACAAGACCCTCGGACCTTTCAAGATCGCCGAGGTCGTGGGAGATGCGAAGATGGCGCGAAGGTTGGAGCTTCCCGAGCAACTGCGGCGGGTACACCCCGTGTTCCATGTCTCGATGCTGATCCCGTACAAGCGGAACGAGCTACCCTCGCGGGAACAGGTCCCGCCTCCTCCTCCAGAGGTAGTGGATAACGGTGACACCCAGTGGGTAGTATCTGAGATCGTAGATTCGCGGAGCAGGAAGCGGGGACGTCAGACGCGTACCCAATATCTGGTGCGGTGGGAAGGTTACGAGGATGAGTATAACGAGTGGGTACATCCGGAGGACTTCCACCATGACGACCAAGCGGTGCTGGATTATCATCGACGATACCCAAACAAGCCAAAACCTGCTTTCGAGGAGTACGGCGATGCCTAGGGCGTTCGGAGCTCGCCCGTAACGGGGGGATCCTGTTATAGCGACACGCGCGTACGCCGAACTCGAGCCGTACCAACTCCGGCGGAGTTGTTCAAGGAGCATATCGTATTGCATCACTTTGTATCAGCATTGTAGTATATAGTCTTTCATCTGTTATTACATCTATATACCCTAGTCCTACGTTCTACATTACTCCCGGATATGTCCTCGCAGGTATACATCGAGCCGGTCTTCCCTGGAGCCTTCTCGACGCCTAACAGCCGTTTCCCCATCGCTTTCGCCGATTTCGATGTACCGCCGGGTGTTTGAGAAGGGTCGATAGCGAAAGGGTCGATTGCGAAACGACCGTCGGGGGTAGTCTTTGAAACGAGGTCATCTAGCAATAGGTAGAGTTCATTACTCCGGCCTCGCAGTGCGTAGAGTGCTAGATTGTCCTTCATCTGCGAGATATAACGGTTGATAAGTCAGATCGTTCTCTGTGTTTGGGCAGACGATCTTCGACGACGCAGATTTTTAGGTTACGTAAGGGTGATCGTACGCATATTCGAACGACGTCAAGAACGTTCGACACGTCGACATACATCGTCAAACATCTATCGAACGCTGTACTTACTCCAGACTCCTTCAATTCGTCCCACGCACCATCAGGGAGGCTCAACGTATTCATCTCTTCGTCAAATCCGGCACCTGACTGGCTGTAGCGTTTCAACAGCGTGTTCCAAGGCTTCCACCCGTCGTTCTTGAGCTATAGGTCGTCGGAAGTCGTACGTCAGTTCTAGCTATTCGGTACCGACGTTGTGAGCGATGTACCTTGTTAAAACGGAACTTAGCTGACTTCTCGTCCTTCTCCCCACCCTTACTACGTATCTTGTTCACCTCAGCGGCGACTGACGCCCACGTACCTCGTTTGAAACCGTTATCGGCCCGTCGACCTCGACGTTGTTCCTCCGTAAGCAGTTCTAACATCAAACGATCGTCCGCTAACGTCCACTGAGCGTTCTTACGACCTCCCTCGGTCTTTACGGTACCAGCAGGACCTCCCTTATCGACCTGCGTCACCTCGAAACCTTCCGTCGCCATCGAAGGGGGTGTTTCAAGCGAAATCACCTCGACTATCGACATATCGTCAAACGACGTCGTTCCCCTCCCTAACGGTTGTCGACTACCTCCTCCTGGGTGTCGGGAGACGCCCTGTCGCTGAGAATCACTAGCAATAACGTCTGGGTACATCGTAGCGTCGGTATAGGTCGTTTGGGAGGTGAAATCGGGAGATATCGTGGTATTTCGAGGTTCGTAAGTACAATTCGTGTTCTGCGTCGTGGTTCTACAAACCCCAACTCCCCTACCAAAACACTAGCCGGCCCTGGGTTACCCAAACCGCAATTGTAGACGCAAAAAATCAGGTCTCGAGCGTCGATTCTCGGCGACTATAATCACACGGAATGCCACATGGTCTGAGCGATACGTAATCGGTAACAATTCACTAGCGTCGGCGTATCAAACTAGCCAGTTGCCCGTTTGGGCCTGTTCTAGACGTATAATAGACGCATGTCGACGTCGCGAACGCACCCTAGATCCGATCCTCTATACTGTGGAGTCAACGATCGAGTGACACGAGATCCCCCACATTACATGGACGGGCCCTATCATCCCTATGGATCTGACAATCATCTGGTGAATCTGACAATCATCTTGACCCGGAGGTTGATCTTTACCCGTGAGCCCACACACAAGTCTAGGATTACTGCTCTGTTTCATCGCTCAGGGATGTTCGTGTAGTATCGCAACATCAGAATGATTGACTCGTGACGGGGGTAATACACGGTACATCTGGTATTGATCCATCGTGATAGCCGCTGTCCTACTTCTATGTCTTGCTTCTCTCTATTGAGGCCATTATGCACTCCAAAATTATGTCTAGAATGAATGCTGAAATCGATACTGCCACATGCTCCGGCGTGTAGGTGAAATCGCTCAACAGATTCTTCTGCAGATCGGCACCAGTGGCAGCCGTTGGTATTTTAAATGAGGAGGGTTTGCAATGACCATAATCACGCTGGGGTGGCTTGCTATTGCACTGGGCCGTCAACCCTTCGACGCGCGCTCTGTGGTATCTCGTTTCACTCCCCGCGCAGGACGTTCGTGAGGGCGGAGAACGTACATGATGTCGTCCTTTACGTGTCAGAAGCGCGACCTGGACTTTTCTATAGTGCCAGATCTGACGAGATATTAGCATATATAGTTGCCTTTCCCGCGAGATTGTCTGCTGCATCGAGCAAGATTTCTTGAGTACTCAAGCACGGTCTTTCCCGCCCATCTCGCGCAATGCCTTCGGATCTTAGTAAAAATCTGCAGCAGGAAGGTCGAGTGTTACTTCCTGCTCCTGTCCAGCCGCTGAACACTGGCGTCCTCACTGATCCCCGTCATGGTGTCACCTTTGCCCGTGTCCCAGTTCATCAGGATATACCTAAGTGGCTGCGAGGCGCGGATTTATCAAAGCTTCGGAAAGAGCTGCCTAGGCCTTTTACGACGGGGTCGTTGGTGCGAAGTCCGGCTCAGGCCGAGTTGATCGAGATGGATAAGCGGAGTGGTTGGGTTCGTCCTCGTAAGTGCAAGTTATACTATTCTGCCCGACCCCCATACTGAGACGTTCAAGCAGTTCATTGACCCTTAAACCCGTGCGACCTGATTTTATGGATCTAGCTCTTTTCGATCAAGACGTGAGGAATCGATCGGCTACGTCCGGAGGCTTTACGAGCTCTCGACCTTGTACTCTTGTAGCGTTCACTAATACTGCCGAATCGTCCGAAGAGGTGGATTTGAGCAGGAGTTTGTGTCGGACAGAAGCGGTGACTCACGATCTGGAAAATACTGAAAGTGCAAGGACTTATGGCCCATCTTGGAGGATCAGTGGGGAATCAGGCAGTCAGTGTCTTGTATCACGAAGCGCTGTGGAGAACAAGTAAGGTTGGCTTGGATTGATGGGTATTTTGATTGTTGATCTTTCGGTTGAGAGGATGAAAGGAGGCTCGAAAGCTGTAGTCAATATGCAGCTTGACTTCATCACTCCTGGATGTAACGATCGAGCCATCTTAGCTTTGAAGGTAATGTTGCGAATCAGATACATCGCTCTAAGCATGTGAAATGCGGTAATGTAGAGTGATAGTCTCACTTCCTAGTCTGCTCCTGTTACGGCTGATACGCCCGTGGTACATATTCCGCTTTCGACTGGGAGTAGCACTTCTCTACCAGTCGATCATGTCCTCTGGGATGAACGAGCGTGTGTTTCCCTGCCGTACCCGTTGTATGTAAGGGAAGCCCTGGGAAAAACCTGGAGTCGTCATGTCAAGTGCCATAAGACTGCACTCCTGACTCGCGACGGAACATAGGATAGTTTCGTTACCAAATCCCACGAATGGGTACAAAGGAATTCAGGTAAACGATGCTTCTCGGCGTGATAAGCGGATACACCGTTGTCGATCTGATCGATCGATCGATCTTTCGAACAGCTATGTCCTCGACGCAGCTTCGGGGCAGAATTCGAAGATAGGTTATTGCAATGAAACAAGAGTAGCGAAACAGAAAATGACCCGCTTACGCCCGCAAGCTGTATATCGACATGAGGAACAGCCTGACCATGTTGCTAATGATAGTATTGAGAAAAGGAACGTTTATGGCATGCAACAAGAGGCGCAGAGTCAAGGACGGCGATAAGGAGGTTTTTAGGAGGATGAGTTCCCTTTCATGCTTGTAAGGGGTAAAAGTGATGGTCTGATATCATCGATCGAAATTTGTTATTCAACCAACCTGCCTGTCAAAAATTACGCGCCTATATATATCGACTGTGGCGGCGGGGCAAAAGACCTAGACAAGGAGAGCACAAGCGTAAGCAAAAGACCTAAATTTACCTGAACGATCTCGATATATCGGAACAACAGTTAACATTGGCCACTCGCATAATGGCACGAACCGATAGATCTCCCAGGGAATTGGAAGTATTGGGCGGACGCAAGTCACGTCATGACGTGACCTGGCCCCGAAACGCGGAATCCACCAACGGGCAAGGCTCTAGCATTCAACCAACCGAGCTCGAAGGAGACATTACGAGCATTACTTCGCCTATGCAGTCGTTGTCTGTACACTCGGATGACCTTGGCAGCCAGTCCTCTCAGTCGTTGTCTCGGCATACTAAACGTACTTACGGAGAGGCCGTGTCACGAGACGATGAACCGGATCCCCAACAGCGTGACTCTACGCCTGCCGGACATCCCTCTCGTCTCGGTGATACCACAGTAGGGAAGCATCAACCCGACATCTTGGAGACGAACATCTTGTTCAAAGAGGAAACCTATGAGACGGACGACGGGACCGATCGCCTATTCAGAAACTGCAGCCGCTGGTCTGACCGCAGCAAACGACGTAAAAGGTACATCTCCCCAGGTCACGAGACTTCGTCGGCGACTCATTTCTCGGCTGATGATCGGCACCACCGGGCACCTAAGAAAAGACCGCTCAACTCAGTAGCTTTTGCAGGGATTCATTCCGATGAAGACGAGTGAAGAATTTCATTGGGTATCACTTGCATGTATAACCGCTTGGCGACACGTATATCATATCAGATACGTAATGATGACCGTTATAGTCTCGTCGGCCTAGGAGTTCCTGATCGGCTGATCTCACATTCGCGTCACACTTGAGTTTGGGAACAAGCGATGGTGTTCGTGATGGAGGACTATTAGACGTCGCAAACATACGCGCTCACCCTGACTGTACTGGTACCTCACCCTGATGTTCAGCGCATAGAGCTTTTGTCTATCGTGCTAGAAGTGGAAAATCACAGATTCCCAATACACCATCCAAAACAGCTTCGGCGGAAGAGCAGTACGCCCATTTCTGCATGACTCACAAGAACCTTTTGAACGTGAACTTCTGCCTTGAAGAAGCTAGCGATGACCTCATTCCTTTTTGAGTCAGGGATAACGATTCAAGCGGTCGGAACCTATCTTGAGATGTTTCGCCTACCCGATAGATTCATAACAGCTGTCAAGCTTTGCCAAAGGGGATGCCGTCATTTACATCCAATCCAGGCTTGAAGCGATGGTATTCCGTCACGACCCGGTTAAACATCCCTGCTCGGAACGTTCTCCTGGCCGAGATCTAAGCGATACACATTATGCGTCGACAAATCTCTCTGTTGTCAAGCCAACGGAAGCGCGACCGTAACAAGCTATCAACAAAGGATCATGGTGAAAGGAAGTTTTCGGTATGCCACAAGTGTAAGGAGGTCTCGAAAGGAAAGAGTCTCCTTTCATCTTCGGTAGAGGTGAACACCGCCCACTGCCAGTGGGTTCGAGCATTGAAATATCACCTTGCGCCAAGATGCATATATATCTTGAGCTTCGATGCGCAAGACAGATTACGCACTTCATTCTCGTCTAAGTAAGCAATCCACACATCGATCGGCACATCAGTATGTCGCAAGCAGAGCCGTCCACCATGGCTGCCGAGATATTCGCGCGACAACACAGGGCGTCGAGAGGGTTGGGAGAGCGGAAGCCACCTCAAACCAGTTCTTCACTCCGAACCTCGATTTCGGCCGACTACAAGGAAAGCGATACCCGCCAGCCGGAAGATGAAATGTTCACCGCTATAACACAATCGCTCGACACACTATCTGTGGGCTCTAAACGCCCTCGCAGTCATGAACCGGAAATCGACGATTACGGGTCTGAGCTTCTCAGTGATGCATCTGACGCTGATGATTCGGATCTCGGGCACTCTAGCCAGTGTGCTGACGAAAATCACAAGAAAACGGATGAGGCGTATAAGTTCAATAGGAAAAGGTTACTGGCTCGAAGGAAAAGACGTCGTTATTTTGCCGAGGGGAGCGAGACTCAAGAGTCGTTGGGCACTACAGCTCATGGAAGTGAAGGATCTTCTACTGGGAAGAAATGACCTTGGGATAGGGGGGGATAGATGGTTGCCTTGTATCACGCCTGCAATAAAAATCCCTTGAGAAAGGGCCGATTGAAAATGACGTTATTGATTGTGATCGATGACACTAATGGTTCAACATCGTGTCTACCACGTCATTGTCTTCAGACCGATTTGAACAGATGTGTATGATCTTGTCTGTGGGCCCTTGAGTATACATTACTATACAATGATCAAGCCGCACAACTATTTCGAACAGGGTCCGCCGTGGCCCTCCTTCCCATCCTTTCTGGTTCATGGATAGCTGATGCGGTTGTATTGTCTCCCCTCCTGTAATGCAGCGGTAACGCACTTTGAAAATCATTCGTATGCTCGCAAGGGTCAGATGAAGATCGTAAGCTATCCCAAGCAGCAAGATACGTTTGACAGCTTGCCATGTTCGCTGCAAGCGTACGTAGTGGAGAACAGACCAATATCTCACTCATCCACAACCATCTCAATAGACACTCCAACCTTCCAGCAGCACTTGATGACGGCAAGCAATCCCGTAGTCGGTGTTCCTCGAAGAACCTGGCAACCCGGGATTTTCAGATAACCCTCGTTGTAGCGATATTTGTAGGCAGGCGGCCTGACTGACGGTTCAATGATATATCGGGGTGAAGATTTCTTGCTCATCGTAAGATAGGCGGTTGTAAACCTGCGCCATGAAGACCAAGAGAAGTTCGTGATAGCTATCACGAGCGCTGTACACCGGTCACTGTTAGTCTGAACCAGCGGTTGATTCCCGGTTGTCGTGGCTTGCGCTTGATGGCTATTTTATCCACCAAAATTGGTTCCGATGTTTCACGGACACCCGTAGACGGCTCAGATTCGGTCAGAGGCACTATTCGCTGCGGCAATGTGCGTGCCACCCTGTCTTGGAGAAGGGAATGATCTAGCTGATGAACTAGGCTCATGATCGGCAGCAAGTGGCTTGCGTGGATAACCACGGGTTTGGAGCGCCAGGCGAGATCACGCGCCTTCCGGCTGAAACGGCCCTTCCATTGATGACTAGGGGTCGCGTGTGTCGCTGCAGACGATGCATACCAGCACGAGCTGATATATTCGAGTAATCTTGCCCTTTTGAGCTTTTCAAGCGGGTATATAGACTACTCTGTCTAGAAGATAGACAGACATAGCCGCGTACACCATGTCGATGACGCCGAACCAATCGAACGAAGCGAACAAGCCTTTGCTCGAAGGTGACGGGACAAATCAAATCCTAGGAAAAATTCAAAGCCTCGCTCAATACTATGGAAGCATTCACTTCGCGCGACCCGACTTAAGAGCCCTAAGCTCTACAATCCAACCCCTTTGCAGCGGGTGAAGTTAGCTTACCCCACTGCCAGACAGCTAATCGACTCAGACCCCTTGTTGCGAGAGCTCGAGCGGGCGATGACAGAATCCCTTTCTGCTGACGGCGGTACGCCTGGCTCCGTATTCACTTCTTCTGAGCCCGTGCAACGTGCATGTGGATCCCCAAACACCAGCACTGTCTCATGCACAAAGAGATCCTTTGGGGAAATTGACGAGTGCTGCAATAGTTCCAAGAGGCCAAGATTCGACTGTTGATCGGACAAAGGCATCACATAGTGAGCGATGGTTGATCGATCTCTCGGCATTCGCCTATCGGGAATGGCAAGGCTCTCTGATTAGTGTCCAGAATAGAAGTGGAAAGAAATTAGCATTGCCCCTAGCTTACTGCAGCCGCGAGGATGTAGCTTCTCGGATACTCCTTTGTGATACGTGATATCGAGCGATCGCGCAATCTTCGAGAAACAGACTTTGATTATTATGGGAGAATCCTTTGCGTAGATGGCGCGGTTTTATCCGTTATCAGGATCACTGTCTTCGTCGCTATGATGGGGATCTGAGAGTGTGGAAGAGAAGCCGGAATGGTTCGCAATCAAGATACTCCATTCCCGGGGTACACTATGCGCGAAGTGATACGCCTACACTGCTCCACCAACCATGATTCGAGCTTCTCAATCTCAATCAGGTGACCTCGGTCCCAATTGCAGCACAGTTCATTAAGCTACCTTTGTACTCATACAGGCGAGTTGATTAGTTCTGGCGTCACTGTAGGCCCCCCGGTAGCAGGGAAGAGGGGACATAGGGCGGGCATACAGGTGACCTTATCAATTGTCGATTCGAAGTTACGCCATTTTGAGAAGGCTGGTAGATGGCAGCTGACTATCATCAAGTAAGGAGAGAGAACAAAAGAAGTCCCTTTGCAGCCTGTTCGCGAGTGAGTATAAAGTCTAACACTTTTGCAAGAGCTCCTTAACGGCTAGAAAGACAAAAGTTTTCAACGCCTACTCTTCAGGAACGCAAGATCTCACTGAACCGAATCATCAGACAATGGGGTACGTGAACAAGCTCACAGCGGAAAACGAGGCATCTCGTAGAGAGATGCTGAAGAAATACGAGACCGCCAAGAACTCTTCTCCTCCGGGCGCCGAGGAAGAATGCGGCGAGCAAAGCCCCTGGTATATGGCAGTCAAGGATGAGGTAGTCAACGGTATTATGCTCATTGATATAGTTCGAGTGTTTTGCCATGGAAACCAAGTCAAGAAGAAAAAAGCCAACTTTACTTATCAAATGCAGCTGGAGGTAGAGAAACTGTGTATAGGCCCTACCAGAGAAGAATATGAACGTGATGACCCTGACAGCCGAGCGCTAGCCGACCTGGCTAATGACTGGCAGCCAATGAATGCACCCGAGAATGAAGAACATGCTTTCAGCATGGTGGATCACAACGAGAAGATTCTAGAGCGCATGAGAGAGATACGCAAACCAGTTGTGTGAGTGAGTCGTTGATGGTGTGCCTCGCAATCTCTCGCAATCTGTACTAACTTCGGATTGCATTGCGTAGAATCCCTCGATTTCTGGATTATGATCATGAGCTACTGAAGCCGGAGTATTTCGAGACCCATCGCTCTGGCCCCAGCAGTTGTGCGGATGTGAACTCGGTTACATCGGGAACTGATTCGGAAAGTGACGAGGACACCACTCAGGCGAAGTTGCAGAGGATGGAAGGATCAGAAGCGAAGTATCTTACTGTTCCGGGTCTTTCCGCAGTAGCCCCATCCACGAAGTCATTGAGATCGCCTGCGGAGTCGATCAAAAGTGATGGAAGCGAATCGGATGGTCGATCGAATGGTCTTTATTCAGACCGTGTGCCTTCGATCACCTTAAACACCCCACCGAATGATCGAATGAAAGCTGAAAGCTCCTACTTCGCGGGATTCGAATTCAAAGATCCGTCTCTGGAGAAGAAACCATCTCAGTGAATAGGGTCCACTCCCATAGTGAAACAAAGGGTAAGGAAGAGATGTTGGATAAGTGGTATACCGGAACGTTATCATTGGTCTGACTTGTTCACATTGATAGAGCAACAAGACGTTATGGAGCTCGTCAACCAGTCCTCGGCTACATCTGATCGAAGCTTTTGTGCCTCACTTGCAACTTGTCAGGTTTCTTGGAAATGTCAGATTGTGTTCGATCGATTACTGTTGAAATGTAACATAGCTAGAAACGCGGACGATTACAAATTTTGCTATCAAAATTTGAACTTTCTCGATGCCTCGCTGCTTGATGATGTTCCGTTTGTAGTACAGTCTGCAAGTCAAACTCGAACCAAGGGAACAGTGTGTGGATACAGTGTCCCCTACAACCACATTCATGATCGATATGCGGCCGCAGCATTGCTGAATGGTGGTCCGCGTTTTCGGACCATTGTCGATCAAGCCAGAGTATTAAAGATCGTATCGCAGCGCAGCCATGCCAATGCTCAAAACCATCCGCCATTCCTCCATTTCCCTCTGTTGGATTACTGTCAAATGGGACCTACCTCTCGTCAGCTGGAAGTCCTTCGTCCGTAGTGAGGCGGTTCCACGCGCATGTCGCGGCGTTTCACTTGCGCTTGCCTTGGACCTTTGAGCGCGAAACATCAGGGTGTATAGCTTGACCGATCGAGATCGGCCAAGATCGAGATCGATAGAGTCGAGAGCCTTTCAATTCATGATCTATGATTCGTAGACACTCCTTTGTATGTATCAATGAGGGTGACCGTTGCCGATCGCTTTACTGATCGAGCCGAGTTATCGGTACATCACTGACGATCTTATCGGCAAACAGGGAGAGTTGAAGCAATGAGCGGTACATGCCGAGTTACATATCGCGCTCGCAATTTTTCGTCGTAATTTCATACGGAATTCAGGTTGAAAGGAGACGCGGATGAGACTCATCCAACCGGCGTCGGCTATTCACTGGAGTCGATCAAGTCGAGCGATGCATTCATCTCGAGGGATCGTCATGATAGATGAATCGAGAAGCATCGATCCTCTCTATCTCTCCTCGTCTGGGAAGATTGCGAATGTGATCAAACAGTGATATGAAATAGGGAGGCGAGCTGACACGATCTGTTTATGATCGCTTATGATTGAGAATGTTGGACTGACAATACAAACAAAGGAATCACCATGTGCAGTACTCTATGCATACGGCCTTTCGGCCAGGGAGACAAGCGGCGAGAAGCTATCCGAAATTCGATTAATTTATCTGATCTTGTGACGACACTCGGCGCATCAGTGGACATCGACAGGGCAAAGCCCGATGCCACTGCCAGTTTCCGCACCTTAACGGCCTTGCAATGTGGCTGTGTCTGGTGTTCTCATCCGAAAGGAGAACAAAGGATTCCATCGCAACGGTCGTGTCTCCTGCTTATTATGGGAAGATAGAACGTAAGGAAGAGTCTTGTCAGACTGAACATACTGTCCAACGATGAGAATCGAGAGATGCCCCGAGATGGGAGCGTAGAGACACTGCAGAGGATTACAAGGTCAAGGATCACAAAGGAAGGCTCCGTCCAAGAATACTATTAAAGGCAGACCAAGTGCCTCAACCCTTGGTTGACCAGATCACTTCCCTTTGAGCTCGTTAACTCGCGATAGAAATCGTTTACATCCTTAGAGTCTCAACAATGACGGATCTCCTGCCTCGTAAGATCGAACTGGATAACCAGGAACGTAGAACTCTCGTCCTGGCGATCCAGCGTGCTTGGGAATACCTGCCAGCCGAATATCGCCATCCATTGTATGTGGGCACCCAGTGGTTGGAAAACATGGATCGAGCCTACATCGATGATCTGCGTGATTACTGCCGGCATCACTACGGTGCCGTTTCAGAGCGAGAGTTGACAGACCTCGTAGCGTATGAGGCCATGAGGAGAGGGTTAGCGATCACTGTGGAGGAGCAACAGGAGATCAGAACGGGACATCGCACAGAGCGTATCGACTTGCTGAAGGCCTTGAGGCGATATGGTCACAGTCAGGGTCGGAGGAATCTCGAATGGTTAGGTTTCATGTCTGAATGGAGATCTCGGCTGGAAACTTTACCGAAATCAGCCTCCTTGTTGGAAGATTCCGAACCCAGCCTCGACCCACTCGAGAGAAGGTCCACTCCCCCACCGTCTGATGTAGGTCTTGATGATCGCTCCGACTTCGAATATCTAGGGATAGATCGGGTGACACCCATACGACCTCGACTTCCTACAGGACAACGGAAGAAAAAGAAGGGGAGGAAGAGCAAGCATAAGGGGGTTGTTCCTGATGAAGTACGAGAACACATGCGAGACGACAGTTCTGAGAACGATACTGAAGGAAGCTATACTGACGAAGATGAAAGCTCCTTTGCTCAAGAGTCACCTTTTTTACGCCACGTATCTCGAACGCCGACTGTTCGAAGCGGAGCGTTATTGCCAGGGACATCCTCTTCCTCTCGCTCCGCCTCGTTTCCTCGACATACGCAGCCGCATGCGCCCCAGTATCGCTCAACCCGAGGGATAGATTCTGTTGACGATTGCGCTCCTCGCCCCGTCGCTTTAACTTCATCACCGATAGACTCAAGACAGCGTCGCTTTTCTACAGCTTCAGGCCGCCCCCATTCATCATACGAGGATCCGCCGTCTGCACACTATTCACACTATGCACCGCTACCTTCAGCGGGATCATTCCCAACATACAGCGGGTATCCGCCCCTATCGTATGGGGTCAATGTGAGGCCTTCGCCAAGCCAACAATATCACGCATCATACGGGTTGCATACAGGATCTTACACGTCTATGGCCGTCACGGGTAGTGCTAGATATCCCAGCGAGACCATAGCGTCTCGGGGTGCGCCAGAGAGCTACTCACAATTGCCCTCCGCTAGGCGGCCGTCGATCAGTCAAAATCCTCGGTCACCGTTGACCCGTGGCAGCCCGGACACCAGGGAATTGACACGTTCTTTCGGTCACTTGTCTATGTCCCATCACGGACACGGCGGTCCCTATTAGCGGATGGAGTAAGATTTTCTGAAGCGTTAATGAAAGGGCAATGATGTCGGTCAGGCTAAATGTGGCCAAGCTTGGATATCAGATTCTCTAGTTGAAATCAGCAAGTCTTTGAGGGGATCCTCGGCGATTAAGGATTCACGGACACTGGATTGTAAACGAAGGACACTTATATATCGCTCTTGTATATTATATCGCGAATAACATACATCGGAAGACTATTTCAGCTGCAGGCCTACCAGCAGTCAGCCAGGTATGTGACCATGAGGGTGCTCTGTACCTGCGGTATTTGCGCAACAAGCATGCGCTCAACCAGTTCCCGCCGCGGCCGCGGATGATCGACATGATGGCAAGGGAAATTATTATATGCTACTTGCCGGCTTGCCCTTTCACGGCCATCTGTATGCGATTGATATGACAATCTAGGTAGCATGGCGGAATGCCATCATTCCATAGGTCATCACGATCATCAGAACACTGTATGCAATCCGTCCAACGCCGCCTGAAGCAATGCACTTCCGATACTCACTGCTGGATTCACAGGATTGTCCAACAGGTGCCTCACGGAATAGCGAGAGATCATCGATCGAGATTTCGTGATCGTTAAAGAGAAATCCCTTGATTTCATGGTTCGGCGCCTGATCACGAGTTTGGATTGACTGCAATTTCCTTTGTCTGCGATGTCGTTTCACCTGACCTGAAGACCCGTTAGCGCGAAACGCCACCTGATGAGGCGTTTGATCGGTCGATGTCTGACGCAAGTGGTAACAAGTCGTCACCAAGAAGCTTGTATATGCAATGACGGAAGTCTAAAAGGATGCGACACACTAGTATGCAAAGCGCTAATGACCAGATCGATCACTCGTCTTGCAGTTGTACTAGTGTACGTCCAACTTCAAGAGAACTCTCGCGCCGAGACTCAGTCAAGTGCAATGGGATCGCTTTGCGTGGCCTTTGATGATCTTCGATAAAGGTCCTGAGTTGCCCACTGACCATTCAGCTCGTGATTACAATCACAATACCGGATCATACCAAGTGGCTTCCTTTCATCGACAGGCATGCAGACGACACCCATCCAAAACAAACCCTGCCGGAAGGTTCGCCACGGTACGGTAATAGCACCGAATGCGCTATCGAACAAAGGAAGATCAACTGGGAAGCTTGGCTTGAACAAGTGGCGGATCGGACGGTGTTCCACAGCGCCGACTGATTACGGATCCTCTCAGTGACGGAATCTGAACAAAGGGAGGTTTATCTCCAACTCTATCCGAGGGCTGTATTAAAAGGTTCATAAGGGCGCGGCTATCGTCCGCGAAAAAAAGAACCCTTCCTTATGTCGCTCATCAGTCATCATCATCAAACTTTTCGAATCTGAACGATGGACAGAACGACCATTGTAGAGTTCGGACAGTTAACCAGCAAGGAGAGGCGTCGGCTTGAACGCGACGTATATGTCGCGAAGGAGAAGCACATAGCCAAATATTGCGACAAGATGAAAGCGACCCGTTTTGAAGAATCCTGGTTGTCTTTCATGGAAGACCAGCAGCGGGTTCGAGCTATGATTTTAAGGGTGTGCGGACCCGGTGGAGTTGTCGTCGACTATGTACCGGTGGAGCGCTGGATGGATCGTCTGAGTATCGTCCTATCCTGCGAAGAGCTAGCAGAGGTCGAATACCTGGCGAGTCAGCCTTCTGCTACTAGAAGTTTGTTGGATCAAGATCGGTTCCAACGTTTGTGTGCACTTAAGAATGCGGAAGAGGAAAGGCGAGGAAACACTTGGCTTCATCGTCTGCGCAACATGTTACGGGAGCTAGTCGTTCCCCCGGAGAACCGGTGAGTCGATTACGGATGTAGTCCGGATCATGTCACTGATGACGATCGATTGGCAGCAGAGAAGATCCATTCTGCAAGTCCAGCGATCGCCAAGATCTCGACGAACCGTTTTATGGCTTGGTTGGACCTCCTAGTAGGGTCCCTTCACCGTCAGAAGTCGCTTCATTCGCTGAACTCTACGACAGGCCCAATACCCCGGACCCATCTGCAAGGCGCAGGATGTCACATACTTCTGCGAAGCCGTACACAGACCGGACCTATCCACCCGAGCAGACAATGTATCCAAGGCCTGCACCCCTTCAACAGGCTGACGGCCGGATTGAGTACCCTGAGGGCTCGAGCATGTATGCAATTTCCCCTCCGGCCAGTTACGAAGCATCCCGACGGCCACCTCCACTATCCTACAATCATCCACCTTATGCAGGATATCATTTGTCTGGTGGTCAGCCGTATCCTCAGCCGGGCGCGCCGCTGCTTCCACAGCCTCCTGTCCGCCACACAAGATCTTCGGTTCCAGATCCGAGGCTATCACGGTACAATGATCATCCCGGCGCCCAGCAACCGTCTACTCGGCGGCCATCGATAAGCTCAACAAGGGTTCCAAGCTACTCGACTCGCCCGTCTACTAGTAGTCTTGCTACCGCCGCTGTACCAAATCCTCCATCGGTCCAGGGGTTGCCGGCGAATCTCAGTGAGCATTTCGCGAAGATGTCCGTTTACGGCTCCGGCAGTACCTACGATTCCCGGCACTCATATCGCTAGAGCGGGACGTGTATTGGTAAGTCTTCAGGTATGCACAGAACTCTGTTCATCTCCGTGCGCACAAACCTATCGACTCGGTCGACAGCTGATTCACGCGTTTGTGTTCCCAAAACATCCAGAGTCTCTTGGCTTGATGTACTGTATGATCTCTCAATCGATCATTCGCGGACAATCTCTTAGACAGTCGTTGTACCAAAATGTAATGATAGATGACGTACGAACAACTCAGAGGTGCCTCGTACGAGCGAAGCATCTCGGCAGAGCTAGGCCCCTGGCCCATCGGCTGTCCAACTCATTGCTTGATGTCTTGGCTCTCTTCACACCATGTGAGCCCATCATTGCACTGATCTTTCGAGTCCCCAGGCGATCGTATTATAGGTTACGTGATGCCATCAGACCACACATGCTATCAATCTGACTCCAGAATATAGGCTACATGTCATAACGATCGGACTTCTCTTCGCGCTTCAAACCCAACTCTGCAGGACCCCACCGAAACTAGTTTCCCCGTCGCTTCAACCGACTCAAGAACCCGCCCTTCCCGCTCTCTTCTTCCCCATCGCTCCGATCTCCTCCAAGGCCACTCTGGATGCTCCGAGACTTGTACATCTGCAAGCCCGAACCCCCAGAAGGTCTGTTGTTGTAATAAGTCTGTCCCTTGGGCGTTTCTTCTCCAGCGCCACCACCGTTACTTTGCACGCTCGCCGTGCGGGTGATCGCCAAGTCCGGGTTATGATTGGCCGGTCGTTTATAGAAGCTGGGTCCTGGAGCGGTTTCACTGGATTCTGCAGTTCCTTCTGCGAACCTCAGTCCTCGAGACCGGGAAGCTGGAGATACGTCCCTCGATCTCGGGCTGAAGTTGGTGTTGGCATTGCTGAGGTTAGATCTGGATTTGGCGCTCGAGATCGACCCGACAGCAGACCCTTCCCGGCTCGTATCGTTCAAGATCGGTCGTCCCCTCCTCCCACTTCCAGGCGGGGCGAGGTGATTCGGATCGGCGATAGAACCCGATCGACTCTGCCTTCCGCCTTTAACCTCCGTACCACCGGGATGAGCCCCACCAAATACCTGCTGCCTGACCGATTCCCTCCTTCTCCCAACCGGTCTAGAATGGATAAAGATCGTGGACGGTTTGTTCGAGTTCTGCCTGTGGGACCTCTGTGTGGCTGGCAAGTGTGATCCGCTGCCCCGTCGGCTGGCGGTAGCGGGTTGTTCGTCTTCGTCCACATCCTCATACGCGTCCTCATCTTCGTCTTGCTGAGATCGATCATCTCCGTCCGCGGGTCCAGCACGACCGATCGCATTCGCCCTCGCCTGCTCATGCGCCTCCCCCCTCGTCGTCACCTTCGAATCCTCCCTTGCAATATCCCTCGCTTGCTGATGCTGCTGTTCTTTCGCTTCCGCCTTGACCTCTCGATCTTCTTCCTCGTGACGTCGACTGTCCACCCGTCTAGCTTCATGAGCCGCCCGCTTCTGTTCTTTATGCCCCGCACCGGCCAATGCGGCCTCTCGTTTCTTGTTATCCTCTTCCTTTTCTTCTTCTTCTCTCTGGTTCTCTCGACGCGCTTTGGGTCCCATCAGACCCACTGAAAACGATAAGAAGAGGAACGATGTCAGCGTCTTTCGTGCGAGACCTTGTAATGAAGGGAATGGGGACTCACGTCCCAAGGGATCTTCCTGCTCCTCGCCCCCGTTCTTGACCGTACTAGCCGCATGCTCCGCTCCATCATCGACGTGCTCGTGCAACTTGTCGACCTCGTGTCGGCGCAGAGGTTGAGGGTGCCAGAACGTGGACTTTTCGTTGGGCTTTTCCGCGTGGAAATAGTCCTTAATGACCTCGACTTGGACCTTCGGGTATCAATAAGCGGAAGCGTCAGTCGATCCGATCTAAAGGCTCATCTGCACTGCATCAGAACGATCGCTCACCTCATCTTCTCCGTCTTTCAGACGTTCCCGTACGAGATGATTTCCCTCACGGTATTCGGCGAGGATGGGGGTCTCCCTTTCGTCTCGTTGGCTCTGCTCTTCTTCATTCATTACCTGACCCTGCTTTTCGCCATCGTTGCCGGTATATTCACCCCTCTCCATGGCATCCACGTCGGCCCGTTCTCCAGCCTTTTCGTCGTATTGTCGGCTTCCGGCCAAGGTAGTCCCCGAATCGGTCGTATCGGTGGTGGCCATCTCGTTCGACGAGCGACGTTTCTCGGAGAGGCCACCGCCTCGATCGGCGGTCCCGTCGTCGAGACCGGCTCCGTCTTCTCTGTCGTCGTCGTCCCGGTTGACTCTGATCGACTCGCCGGGCTGGATACGACGGGCATGCGATGACCAGGCAGGCTCGTCACCCATCGATTGCCTCGACCAGGTTCGTGAGATCGAGTGGACTCGCTTGGTCAACGAGAAGAAGGGGATCGAAAGTCCGTCTGCGAGCAGGGTGAATGTCAGAATATACACGACGCATATGATAAGCGTCCGTACACGACTTACGACACAGTGTCGACACAAGGACGATGAAGAAGATGATGGGCTGAATGGTCGCGCTCAAGAGCTCTGCCTGACCAATCGGTCCGTCTTCGTGGGGCTCAGGCAACTTGGTCTTGGCCAGCGTGGCGATGAAAACGGCTCCGACTCCCATAGGACCGAACCAACCGGTGAAAGCGGCCTCTCGGAACGTCTTGATGTCGGGAATCCATCGGTAGGCGGCGAGCATGAATGGCAGGCGTCGAAGCAGGAGAATGGCAATGGCCAAAAGGAAGAGCCTCCACACGTTGATCTGCGGCGCGACACAATTTGATCAGCACGTGCAAGGTTACGGACGAGGCGCCTGACTTACGGATGTCGCAGCGTCGTTCCAATCAGAAAACGGAATGACCATCCCGATATAGATGAAACAAGCACAGTTGAACAGCAAATCGATGACGTTGGAAAACATGCTATCCTCGGTGGCCTTGTTGAAGAATCCGCTGCGAGAGTGTTTCGGCGTGGTCAGGCGATAGGTCGTGATCAAGAGCGAAACGTTGCACTTACTCCCAGGCGAAAGCGCTTCCACAAGCAAACGCAGCGAGCAAGTCGTCACTTCCCAGTAGAGTACAAACACCTAGCCATCCAGCATAATCAGATTTTCCGATCTCATCACTGCGCCTGTTCAACCAGACCCGACTCACCGATGGTCAGGATGGCCAAACTGACGTATTGAGCGACGAAACTCTGCCTATCGATCAACCCCTTGCGTTCGGAAAACTTCATGACCTTGCGGACGGTGAACCCGATCAACGTCCCGATGGTGATTCCGAGAGCGACCTCGTACAGCCAGGTGATGTAGAACCACTCTCCGACGGCGTGCCGGTCGTCGTTGTCGATGATCAAGTAGAGCGCCAGGTCTGCGGATACAGCAAGATCAGCTTACGTCCACCAGAATCCAGCAAAACACGACGCAGACGCACAGAGGAAAGGAAACGCGGCCCCATCGTTCGACCCAGACTCGGCCTGCAACAAGTGTCGAATATGCGCCGGCACGTGCTTGTCGGCAAACTTTCCTCCGACTACCGCCTGCGCCAAGATGGGATCTGTCGGGGTGAGGCAAGCGGCGATGGCCAGGGCGGAGAGGAATTCGATCTTCGGGAAAATGGCCCAGACGAACAGCGCCGAGACGAGCCAGCCCCACTGCGCGACACGGGTCGTTGCGTTATATTGTCAGTGACGGTAATTCCAGACAAGCTGTGAGATGAGCCACTCACGACCATTCCAGGTCCGATTAGCATGGCCAGAGATTTCCAATGCTTCTTCAAATACGTCTGCCATCGTCCCCAAAACCCGTCAGTCAACTCAACGCCATCCACCTTGAATTGACTACGGAACAGACGACCGCGGGCTCACCTTCGGCAACTCGACCCCGATGGCAAAGACGCCGATGGCGAGGACGACCCGAGTCACCTCGAGCGTGATCTCGTTGACCTTTTCATTGTTCTGTTCGTGTCCGCCTCCCCAGGCATGGGGGTTGACCAGGTCGATCGCGTAAGGTCCTGTGAGGGCGGGTTCGTCGTGATGTTGGAAAGAAGCGCAGAAAGAAGGAAGAGCGAAAGGTGAAGACCGAAGGATCAGTCCCACACCCAATGAGTTGAACTGTAGCGCTTGTGCATGGACTCACCGATAGCGATTCCGACGACGGTCGAGATAACAGCCTCACCGACATATAACCGTTCTTTGATGAACAGGGAGAATAGTCCGAACTGTTGACACGTTCACCATTGCGATATCGCGATAGCGACCGAGCGAAGCAGAGTAACGAGGAAATTGAGGTTGTTGATCGTGGTCGAAATTTCAATCGCACAATTTCGTTTGTTCGATTCATGAAATGTTGTGTGTTTTTCAGAGTTGGCCGCAATGAAAGTATCGTGTGAGAGGAAATATGATCAGCCTTCTATCAGTGTATTCCTGCTTCGATCTCAATCTCAAACCCAAACTCAATCCCGATGCGTTTCTCTCAGCGTTCGCCTTAAACTCGATCTCGATGCTTCGTCCGATCTCGATAATTCGATGACCATCTCGATCATTATCCATTCCCCAAGAGCCGATTTTAAAGAACACTCTCATCTCATCCGTCAACTTCACCGTCTACCTCCCACCAACTCGACCGGTTCGTCTCGTCTCCTCCACCACACCGAGAACCGTCTTTAAATCCCGGTCGTCTTGCCCCTATAGTATCCATTGTCATCATCATTGCCGCATGTTTCCACCACCACACGATCGCGATCGAGGCGACTAGAGCATAGCACAGCAGAGTTGAACATTTTCCGGCTTGCTTGCTCGCTTGTTTGCTTCAATTTGCTTCTGTTTGCTTGCGTCTGCTGGCTTGCTCGCTTGTTTGCTTGCTCCTGCTTGCTTGCGTCCTTGCTTGCGAAGGTTGCTTGCGTCCTTGCTTGCGAAAGTGACTTCTTTGCTTCCTTGACAAGGCAAGACTCTTTCTCATCCAGCTCGTGGAGATGCGATGACGATGACGAAGATCGCCAGAGCAAAAAGGATGATACGAGAGTAGGTTTCGAGTCGAGTCGAGCGGAGTTGAGTCTTAGAAAAGATAGACAAGATGGAGGAAAAGAGGGAGCGAGGAGTAGAAGAAAGAACGAAGACCACGAACCACATGCGAGCAAGAAAAAGAGAAAAAGAAAGACAGGAAGGAGACTCACGATAACGACAAACCCCCCTAAGAACGCATAGACCAGATGAGGTGCGTTGACCTCGAACGGGTGAAAGGCCATCCCTTTTTATTCTCTCTGTTTGTTCTCTCTTTGATGCGCTTTATTCTCGCCTTCAACTTTCGACTCAGAGGTTTGGTTGTCGTCCTCTTCTTCTTCTTCTTGAACAAGCTATCCTGCTTGACTTTAGTTTGCTTGACTTTGCTTTGCTCTATAGCTATCGCTAGCGCTATCGCGAAGATATGATATGATACGCTATGATGTCTCTTCTCGTAACCCTCGGTGTTGACCTCGGTCTCGACCTTGTCGTTTTGGCGTGGCGTGAACTAATAGAGTAGCTCGAGTAGCTCGAGTAGCGAGTAGCAGTAGAAAGTGTAGAGTGGACCGTGACCGTGATGCTCGGGACGATTACTGATAGCTGATAGCTGATGGTCCGATGGCTGAGATGTTGTTGTTGACGTTGATGTCGATGTTGACGGGGTCGGGTAGCGAGTAGTATATAGTAGTATAGCGGGTCGAGCACTGTAGGTAGTTTGTAAAAGAGATCGTCCCGGGTTAGAATAATGCTGTTGCGAGTGTGGGTTTCCGAATCGATGATGAAGTTGACAAGTGAGCTAGCTAGATAGGTAGCACGTAGTACTTGTATCGCTATGAGCTATGAACGTGGTCGTGAATCTAGCTTTAGGCTGTCGTGAGAGGCGTCCGAATCAAAAGACGATGGCGATGGTTGATATCGTATACCGTACGGTAACTCGGTGGGTTCCAGGTCGGAGGGATGATGTTCGCTCTTCCTCCTCCTGCGCCTAACTTTGTATCGTCGTCGTAGCTGACCAGGTGGTGGTGTTGTCGTTGGATGATGGAGGGATGAAGGGAGATGTCCTTTGACCTCGATCGAGTTGGTCGAGGTTTCAGCAACCAAATCGTTTGTGATTTCACACTCGATGAAGATATCGAGAAGACAAAACCCACTCCTAGCTTGATCCCTTGCCTCCGTCGTGATCCACTTGGAATCGTCAGCCAAAACATGCAAGGACAAGGGGGAGGCGAACCGCGGGCAGGGATGAGATTCCTTCTATAATTAGGTCCCACGCATGCCGTCACCACAGCACATGAGACTGCGGAGCAGGGGAATGACGGCATGGTGACGTTACCCTCTGCCAAGAGCAATGTCTTGGCGTGTCTCTGTTCGGCAGGATCATGGGCATCAAGATTAGGTAAATGTCCGCTGGGCTGAGGATGGTCGGAAATGGCCGAGCCGGACCGGTATTTGCCGTGATGGCCGATGGTGTGCTCGTGCGTGATCACGGTGACGGTGATGGGGCATCAAAGGGGTTCCGAGATGAATTCGTCTGACGACCTCGATCGACTTGTCAACCAGCAACCAGATTGTAAGATCTGATATCGTCCTCGTCAACCAGCAACCAGACCAGCGAGACCGCTTCTCACCTGATCTTCCTGAGCACGACGATTGAGCATCATGTGGTCGACCCGCACACACATACCCGTACCCATCTCGTCCGTCCTCCGGCGTTCGACGCAATCGCCATTATTGGGAAGACCACCTCGATTACCACAACAATCACAATCACGATCACAACTATACCAACACCAACACCAACACTTCTCATTTACCAGGAACCTTACCTCACGGGCACGGGTCTCTCCCGATGCGTCTTTTTTCGCTTCTAATTCTGGGCCTATCGACAAGCTCGACAAGGCGGCCTCAAGGTCGAAAGGTCTTCTTGCACTCGCCGTAGCTTTGGTGATCGGAACGACAATGACCGCCACAGCCTATAGCTATACTACCACCACAATCTCTATACCTCCTGTTAATGTTGTGTATGCGGATACGGACTCCACCGCAGTAGGCCACTATTCCGATGCCAGTACTTCCACCTCAAAAACTTCCACCTCCGAGACCTCTGAACTTTCAAAGGACGATCAATACCCAGACGCACACCGATACGCCTCCCCTTCAACCCGCCTCAAAGCCATCGCCGACCTCCGCCTCCTCTTCCCTTCCCACCCAAACCCCACAACCGGCACAATAGAATCACAACTCAGCGTTAATAAAGACGAACTCCTCTCACACGCCCAAGCCGGTGGGACGCACCACCACCCCCACACCCCGGACGTCGTAGTCTACGTGGAGTCGACGGAAGATGTGCAGAAGTGTGTGAGGTGGGCGGGGGAGTGGGGGGTTCCGGTCGTTCCTTATTCTGGTGAGTTTGAGTCTTTTTGGACGAGGTGTGGTTCTGGTGAATTTTTTTCGGATGGAGGGGGGTGATTTGGGGGGTTTGAGGGGGTTTGGTGAGACGGGGTCTGGGGTTGAGGTGGGGGGTTGCGTGGTACGGGATCTGCGTCTCGGGTACAGAAAGAGTGAAGCTGAAGATGTTGGAGGACGTGCGAAGACGAGGACGTACGAGGATGCGCCAGGACGGGTGACGATGATTCGAGGATGGGTTTGCGCATGCCATGCGACATGTCGAGGATCAGGATGTGAATGGGCGAAGAGCGAAAGATCGGAAAAACGAAAATGGCCGGGGAATGGCGTTGATGCGTGTTTCTCAGGATGAATGTGATCGAGGTCGAGAAACCAGGGCAAGGATGAGGATCAAGTGATAACAAAGATGTGGGGTGGAGGCGCCAAGCGAAGAGACCGAGATGAGGACTCCCAACATCCAAGATCCGAGCTGGACGATGTTAGTCACGATGAGGAGGAGGAGCTCGACTTCCGGCTTTTGGGCTTGGAAGCGACTTTGACGTTGATTTCGATCGCCTCGAGGTTGATCTCGAAGACGACGATTTAAAAAATCGGATGTTCGCCGAACTGCAGCGAAGCCGGACTAAGAAGCGGATGACTGATTCGACTTTGTTTATGTTTCTTTTTCGTTCCTCCTTGCTTTCCCATCTGGCTGGGTGGAACTCGCCGACCGGTCGCTGGGATGCGAATGCGCCTGGAATTACTACACCCGACATGCTTCGACCGTTGTTGGCATCCACGACGTCTTCGACATCTTCGACTTCTTCTACATTCTCGGCATTCGTGGACTTCTTCGATGGGATGGTGGGATAAATCGAATGCGTCCCTGGAATCAACCACACACGATGAAATGTAAAATGGCGTCATACATGTCTCCTCCGATAATCGACCGCACCCCCTTGGCTGCGCACGATCACGTACATCGTCGCAATCGTAATCGTAAACGAACGGAAACACGACAATCGCTCCGCCCTGTCGCGACACTTGATTTATACTGGCCTACCTGACGTTCTCGGAAATATACCTCTCATACGACGCCTCGGCCGATACTTTTCTGTCGAAACCGATATTTATCCTCCCACGAAATCGAATTCAATCCGGTCGAACCGAATCTGGACCTCTCGGGATCCATCGGAACGGATTGATACGACCTTGGTGCAAATGTTGCTGTCAACGAAACTTCGGACGCGGGTGGCGATATCTATACCTACGGGATCTTAATCCGGATTTCGAAACCTTCAGGCGGCACATCGCTGGAGGGACACATCACCGCGCCGTATGGAGGGTTGTGTATCGATCTGAGCCGGATGGACAAGATCTTGGAGTTGAACCGTGAGTGGAGCGCTCGAAGCCTATTTCCGGTCCCCCCAACTTTTGCCTGTTCTCCGGTCCGCGTGGGGAATCTGCGCCACGACTCTTCGAGGGGAAACCCCAACTCAAACCGTTTACTGGGAATCCGGAGGCCACGCCATATCCCATCATACGACGATTCACCCGGCCCTGTTCAACTGTCGTCTTTCGAGCGAAAGAGAAAAGCCGATGCTGAAATTCCACTCTTCCCGTTGTTATTTGTCCTAATCTGTGGTATCGTCGGGGATTACCGGGTCTTTGACGGAAATGCGCTATTCTGCTCCGATCTGGATTTGGGTCTCCTGGACGACTTGAACTCGACCGGCACGATGCGGTATCATTATCCGCGCTGGATCCTGCCTGTCTTGGTCTTCTTCAACTCCTTTCCTCCTCTTACGAACTTGCCTCTCGCCGCGAAAACTTGACAATGGCCCCGCTCCCCAACTCCACCGGTCCACAGTCGAAGACTCGGACATGGTCGTACAATCCGGTGTACCCTGGGAAGAGATCAATTCGCACCTCGCCTCCCTGTCTCATCCGCTCTTTTTCCCCCTGGACCCGGGCCCGGGGGCGACGATAGGAGGGATGATCGGGACGGGGTGTAGTGGAACGAACGCTTGTCGGTATGGAACGGCCAGGGGGGAGTGGGTGCTGAATGTGGTGAGTCTGCGCGCGCTTGACGACAAATTGGTGGTTTAGGCACATTGGGAATGGGCTGACGGGTGGGATCTGGGTTCTGGGAAGACGGCGGTCTTGGCAGACGGGGAGGTCATCAAAACACGTCAACGAGCGCGGTAGGTCCTCCTCCCACCTTTGCGATTCATCGTAGATTTCCCCGCAGATCCTGTCGCTCATGACACGATGGTCTACCTGGAATCATGGTTATATAGCAAATCGTCGGCCGGGTTCGACCTGACCAAGATGTTCGTCGGCGCCGAAGGGACTTTGGGAATCATTACCGAAGGTCAGTTGCGCTTATTCATTTCGCTGCTTCCGATCCGCATCCAGTAACGACATCATGGCTCGCACGATACTCCCCCGAAGGCTTACTGCTGAAGAACGATCCGCGCTGACGAGAACTTGATCCACTCGCAGCCACCATTCGACTAGCGCCGCTTCTACCCACGACGGTGGCCATCGCCGGCTTCCCTAGCGTCGAACACGCCGTCAAGGCCGTCGGAGAGGTGATCAACTCAGGTGTACCTATCCGTGAGTCGCTTGGGCTGGGCACAAAAAGTACCAGAGTCCCGGAGAGGACAGCTACTGACTTCCCGGCTGATATGGTCAATCGCCGAAATCAGAATGCGTCGAGCTGTGTGACACACTCACGATGAAGGCACTTCGGGATCACGGTGTGAGTCAAAGCGCCATCTGGAAACATTCGTGCCATGCGCTCAAGGCAACGACCCCGTCGCAGGGCCTGACACTGGAACTCCCGCACCAAGACTCAATCTTTTTCAAGTTTCAAGGCAACCCGCAAGCGATGAAAGAAGCTCAGGAACTCACCAAGGCCATCGCAAAGAAACACGGCGGCGGGGAGATGATCTTTGCCAAAGACGAAGAGGAAAGCAAGGAGTTGTGGTCGATCAGGAAGAATGCGCATTGGAGCATGTTGGCGCTCGTCGAGGGTGGACAGGCGTATTCGACCGGTGAGTCGCGGAGATATCGAAACTGTTTGATCTCGGTGCAGCCAGCGCTGTGTGTGAAGGATCTTGGTAATCTTACTTTCCATTCTATAGACGTCTGCGTGCCGGTCTCCAAGTTGCCACAACTGTGTGCGGAGACGCAAGCCGACCTAAAAGCGAACGGGATCGTCGGTCCGCTCCTGGGGTGCGTCTCAGCCCCTCTTCTCTTTTGCTCCTCGCTACAGCCCCAATCTTGACCTGAAAAACTAAAACCCCATTTCCTTCAATTTAATTCTGCTATACTATCGTCGCGGGTAGACACGTCGGCGACGGAAACTTTCACTGCGGCCTGATCTTCCTCCCGCAAGACTTTAAGAAGGTGGACGAGGCTGCCCATCGGATGGTCGATAGGGCCATCGCGCTGGGTGGGACTTGTACAGGTGAGAGAATCGAGCCGTTTCCTTTTTTTTTTTCTTTTTTTTTTTGAGGCGCTGGGCAGGACGTGATACGAGAAGTAAGAATGACGGGATATGAAGGCTGATTGGATGGTGGGACTTTTGTTTGGTGCTGGTCGCAACTTAGGTGAACATGGAGTTGGGGTCGGGAAAAAGGTAAGCGAATTTCCCTCCCAGCCTTATCACAAACATCACTATCTTCCATTGTCCTGACGATCCTGCTTCTGTATCCCATCTACTTACTACCTATCTGCCACCTACCTACTACCTATCTACTACCTATCCACTACCTATCTACTCCCTATCTACTACCTACCTACTACTCGTCTACTACCTGTCTAACACGACGAACAGGGCTACTTGCGGCGCGAACTCGGAGACGGGACGGTCGAGGTGATGAAACGCTTGAAGAGGGCTATGGATCCGAAGGGGATCTTGAACCCAGGTACGTCAAGTCTTCGCTTATAGTGTACTAGGTGTTTGGGGGTTTCTTTTCCACAGAGAGAAAGAGAGGAAACAAGAGAGAGGAAATGAGAGAGAGAGTTCGAGGAGAGCTGATTGATTGGATTTGTTTTGTCGATGGCTAGGGAAACTGTACCCCGATTAGATCGAAATCAAGGACGGATGGTCGCTCATGCAGAGACAATACAAGCTACAAGGTAGCGAACCGGACAGGGGATTCTATTCGGCGGACACTGAGATTATTGGGAAATAGGGCGTGGAGTGAAAATGATGTGATGCTATTCTCGAGAAGATGTAGCGCGGTCATCTTAAGCGATTTATGATCTGAAGAGGAAATTGTCGTTGAGATCAGTTGAAGAGTCGATGTGATGCAGCGGTCATGCGCCGAGCTTGATGGTGGGTCCGTAAAACCGACTCCATGCGGCTGTCACGGAAACGTTTCAGACAAGTTTGATAGAGAGAAAAGGAGGTCAGCTCAAGGTGCATAAGACGATAGCAATCAATCTCATCGATACAACTAGGTTTGCGTACTTTTGAGCTCAGACTCTTCGTCGACGCGCGCGCGAGTGATTTGGGTTTTCTCGAGACTTTCGAGGGTGTGGATGGACGTTCAAGTTCATGTCAATCAAGTCGATCGACCACATTCAAACATCCCCAACGACGACTATATCTACCACACTCATCCACTCATACAACCATGCCGCCTATCTCACTCTCATCACTCCGCCTCGCCCTCCCTCGAACACCCGTATCGACAGCCCGAACCCTCCCCTTCCAAACCCGAACCCTAGCTTCCATCGCCGACTATGATCACAACCAAGACCAAGATCCTTCCAAGACCTCCACCCTGCCCAAGGCAGTCAGGGAAAGACGAGCCAAGTTCCCTCAGTCCGGTACCATCCAATCGAAATTTACCCCGGCACAGGAGATCCGGTTCCAGACTCTGAGGGCTGAAGGGAAGTTGGGAGGAGACTTGGATGAAGAGGGGGCGAGGAGGGCGTTTTTGGAGGAACATGATCTGTGGAGGAGTAGGGTTAGGGGGTATCGGCAAGTGAAAGAACTCCCTGCGGACATGGAGAACTTGGACATCGACGAGGGGATGGAGAGTCTTTCTTCCCCTTCAGGGGGCAAGATGACACGGTTCACCACCCCCCACGCTCAACCCCCCGCAGAAACCCTAATCGGCCAACGGATCTACCTCCCCAACATCCAGATCCGTCTTATGCGTAACCACACCCCCCCTGGGCAGCCTTACGACCCTTACACAGCTACCTTCCGCCTTCCCCCTTCGATGACGAAGAATGATCTGAGGTCTTACTTGTTGGCGGTTTATGGGCTGCATGTGACGTTCATCAGGACGGACCAGTATATCGCTCCCGTAGCTAGGGTAGGGACGGATTTCCAACAACGCCGGATCAAAGGGTCTCAGAAGAATTATAAACGCGCCGTCGTAGGCCTTCATGAACCGTTCCACTACCCGGACGATACCACCGAGCTGGACTCGCTTCTTTCTCAACCCGCTCCTTCCCCTCTTACCCACCCCGAACTCCCTTCCGCGGAGCTGGAAGCGTTAAAAGAGGAAGTGGAAACCAGACGAGTTAAGGCGAAAGAGGGGAAAGAGAGGAGGGAGAAATGGTTGAACGAGGTTTATATGGTCGAAGCGCAAAAGAAGGGACGGAAGAGGAGTTTGATGAAGATGGCGAAGGGGTGGAGGTGGAGGGCGCAGACGCATGATAATAAGGTGAGTTGGAGTTTTTGTAATGTGACGGACCCGGCTCGGGACGTTTTTTGGGAGTTTGAAAGACCGATGATATTGACATTGTTTTGGGACGTTTGCAGGGCAACATCGTCAGGGAGATCATGAAGCGACGAGCCGAGCGGGAAGGAGCGATCGCCGCCGCCGCCCAGGCCGTCTAGATGGGGCTGTAGATGGGGACGCAGCACTTTTTATACATCATGAACAGGCTCCTGAGAAATCGATCCTTGGGCGGGGGAGTTGGTATATGTATTCACGATATATGACATGGAGATGAAGACGGAACGATGAACAAAGGGGGAGATATCTAGATACACCACATTACATTACACCCATTCAGGTTGTGCAGAAACGGCGCAAACGAGGGCGAAACCGTGCCTAGGCCTTGGAACGAAGTCGATAAGCAGAGACCTTGTCCCAATCGACCCGGGTCCTCGTAATCGGCAGCGCACGTCGAAGCCTGTCCGAAGGACACCTCACGAATCAGTCCTGCTTTTCTGCGTTTCAAATCTTGTCGATGCGAGACGAGGGGCGACTCACGACCTAAACTCCTTGTCCCCGAATTGCTGGTTCGTCTCGGCGAGCTTGAGTTGGTACTCGGCTTCCAGCTTGGCGATCCCGTTGACGATCTTCCCTGCTCGGCCGGATTCGGCGGGTGGGAGAGGGAGGTCGAAGGATTGGGTGGTAGATAGTTGGACCTGCCGATTCAAGGGGGAGGTCATAAAGGTTTTAGGGCAAGATTCATGTTTTCTGAAGCGAGAGATGACTCACGTTCCCGGCCTCGAAGTAATGCACGTCGACGAAAACCTCGCCGTGCAGCTTGTCCGCTTTGGTATCGACCGTCCAAGTCGAACGCCATCGGCCCGTCCTAAAACAGGAGCGGGAAAACTTCTCAGTTGAGATCCGGCAAGGTTGTGAAAAACAGAACGTGGAGAGAGGCGGCTCACCAGAAATTGTTAGTGTTGTACTTGTTGCTAACGATACAGATTGTGTACCTCGGCTCTTCTTCTTCTTCTTGCGCTTCTTGTACGGGCTCTTCCGCCGCTTCGCCCTTAGTCTCCACCTCCTGTCCAGGGTTCTCGTTCTCGGTCTTGGTGTCTTCACCCTCACTGACAACAGCCGGCTTCTCCGACTCCAACCCAGCTACCCCTCCTACAGGTACCTCAGCGACAAGGGCTTCTTTGACCGTCTCCACCGTCTCAGAGACGGCGGCTACGGCGGAGTTTGCTGCGGCGAGGATACCTGTCTCACTCGTCTCGGTTCCGGTTCCGGTGGAGGCGCTGGGGTCAGCAGCGGGATCGGCAGAAGAGACGGTCGGTTCGGCTGAAGCTGCGTTGGGTGTCCCAGCCTGGGTATCGACACCACTCTCTGCGGCTGGGTCTGGAACAGTGGTCGAATCTTCTTTTTGGACGACCCCCTCGCCAATTTCAGCCTCAGCGGGAAGGTCCGGGTCGCTCTTGTCCTCAACCTGAGTAGCGGCAATCCTCGAGGTTTTGCTGTCATCTTCAACCTCTTTCTGATCCCCCTCCGCTTGTTCCTGCTTCCCGGTCTCCGCACCACCCACAGCTTGAGCTTGATCCTGAACCTGAACTTCCGCCTGAGGTGCTTTTCGAGCGATAGGTCGGGCCGAGCAAAAGACGCTACCCACAGCTTCGGAAGAAGGGTAGTGGGCGGCGATATACTGGGTGAGGGCGGTTTGGAGGTCGGTCCTGCGGTGCGATGCGAGCGACGAGTTATACGGGTATATTGCAGGACGAGGAATGTGATGTGATGTGATGTGATGTGATGGTCAGACCGTATCAATTGGGGTTTAGCTATGGTTTGTCTCGACAGATGATTGGATTGTGATTTGGGATTTGAAGAGGGTGGAGGGGGGGGAGGGGAGGGGGAGCTTACCGGAACGTCTCGAACTCCGGCTTGATCTCATAAGGCAGGAAATCCGTAGCTTTCTAGTCGATCCCCCGATCCCCCCATCATACCCATACCCATACCCAGTAAAAGGTGGAACAAGATCAAATCGATCAGCTCTTCCCATCTAATCTATTGCAGTGCAGTTTGCAGAGACGATCCTGCCACTGCCACTGCTACTGCTACTTTAGGGCAGGACCCTTTTTCCCTTTTTCCCTTTGGCCTCTGGATGGGCCAAGGAGGATGGGCCAAAGAGAAACAAGCAGTGTGGCAGGATAAGGAAAGAGAAGGGGGGGAGGGACGTACGAGCGTGAAATGGTCCAACTTGAACGACCGTCTAGATTGAGGGTCTACGTAACGGTCCTCTTTCCCATCGTCCTCCTCCGTGGTAGAGGTAGAGAGAGCGATTGAGGCGGTGGAGATCAAGGTCTATTCGTGTCGGTAATACCGATTTCCGACAAATGACGTAATGTATGAGCTTGAGTGGCAAGAGAAGCATGTACAGGCCAGAAGGAAGAAAGAAAGAGGACGTACAGGAGAAGAAGAACCGTCCAGCGTAACGCTCTGGAGCTGGGTTTGATGGTATTCCCGGAGTCTGGACAAGACTTTTTGTTTGAACTCGGGGGTGTTGTCGTCGACGATGATCTGGATGGCTACAGGAATATCGTCATCATATCAAGACAAGGTCATCATCAGCATTCACAACTTCGTCAATTGAGGTAGCTCAACCAAGGGGGAGGCAGCGAGGAGACCTGGGGGGGACTTGCCTGCGATAACGTCGTTCACCTGTCCAGGGGGGGATTGGACGATGAGCTTGGTCGCGAGGTCATAGCGCTCTTCGGGGGAGAGCTGGTCGGACATGGTTGCGGCGAATTCGTTAGTTGGTCAGCTTATCAGAGCTGTTTCGATGTAGTAGGAGGAGGTTTGATGTCAGGAAGAGTGAGGTTGAGAGGTGAACATGAACACATGAATATGCTCTCATTGACGCTCGTCTCGGTGGCCGATGTCATCGTCCTCCAACGAGTGATGACGCGGACAAACGGAGACAGACATTCACGACAAATCGATGACGATACGTACAACAACCTCTGACATACAACCACAACCTATCAATCAATTCCCCTCGGCGGCCAGTACAAGGTCCCTCGTCTCCTCCGCAGCTCCCCAACAAGCCTGCCAGCCCGCTCCTCCGTGTCCGTAGTTATAGAACACCTTGACCTTGCACTTCTTCACCTTGCGCGCTTTTAAGCTCTTCCCGTTCTGCCTTTCTTCTGCACTCTGAAACTCGCCATCTACGTCGGCGTCGGTATTGTCTTCGGGATCGATTTCAAGGTCGATATCGACCCCCCGCTCAACCCTAGGCCCACCCTCCCTGGACGGTCTATACCCAACAACCACCTCCTCCACCAACCCCCTTAAGACCTCCATCTTCTCCGCCATAGGAGCAGAGGCGGGGAGAGGGGTGGTAGGGTGACCAAGGAGGAGGAAAGGGTGGATGGTCAGGCAGCGGTGGAGGATATCTTCCGTCGTCGAGGGGTTTGGGGTTGGGTCCCTGTAGATTGTGGATGGATTGATGGTTTCGAGGTTTCGAGGTTTCGATCACATTACAGATCATGACAAAAATAAGGCCGAATAGAGAAGATGAAACACGCCATGTCAGTTTTTTTTCTATACTAATGCTCAATAAGACCTTGCTCGTCCCGGTCTTGCAGGTATGCACGAGACGCGAAAGCAGAAACGCACCATAAGTCGATATCCCGAGTCCCACCCAAAACAACCTCTCCATTGGACCGAGGGATGATATAAGTCCGTTGACCGCCCTCTCCGCCTTCTCTGTCTGTTTGTTCTTCTTTGTTGAGCTCTGCGTTTTCCTCTTTGTTTTCCTCTTCGTTTTCCTCTTTGTTTTCCTCTTTGTTGAGCTCTTTCGTGCTGTCTTGATAAGATCCACGGCTGCCGCCCAGACTCCCGACCTGCCTAGTAAACCCTTCTTTCACCCAAGGAGCCCTGATCCGCACCACCTGTCCGGTCACGGGGAATACTTTTTGTTTTTCCTTTTCGGAGAGACCACGAATACCGTAGAGGTTGTAGGAGGAGGTGGGATGGGTGGGGCCGGAGGAAGCGCCGATGCCAACACATAGGATTAGGTTGGCGATGTTCCCCAGGGCTGAGAGAGGAAGGGTAGGGCGGGCTTTTGGGTTCCCTTCGGAGGAGAAGGTGGTGATCGTGGTGGTGAGATTATCGGTGCCCTCGGGCCCGATAGACTGGTCTTGATCCTCCTCCTGACCTTGCTCGGCGAACCCAAAATCGATCTCCAAAGGCCTCAAACCGACCAACTTCCCCCTCCAAATCTTCCCTCCCAGCTCTAAGATCCGCCGAGTGAGACGTAAGAGGTAAGTCGACGGTGTCATCGTCAAGGAACGGAATGAGACGGAGTGGGTGCTGAAGGGGGGGAGGAGGTGAGGGGGGGTTATTTGGAACTGCGTGCACAGAAAGAGCGATGATGATGATGATGATGATGATGATAATCAGGTTAGGTCAGTAATGTTTGATTGGCGCTCTGGGTTAGGGTGAAGACGGTAGAGGGACTGGGGCAGGGACTGGGACTTACTTCAGGATACCCTTCCAAGAACTTCAAGTGCTTCTCGTCCCCAGTAAAATACTCGGTCTGGCGTAAGGACATCAGGCCGGTCGCTTGTTCCCCTTCAGAAGAGAGTTCGGATTGCATGATTTCGAACGCTACAACGACCACGTACAAAGAAACCCGAATCGTATCAGCTAGGTTACCTGTGTGCAGGGGTGACAGAGAAACAACGGAATTGCGAGGACACCGAGTACGCATGACATCCACAGTGTTATGTGGTCATCGTAGACAATGGGACTTCACTCACTCCTCCGATCCCACCGAGCTTGACGTTCATCGTCATCCGCAGCGAAACTCAAGTGATGAGCCCCCGCGCACGCACTGGCATATTCGGGGTCTTTAGTTAGGTTCTCGTCGGTCGGGAGGCGGGAGGCGATGATAAAGACCTCTTTGTTAGAGTTAGGGGACTGGGATTCGAGGATGCGGATGGCGGTTGTTAGGCCGATTATGCCGCTGCCGATTATTATGGTTGACATTTTCCTTGAAGCTTGAGGGTATCTCGAAGACCGTAGGTTGTGGTATCACTTACTTTGCAGCGGGGTGAAGAGTAGACCCTATCAGAGATCGAAAGTTGCTATCGAGCTCCCGGTAGTCCAGCTATATATATGTGGTCGTCTTCCAAGTCCCTGCTCGTATCATCCGTCCCGTCGAGTCATCCCGTCTTCCGTCCCGTTCAGAGATCGCCAATCATCCCCGGCTGGTCCATGTGGTCGACGTAGTCTATCTAGTCTATGTCGATGTTGTGTGGTTGTTTGGCGATTCTGTGAATGGTCGAGGTCGTGCTAATTGGCGATTCTTTGGTTGATTGGCGATTCTACTCGATAGAGGATATGCTTCCGGTAATGTCCGGCGCGGAATTAAATTCGGTGTCGGGTCGGGTTTCGGGTTGGTGTTGATGATCTTGGCGACTGAGGTAAGAAGCGCTTGCTTAGGGGATGGGGTTGTTGGGATCTAGAGTTCATGGGATTGGTTTAAGGATGGTGCTGGGCGATGGCGCTCGTCGTCGCTGGACCACAACGGCGTTCCATGATGTTGTTTTGTGACCCCCGGTGAAGCGCGATGTACTCGAGAAGCACATCGAGATCCGGCGGACCCCACCACACAGCTCCAGATTTATCAGATGTTCACGCCACATGGACATTACGTCGATCTATACGTACACAGGCCGGAACGACTATATCGCCTGGTGGCATTCCACAAGTCTCCTGCTCCGCTGGTCCAGATCGCTCGGACCACAAACCAACCGCCACCACCTTTGTTCTGACAGGTCTGGCCCATGAAGACGTTTGCCTTAAGATACAGGATAAATCATTCTACTTCTTTAGACAGAGCTGCAGACGACTTGCGGGATGCTCTGCAAAGAGGCAGAGCGATTCGGCCACATTCCGGAACACGAGTTTCGACACTCTTGTCGTTTCAAACACACATGATGGCTAAGTAGAGGTTCAAACATTCGATCGTTTTGCCTGTGGCAGTCGAGGCGAGTCGTCCTATACAAGCGTATCTACGAAAGTGGTTAATCGCTCAAGATCGGACAAGAGGCGGTATCCCCCAGCAACGTGGCGCATGGTCACATTCAACGGGAGACAGAATAGACAGCGTAATATATGCGAGTCACGCCTTCGTGTCATTCTTTTCTCGTCCGCAGATCCCCCTCCATCATGACTGATGGATAGATTGCCGACATACAAGTGGCACAGTACTGTAACATTGTGGGAGGATTTGATAGAGATGAGAGATGAAAGGTTATGACGTCGAGCAAAGGCGCCGACCATGAGGTTTCTCGCATGGCACAAAAGAATCCGATTGCGCAATCGTTAGGGAAGCCGTAGGTCGATCAGGTGACCACCTGAGAATGACATGGTCGTTCCTTTGTTCATCATTTTGTATATATATAGACGGTGAGAGGATTGAGGCGACAGAGGCGGGGTTGCAGTTGTCCCGCCTTGATTCGTGTCATTGCCTCAAACAGAGAGAGACATCGACGTTTCAGCTGCGCAGACCCCATCCATCACACACATCAGCAATGAACAATTCAAACGAACAGATCGACAGAAGTGCTGAAGAGAATATCGAGCGATGGACTTTGTTTCAGCCGGATCAAACGGGGGGTTCCACTGGGCAATATGATGGTACGGCGTCCTTGGACCCGTTCGCGTACGATGCCTTGACCGGCTATGTCTACGACACGGGGCTGCCGCCAGAAGGTCAGTACGGAGTCGAGGGACAATCTGACCAACGATCGCTGCCGACTGCGTATCCCTCCAACTATCCCGATCAGCGCGAATACGACTTCGATACCTTCCAGTCTGGATCGGGTCCGGCTGGAATTGATCCTGCTCTGTTGCTGCTAGATCATAAATCCGGGCCGATACCTGATCACTCACTGCCCTGTCCTGATGAATCTTCCTGTATTCCCCGGTCATCAGAGCTCCATAGGTTCGCCGAGCCCTCTGGTTCGCCTCCATCGAAGCCCCAAGGAAAGTCTACCTCGGGCGGAAGTGGCGCTTCGCGATCGAAATTGAGGTCAACTCGATTCTTGGTAGAGCGAAAAGATGGGAAAAGCTTCAAGCTTAGTGGGAAGCCGCTAAAAATTGCAACAGTATATAGTCTGACCCAGGTAGGCTCTATCTGCAATTGTAGCCACACCAAGCTTAAGCCGGCTTTCCCAGATATCGAGGCTGGTAAAGCAGCCAGCGTGACAACAAAAAGTGGGACTTGGGTGATTAGAATCGTAGCTTCTTAGTGATTTGATCTATATGTCAGTTTGATTATGGATGACCCTATGATTGTACAAGTTTTGAACATGTGTTCGATGTCTTATTGCCACAAGGACGTTGGTTTAGCGATTGGTATATGGGGACAAGCCATTGACGCATAAAGATATGGCGAGCACGATTGAATGTAATCAATTGGCAATGTTGGATCTGCCGGAGGGGTTGTCATTTGCAAAGGCGTACGATAGTAGTATGCGAGTGATACCCGGAATAGTTACCATCCTGCCAAGTGAACTAAGCCACACCTGTGGGCTAGTGTTTCCCAAATCGCTTCATATCGATGAAAGAATTTGGGGTCGATCGATTTGAAAAGCTGTCCAATCACCTGGAAAGCTGAACCCATATCCCAATAGAAGTTGGCTACCTTAACAGCCTTGACATCTGATATTTGACGGGTATCTCCCATCAGACCTACAAAAGGGGGTCTCTTGCGGATGTAGTGACGCGTCATGTGATGGCTATAAAACTGAATTGATGTCAGACTGACATATCTAGCGAAGTCTTGTACCAATTTGCCCAGACCCCTACATGCAAGGAATCAAAGTCCTCCTTGTCCAATGTCCATGGGTTGTGAATGCAAAGGGTAACGGCTTTCCTTCCCACAAATGTTCTTTGGTATGATTTCCTTATCGAAGATGAGCCAATCAACAGCCCCGTCTATGACCCGCATCAACTTGTTGGATAGCGCTGCATCTGCAAATCCCATATGGGACATCCCGTTCTCAACTTCCAGAATACTTCCCGTCCTTTTTCATCCCTTAGCAACTGATCTACATCAATCTGATCGTTGGTCAACCTTGGGCCCAGTCCTGGATTGCATGATTGCCAGTATCTTTTTGGTCTTTGCCACAGCCTCTTGCTGAAGTCAGTGAGGCAAAACTAACAAAGGTGGTCGAGAAGGTCCACATCGAGCCGCTCGTCTCGCAGCATGCTGGGGATACTCTTGTTGACCAGTTGGCATATCCATATGGGCTGAAGATAGAAGCAGAGGGAAGTTTTCCTACATCACAAACGTGACCTCGAATACACCTTTTCAGCACTCTGATTGCGCAGAATTGATCTCCCAGGAACAGATGGATCGAGGTCACCGAGCACCATCTTAGCCATCAGTGTGCGCCCAGCAGGATTTAGATGGCGATCCCAGTGTTCAATCGCAGTCGCAATCGCTGCAGACTCTGCGCTCCACCTCAGTTCCCTCAGATTTCAGTCTGGGCGTCTTTGATGAACACATAGTCGCAATGTCCGCTCTTTCCGACTATAGGTAACCTCCCGGTCAGGCGATCCGTGCTGTTCAAGACCTCAGCCATCAATCAGCGGACACAAAGAACCCAGCGAGCAAAGCAACAAGAGCCATATCACCGATAGAGACCAGACCTTTCCACAACAAACACTCATTCTGGGGCTGATTCAGTAGTCATTCAGCAGGAGCAGCACTCTGTTCGGGACAGAACCACATGGAAACAGAGGCACAGAGGGCAGAGCCGACCTACCATTTCAAACGCAACGCGTGAAAGACTCTCAGCCGCCTCGCACAGAGCAATATGGTACGATGTGCGGCGGGTCAGCTACGAACCCTTCTGGGATAGAGCCGGGAAACGTGTATGGTCAACAATAGTAGAGGGCTGCTCAGCCCTGGCGGGATTTCTTAACTGCTCTAACAACGAAATTTGGAAGGCTCTGAAAGGTAAAGGAGACAAGAGAGTTACCATTGAGGGAGGGTGGGAAATCCAGAAAATCACCAAATCGAATGCTTCCTTATAAGTTGGGCTTGAAGATATGTCGTTATGGTTTCGACTTGTTGCGGATGTACACGACAATTGGCGAGTGACCAAATAGTTCTCAATGGTTGTGTAATATAGTATATGTATGTCAGAGTGACTGTTTTCTGACGAAGTAAATGATACAACAGGAAGGCGAATGATATAGCTCAATTCGGAATGTGACATAGGAGTCCCTTGGTTGCTGCAGAAATGTTCACTGAGGCTTACGACAGGGTCACACACACACACCAAGGAACCCTATAGATCCTGTAGTCTATCGAGAGCTACCCGTGTTGGAAACGATGCTGCAGGGTCGACGCTCTCTGATCGATTTGATCAATCGAGAAAGGTATACGCATCGATGTCCTTTATTGTTGGTTGAGTGAGTTATGTAGAAGATCCTGCATATGATAGGAAAGCAATGCTGGACGGGATCTGTGTCGACGCCACGCTCGTCGTTGCAAGACGGGGTTGCTGATGCTAATATCCCAGTACACTAATGGTAGTATCGATTGTGGCGTTAAGACTGAGTGGCCTTGTCGAAGCGCGGCAACGATAGGAAAGACACGCGCGAGAGCTTGAGCGATCTTATTTAATTCTTGCACGAGAAGACTGATGAATCTTTTCCCTCCTGTTATGACACATCCCGCCTCCAGATGATTGACCTGCCTGCGGTACTTCCCTTTTCGAGGTAATGTCAAGGGATCTTCGCCATTGTACCCCCTCGCGCAATATGCCTCGGTGTCGACCGGCGCGGAAGAAAATTCGGTCGGGTTTCGGGTTGCACGGTATGGTCAATCGGTAACAACGATAGGTCTCGCAGCGCCAGCGCTCCTTGGGAAATATCATCACAGGTGATACGAAGGGATCTCGAAGTGTATCAAAGCTGAAAGAGCTATGCTGGGTGATTCCCTGCCGAATTCCACAAGAGAGATCTGCCGCTCCGTTCGATGGATAAGGCGGCGGGAGCCTTGTTACGACCGGAGAATATAGCAGCCGTCTTGTCGACGAGTGTTGAACCGCACACAGTTGGGTAGTGAACGTACAGGCGCAGAAAATTATACGAATGAGATCGGTATTCGACAATGCGTGCCTGTCGCTTAGGGGTCCCGCTTTACACTATAGCTGTCATAGGAGGCCATCTAGCTCCGGATTGATAGTGTGATTGCGCGACGAGGATGTCGACTGAAGATCACCCTAATCTTGTGCTCATCCGAAGCTCTCGCCCAGCTCATAATGTTGGTATCGGGGTTGTACAAACAAAGGTGGTAAATGATGCCATCGTTGGGAAGGCCCGAGTGACACTACACTGGACAGCAGCGTTCCTTTGTTTGCCGTGTGATATATATATACCTGGGTCACAGAGGGCAACAAAAAATATATCGTTTGGGGTATAGCCTTGGTGTTTATCACACCTTGCATATTCACCTTCATCAGAAGCATTAGGGAAACAACCATGTACCAATCCCGAGCATGTCTGATTTACATGGATCGATGGATGAAACCTGTCAAGGAGGTCAAACAGGATCGGTAGGCTTCGAGGACGGTCAGAACTGGTATTCTCCTTTGCCTTTTGATGCTGGGTTCCCCTCCATGTCTCTCCCATACGATCCCTCAATGTTGCATACGGTCTATGATGTACCTGATGGCGGGGTCCAGTCTGCTTACGATATCCCTACAGGGATGCGGCATGTAATTGTAGGTCAGGTTGGATCTGCACGTGCGTGCCGATTCATGCAGTCTGATTTGATCATGTCTGTATTCAAACAGGACTGGGTAGCAGAACACAACCCAGGGACAGGTGATCAACCACTGGAATCGTCCTCTTGGAATGAAGGTGCCCCTCATCATGATTTAGGATCCTCTTATGACCCAACATACACGCAGCCAAGTACCGCCTATCCGTCGATTAAACCCCAATCAGCGGACACAGGAGGTACGTACCAACCAGCGGGCACAGGAGGTACGACAAGCCAAGAGAAATTTGCCATTCATACGATGAGAATGGCAGTGAATGGCAAGATGTATAAACATGGCAAGCCATGCTCAGGAAAGACTCGCGAAAAGTTGAGTGAAAAGTTGAGAGGTCGCGTATTCACAGACGCCGAACGCGCACAATTGTCAGCCAACTCTCATAATGCAAAACGATGCAGAGTGAGTCGAGTGGACGGGACCAAGTTCAAGACTGATGAGGGAAACTCCGTTGCTTCAGTGGTATTATCGTCAATCAAGAAAGCAGCTGAATTCTGTAAGCATGATGTCAGCACGGTTCAAAAGGCCCTCAAGGTCAAGACGACGATTGAATGCAAGAAGACGTGGATAATCAAAGTTCTTGGCGAAAGCGAAACATGAAGCCCTCGCGACTTTACTGTAGTTATATGTCAATGATACTGCTATGATGTAGGCCCAGTGTACTTGTAACGCTTCAATCCGTTATAAAATTATAGATGTCAGAGATCTGGACTTGCAGATCAAATAAAGGTAATGAAGTATTGCGGTGGATCCCCATAGAACTGGGTACTGGTGTACCTTGGAAGAGCCACGGGAGATTTGGTGATAGAAAATATGCTGGCATCCCCTTCTGGGCCTTCCAGAATCTGCGCAATCCGATTTGCGACATGATTCGAGACGTCTGCCAAAACAAAACCTGAAGGAACTGGAGACGAACTGGCAGATCTGCGAGCCTTGCTTTCTTGCAAGAGCTGAACTTTTACCGTCGGATGCCAGTACCGGTCTACCAACATGCTACTGTAGTCTGGACTCGAGCTCAACAGCTCCGCCAGGGGTAATGCCGAGTCAGAATGATCATAGTTCCATGTAGGATAATGCTCTTTTTGTATGCGGCTGACAGATTCCCCTTACGGAATGTGTCGTCTTGCTCGTGCTAAATATTCACCAGTCTCCAGATCATACTGAATGGTCAGCCGGATCTCCTACATACCTGTCATTAAAAGCTTCGACGGACATTAACCCGCTAGTAGCTCTTACTCCGTAGTCGCGAGTCAAGCCCCACACGGAAGCTCAGCGCACGACCCCCGGATCGATCATGTAGAAAGTAGGTGCGCGCGCGTGTAATCAAGGATTACCGGGATTATTTCCCTAGGATTACTGGGATTATTTCCCCAGGATTACTGGGGACTGGGGTGATGCTTAGTCAGCATCACCCAAGCTGGGACCTCACCCCGGTGATGAAAATCTCGGACAACTAGATCATCAATATACACCACTTGACTGTTAGATCTCAAGCAATATCTTGAGTTCTAACAGGTCAGTACCTTTGTATTGGTTAATAGCACATGCCAATTGATAAAGCAATATCTTGAGTTCTAACAATCCTTCCGGGAATCATTCATAGCTGATCTCCTTTGTTTTCGATCAGACTGCACACAGTCTCATAAGGTCCATCACTGAACCTTCGACTCACGTTGAACAGCCTCGTTGACGGCCTGCCTTGCAACTTCCACTGATTGACCCCTTATCTACACTCCAGAATGTCGTCAGACTCGCAACGACAACCGCCTGAAACAGATGATTGGCCTCAGACCAATGCGGAAGGAGACATCTGGTCGGGATACATATGGCCCGAGCACGTGGTAGACTGGTACGAGCATCTAGGTACTGAGTTCACCCCGAGCGCGCTTGAAGACGATGCCCGGGTAGAAGCGGTCGGTGCTACTAAACGCACGTCGCAGTCACTTGAGTGCGGAAAGGATTTGCAGGCCGACCAGGGAGTCGTCGAGGCTCGAAGACCGATCACCAGCCCTATATCAGATCCGAGAACTCGTGTCGGCGCTGGTTCTTCAGAAGCTGAATCAAGTCAAGATCAACAGAATCTTGGCTTGCTGACACTGTACCATGGCGGGGGGTCAATGGTTCCTCGCGACGATTGGCCTACGTCATCGGGGCCGATCCTGACTGAACACGGCTCTGGCTCTATCCGTCTGGACGAGCTGCACACGCAAGAGTGTTGGATATCGAGTTGATCACCGCTGTATAGTTTGCATGAAGATGTAATTACAAGGTGATCTATCGAAAGGGGATTGAAAAGGGCCAGTATATATATTGTTCAGGACAATAGGAGTTGGCGGCGAAGCGAGCGAGCGAGCGAGCGAGCGACAAAGCGACAAGCGGAAAGCGGAAAGCGGAAAGCGAGTGTTATAGCGACGCGCGCGTGCGCCGGACTCGAGTCGTACCAACTCCGGCGGAGTTGTTCAAGGAGCATATCGTATTGTATCACTTTGTATCAGCATTGTAGTATATAGTCTTTCATCTGATATTACATCTATATACCCTAGCCCTACGTTCTACATTACTCCCGGATATGTCCTCGCAGGTATACATCGAGCCGGTCTTCCCTGGAGCCTTCTCGACGCCTAACAGCGAGAAGCGACAAAGCAAGCGAGCTCGGCGAGAGATGACAAAGCGAGCGAGCGAGCGAGATGAAACACAGGGGAACAAAGGCGTGAAGAGTGGATGTGCTGTTGTCCCGCGTGATCTATTGTTGTGGAACAATAGGCGCGCGCGAGACAATGGATTCCGACAAAGAGATGGCCCTATCTGAAAGACCTCGACGACGCCGTTCGGAGACCACTAAGCGGAAGATCAGAGAAGCGGCATTGGGCCGAATCATGTCCCCCGAGGCGCGCGCTAAGATATCGGAACACACTGGAAATGGAAAGCGATATCGAGTCACACAGAAGAATGGGGGAACGTTTAGAGTCGATGGGGAACCAGTGACTTCCGTTACTGTACAGAGTCTCGAGAGGGTAGCTGCCATCACTAAAGCCGCCAAGAGTACCGTTTCGATCGCTCTCAGGGATAAGCAAGGTGTCGTCAAGAGAACTTTCAAGGTTGAGGATCTAGGTCTATCAAACCCGCCTCAGTCTGGCTGAGTCTTGTGTGCACACTATTGCAATCATATTTATGTGTTTGATGCAGATTATGCAACGAGTCCAGGACTTTGGATGAACTTCCTTGCCGGTTGGCATGATGGCAGCGTATTGATAGTTCCAAGTTGGTCGAAGTCCCGATGATATATCCTATGAGCGGAAATTCTTCGCACGATAAAATGTAGCCTCTATACCTCTCGAGATGTGCCCAACTTACGAGTCATTGTTGCATACCACACAGGACAAGCCGATGCCCCAAGTAAGGTTTGCCTCATTCATAAAGCACATGTATCTATTATAGGTGTCACGTGACGCGCGACCTACGGTGCGCGTCGCCTCGGGGTCCCGTTCGGAGACCCTCTCGGGGACTCTCTCGGAGACCTTTTAGGAGATGTTCTCGTAGACGTCTAACTAGTACCTTGTAGTAGTTAGACATCCGTTATTCTATAAGGCCTGGCAGCCGACCTGCCGGGTCTTGAGGTAATAAGGTCGCGGGACTGGGGAAAGGTAACGGTAGGCATAGCAATGTAATATCTGCAGCGAGTGAGCAAGACCGATCATTGTTTAGACGAAATGTCTCAGCTGACGATCGGCATGAAGCTCCTGAAGTTTCGGACTCGACGTCGGAGCACCTCCTCGTGCCTTCGACCTGGCAAGGCAAAGCGAGAAGAGAATCCAGTCCCCCGCGAGGATCAAGTGGCAACGTTCTCGAAACCACGATTGGAGCCAGAATCAAGAAGTCTAAGCAAAGAAACCCGACGTCTAAAGCGATAGTCAATCGTACCAGAGCAGGCAGTCTCGCCGCGTCGTCAACAGCTTGTTCGTTTGACCTTGTTAGGGTCGAAAGCGGTGAATTAGAACAGACGGACTCTTCGAACAGTATGGGACATACATGGCCACAATCGTTCGAACTCTCTGCCGTCAGCGAATGGAATTCTGCCGCTCCCAATCGTCCGGCAGGATCTCCACAGCCGGATTTCAAGGGGAGCGCAATAAAGGCAGATGGGACGAGGCAACCTTTCAAGTCGGCCGAGGCCTTGCATCAGGAACTTGTCCGCAATCTCTGCGAGGTGTTGTGTTCTGGAGGATCGATGTCAAATGAAGAGCGAAACCTCAAGGTGGAACGGAAGTATCGTGACATCGCCATCTACAAAAATCGTAGGACTCTGCAAGCACGTTTCCGGGAAGTGAAAAATTGGGTAGAAGAGTTGAGATCTGAGAGAAAAGACTGGTGGCATCCCCCTCTTAACCTACCGGAAGGTTCAGCAAAGGCAGAGAAGTTGAAGCAGACACCACCAGAACTTGTTTCTATCGTAGAGATCCGCTGGAAGCTCTGTGAGACCTGCTTCAAGAATAAAGGCGAGCTCTTGCCATCCCGCGCGAGCACAGGTGAAATTACATGCTATTGCGATGTGCCTTCGTGACTTTCCTGATTGTATAGTGTTGTGATAGTCTGTGAAACTGTTCAATGTTTCAACAAAGAAGTGAAATGTTTCTATTACGTATCTCTTTTATCGGTCTACGTGATTCATTGATCATATCAAACACGCTAATCTTTCCGGCAATCGAGTGCGCATATTGCTCGCACCTATACAGCTTTATCAAGCAGCGGTATGACTCACATCTCGCTGTTCAGGTCTCATTAGCGCAGCCTCTCTCGCCCGTTCTTGCTTATATAATGGTGGTATCGACATGTTTCCTCTGACATGCATACCCTTTGGCTCTACAGCAGATCTCGTCGGGAAAGTCATCCTTCAGGGCAAAGTTCAGCAAGGAACATATTTGGGATGTTTCCTGATGCGGCTGCATGCAATGTCAAGCTGGGGTTCTCCTTCCAATTCGGACCCCTAATAACCAACGTCAGATGTTCCATGAGTGCGACTGAGAATAATTGTGAGGTATTCCTTCGGAGGATTGGGTGAAAATTCCACCTTCCAGAAACAAGCGACTGTCTCAGCGAGGGGATGCACAATCCACAACATCTGCTGGCCATCAGCTATGCATGGTTGATGGGTCAAGCGCGAGCGCAATCAGAGATAGACAAGGTCTGTCGGCGCGACCAAGCGAACGCGCTTGTATGAATACGATGGCGCGGCCATACTCGGCGGTAGCGACAAGTTGAAACAGTCTGACTGGTCGCGTGACTGACGGTGACTGAGACGAGGTGGTTCCTTTGTCTTGCGTGTATCTGTGTATCTATATATACATGTAACCTGACAACGGCTGAAAATGCCTTGTGATCATACGCACAATGTGCCCTCTAGTAGTTAGGAAAAATTGTTACTGCCTTCCCAACAACATAATCTGACGCCACATTAATCCCGCCAACTGATCAATTCACACTTCCGCCGCTCGCTATGGCTGATCAAATTGAAGAGCGAAGATCTATGTACACAGTTGATCTCGACTTGAGAGGGGGCTTTTCTTTGTTTCCTGGTTTGGGCGAGATGTTGGTCGTAACGTACGCAGAAGATGGGAGTGGTAAAGCTATGGACCCTGAAACTCTCGCATCTTCAGACCGGCGTTCCAGTTCGAGCGATCGTACTACTACTGAAGCGCCTGAAGCTCTGAGCGAGGTATATCGCCAGCAAATACCTCGACTGACTACACCAGCGACCAGTCGGAAACTTATGAATGGACGGACCGTCGCAGCGATTTGCCATGGTAGGCTACGGAAACCCACGCCTCGAAGGAAAAGTTTCCTAAGTCCAGCGCGCAGTTCGGCTTCGAAGGGTCTCTCTGCCTCGTCGGAGGCTAGGTCCGGGACTCTTGAACAAGAAAGACCGGCAAGCGGCAGCGAATTGAAACTTGATTCTGCGATCAGCATGGGGACTCTTCCAGAGCAGTCTACCTCCAGCCAACAGACACATCACCATGTCAAATCGGCACAACACTGGCATGAGGAAGTGATTTCCAACTTCTGCAAGTTTATTTGCGCCAGTCGAACCAGTACAGCACAAACAGGCTCAGAGGGGCATCGAGAGGTACCAGCGGAAGCGGCAATCCTCTTACAGAGGCTCAAAGAGAAGGAACATTTCAGAGGCCGCACGGAGATACCAAGATGGTTCGAGCCATGGGTCTCGCATGCGAGATCCCGCGGTATCGCCTGGTGGCATCCCCCTCTTGATCCAGATTCGTCAGAAAATCCAGCGGTGGAGCTCCGGAAGATACCGACCGAATCGCTAAGTGCTGTAGAGCCGCAGTGGAGACTTTGCTATCGTTGCTTCGATATGAGCTATGAGCTCTTGTTATCGCGCGCCAGCACTCGCTGCGAGACCTGCTACTGCAAGGCACCGTCTTGACCCGTTCGATCTAGATCGGATCTATTGTGTACCTCTGTATGAGCGCGTATACTTTTTTGTCTGAAATGATACTGGTCCTCTTCGGCATTTCAGCGCTGGTAACGTCACATTTCCTACAGCCCACTGAGGTGAATTATTCATTGCTCGCTAGGGTCTACGAGTATGGCAGGCGAAGGCTCAGGGAACACGTCCCCTTGGTTCCAGTCCCGGATACTCGCTGGTATTTGGTCGCGACATCACTGACTGTCACTTGATCAGCCTAAACTATGAAATCGCATTGTCCATCACGATTGAGGTAATCACCCATAATCATAAAATATGACGCGATGCATCCTAAAGCAAATAGATCCACCAACTCGTCAAGCGGAAGGGATTACCACCTAGTTTCTTAGAACATGAAAGGCGGGACTCCAACTAGATTGAAAGCCGGAAATAAACGTCGCTGTGAGGAGCGCAACGATCACGGATTCAGATAGCCATCCTCGGCCATATCCTTCGATTCCCAGGACGCCTTGACGAGTTGTATTTTTCCGTCCAACTGAACAGTGAATAGTCTTTAGGTGTCCTTTACTGCACCTTCAGGGCTCTGATAATCATTGGACTCTAGCAACTCAACAGGTCGTGTGACAAACAAAGGTCGCATTTCGGTCGAGGGTTGTATTTTGGACGCCCGGTGACTGTCGGGCTTCCGACAAGCCGTGGTAGATGCGACACTGACTGAGGTATCATGGCAGGGATTGAGAAGGCCTTGCAATGTATGGGAACGATGAAGACGTTTGGTCTCTGGTTTCAGTGCTGCCTTGCTCTCTGTCGTAGTAGTCCTCTTCAGCTACATGGTCGATCACGTATGCTCATCGAGCATTGCTCAAGAGGAAGTCACCGATGTACCAGATAAGGGGACCTAAGGTACCTGGATACAGTATGGGTGTGGGATCATCGATAGGTGCGTCCTCACTGCGCCCTTTTTGCCAGCGGTCGCGGACGTGCTGCGATGCAATGCAATATGTTGGACAGCGCCAGCGATCGAAGACAGTGTAATGAAGTGAAGGTCTGCTATGTCGGATCGATTGTGTTATCAGATTATGCAGTAGGTGTAGAGTTGTTCATAGACGAAGAATGATCTGGACTTGAACGCCACTTGGATAGTCAACTCAACCTCGACTTGATCTGATTCAGATTGCGCTCATTCTTGAGTCCAGGCTCATCGACGCCCGTCTTTCTTGTCCATGCACACCGAATCGACTTACTTCAATTCTCCTTTCTTACATCCTGAGGCTGATAATGACGGCCACCATGATCTACGATTTACTATGGAGCTATGAACAGATCGAACAGACGAGTCGGACTGGAATCTCAGACGTCGAAACGAGAGGTCGAGCACGATGGCCGAACACGTCCGAAACCTCAAACCTAGCGCAGAGAGCGGGAGGCGGTTTCTCGCTGTCGACCGGAACCGAAAAAGTTAATCGAAATCACCATCGACGCTGCCTGCTGCCCGCTGGTCTTTTGGTTAATGGATATCGGTACCGGGATCCCCACAAAGCCCCAAAGTTCGAATGACACCCGGCAGCCTCCATTACCAAGGACTCTTACCTCTCGACTCCTACCTTTCACCCTGTCGCTGGATCGCTGGCTGGCCCGCTTGTACTCTGCTGTACGGGTCGCACTCGAGGTGCACAAGCGTTTCGGACCGTCCGAAGAATGGCAAACCACAGCGACGTTGCATTATTTTGCACGTGATCTGCTGGCACAAGTATACCCGGGACGGGGGGATGCGACGCGGATTCGAAAAGACAAGCGCTCGCCCGTCTGTTGACGTTGGGTCTTGTGCTTTGGGTCCGGCAGCCGGGGGGGGGAGCCACCAGAGCTTCAGATGTGGGGGAGACTGCGGGGGAGCCAGTTTCGCTCAGTTCGAAATCAACGTACCCCGAGGTCCCGCGCAGTGCGAGGTGGGATGTTGATTTCGAACGCGCGCAATTTCTCGAGGTAGGCGAGGTGAAACGATTTCGAACTCGCAGGACCGCAAGAGTGTTTTTCGCCAGCCAACCGAACACTTTTCACCGTCACCGTCATCGTTTTTTGTGCTGGGGCTACGTGGGGTTCATGGGGGAGAGGGGAATGAGTATAAGAACCCCACAGGACCAAGACGAGGTCGATTGTACGATGTCGTTGTGAGGTGATCTGGTCGTTTTTGCTTAAGTCCACGTTAACTCCGCCGAGTATCTTCGTGTTATCATTCATCGCATCATCGTGAGTCATGTGCCCAAGATCCTTATAACCTCAAAATCACGATCTCATCATTCCGACGTTCAATATCCAACTCACAACACATGCAACACATCTTCATTCTGACATCCGATAGTCGCTGTAGCATACAACATACAAGTATCAGGAGGAATACTCGACCTGAGCTTAGTTCTTGAAAAGGTGAGTTCATCGTTTCTGTTTGCGTCCTTTCTCGATCTCTCGATCTCTGGGCTGTGGGCTGTGGACGTGTGGTTTCGTGGAAGGGTCAAAGGATCAAAGGAAGGTCGAGCATCGAGCGAAGCGAATTCAGCATAGCTAGGAGATAACAGCACCAGCTAGCTGGCGAGAAGGATGGTAGACGGGACGTGACGACGTCGATTGGCCAAAGGCTGAAGGGAGAGCAGACGAGTGCTGTGCAGTGCAGTGCAGTGCTGTGAAACACGACGAAACACGAGATATCGAGATATGGAACGATGAGATGAGATGGAATGGGAAGGAAGACGTTCCATCAAAACCACCTTCAACCACCTTCAGCATCAGCACCAGCCGGGAGCAAGCGAGAAAGCGAGGAAGCGAGCAAGAGAGAGATAGAAGCCAGCCCTCTGTGGCCTCTGTCGGCATGCAGGACGCAATACGCAGCGTCGGAGCGTCCGGTGTGATCGATCACGAGATCACGAGATCCCAGATCCCAGACAAGCTAGAAGCTACAGTAGACGGGGATCATTCCGGGCTCCGAAAAGGAAGCCCAAGTCAAAGCTACGGCGGAGTTCTCGAGGCTGCGGAGTGGTCGTCTTGATAAGGATCATCAATACCGATTACCGAAATCGAGGCCGCCGGCACATCGCCATCGTCGATCGCTATCTCGATCAGGTGCATCAAAGATCAGGTGCATCAGGTGATGTGACCTCGCCCTCTCACACTCGCACTCGCACTCGCATGGGGAGGTGAAACGGAGAACGTAACGTGACTCGACTCGACTCGACTCGCGACTCGGCATGGCATGGCATGGCGTAGCGTGGTGTGGTGTGGTGTGGTCGTTTTTGGTTCTGGGTCGAAAGGATGTTGCTGTATATAATTGGGACTCAGCTTATCTCTTTCTTTGTCTTTCTTCCTCTTCTTCTCTTGATCTCTTGGATCTCTTGCTTCCCTTTACCTATCGCCTATCGCCTATCGTCACTTACCGACTCACCGCCAACTACCGTCAACTCACCGTCACCGTCACCCGTCAAACTTCTCGACTGTTTATCTCAATCGACCATATTTCGACCTTCCTTACATCTTCACATATCTGTTATCGCCCATCAACCTGCAACTATCGTCATCATCAACGACTACCCGCTGGCGACTTGTGACCGACGACGCTTCCTTTACACTCACTCTCCGCTCGATCATCGGTATCGTCCCCCGCATCGCTCGCTCTCGCACCCGCGTCACATCAACTCAGATCAAAGCAAGAAGCCCAAACCCACTGGTGAAGGACCTTCTCGATCGTTATCGTTATCTATCAAGACCTTTCGGGATTTCAAGCTCCGACTTGCCCAACTAGTCTTAGTCTTAGGAGGAGGGAATTATCAGGATTAGGATATAAGCACACGCTCGTTGCTTGTTGAGATATGAGCGTGAGTCTACCTTCAAGCCTGTCGCATCATAGAAAGCAGAGCACTGACGACCGATACGCTACGCTCGAACTCAATCTCGATTGTATACGATGACCCTCGTCCAAGAACAGATGGACGCTGTTACTTCCAAGATGGAGAATGTGAGTATCTAGTTTCCCTTCATAATCACCCAAGGTGAACACGAGGAAGAGAGCTGACGCATCCCGCTGTTTGCTATGCTACGCCGTTGCCCTCGCAGTTGTTGAAAGCCGGTGGGAACGTCTTGCCCTCGGCCTTGAGGCCTGATGGAGTTGCCGCGCAGAACGGGGGCAGTGGGACGTCCACCCCGCAGAGGTTGAGGAAGGATACCATGTGAGTCCGGCGTCGGGGTTCGAGCTTTGAGGCATGAGCTTCTCAGTGCGGTCACAAGTACTGACGTGGAGATGACTTGTTGGCGATAAAACGCTGCAGCGGCTACAAGACGACCGATTTCCCTCAGAAGGACCAACAACGCACCGAGGTCGAGAGGATCGTCCTCCAGCTCGGATTCATCCCCCAGCCCTTGATCGCGGGGGAAGTCAACTGGTACTACCAATCCCTGGGGATCGACAACACGTACTTTTTGAACGAATCCCCGACGGTGATCGCCGAGGCTATCCTCTCGCTCTATGCGGCCAAGGTCTTGGCGTACACGAAACATGATCCCAACAGGTTGACTATCGATTTGGAGAATGTGACTACCGAGGAGATGAGCAAGGCTACGGGCGGGAAGAAGAAGGAAGGTGCGGTTTGGATTCATACGAGTCAGCCGGGTATCAGTGCGGTCGAGGGCCCCGGGGCCGAGGTCGAGAAGAAGTGAGTGTCGTCGTCGCGTCCGAACTGGAATGTGACTAAGAGCTAATGACATTGACCTCGCGGTCCACCTTCGGTAGGATCGACGAAAACTACCTGAACAACTCGACCATCGACAAGGCTTACCGACTCGAGACCTACCGATCGACCGGGGCCATCTCCTCGGCTTCGCGTCAACAACTCCGATGCTACTTCCTGCAACGATGCGTCTTTCCCGAGGGTAACCCGCCCTCGCTCGACTCGGACAAGCCGGTCGACATCAAGACCGTCTCGGACAGGTCGTTCTTGGAAAAGGCCTCGGACAAGACGCTCGAGATCTATCAGCATGTCATGGACCAGGTCAGGAAGAGGAGCGGGCCCGTAATCGAGTTGTTCGAGGTCGAGGAGAGTAGGGAGAGGAGGGTCGTCATCGGTTACAAGATGGGCGGGACCAAGCAGTTCTTTTCGGCCCTGTCGGATCTTTACCACTTTTACGGTCTCTAGTGAGTCGTGCTTCGAGGCACTGGATATCTGCATAAGGGGTCGGTGCTAATGCAAGATTGGTACCCGGTAGCTCGGCTCGAAAGTACGTCGAGCAGTTCTCGAACGGGATCACCATCATCTCGATGTACCTCAACCCGGTTCCCAACTCGCGAGCGCCTCCCATCGAGCACTCGATCCATCAGGTCATCAAGGAGACCTCGCTGCTGTACTGTCTGCCCCACAACCCGTTCTTCTCTGTCAAGGCCAACCCGGATCGGGACCACGCGGTGCAAGAGGCCACGTACGCGTATGTCGGGTGGATCTTTGCTCAGCACTTTTGTAACCGTCTTGGGGCGAGTTATATCGCTTTGAAGAACCGTAAGTTCTGGGACGTTGGTTGTTCGTGTTGTAGCCGGTACTGACGTGCCATCGCCGCCCGCCAGTCCTGGACGAGAACAACCCGTCCCACGCCGAGGCTCTGCAGAGCATCAAGACCAGACTCCGTGACGAGACCTTTACCCGGCAATTCATCCAGGAGACCTTGCAAAACTACCCCGAGCTCGTCAGGATGTGCTACATCAACTTCGCTATGACCCACTACCCGGCCTTGGACGAAGCCAGCCAGCTCACCCCGACGCTCAGTTTCCAACGACTCAAGACCGAGCAACCGTTGGAGGAGGCCGAGCTCGTCAGGGAGATCCGAAAGCGATGCAATGACGAAGAGGCCCAGATCCTCGAGGCCTTGTTGGTCTTCAACAAGCACGTGCTCAAGACCAACTTTTACCAGCCGACCAAGGTCGCCCTCTCGTTCCGACTCAAGCCGGATTTCTTGCCCCAGATCGAGTACCCCTTGACGCCGTTCGGGATCTTCTTCGTCGTCGGATCCGACTTCCGTGGATTCCACGTTCGATTCAAGGACGTCGCTCGAGGTGGTGTTCGAGTCGTGCGATCGCGAGGCAGGGAGGACTATGCCAAGAACGCCAGGACCTTGTTCGACGAGGCCTACGCTTTGGCCAGCACCCAGCAGAAGAAGTGAGTTCCGAATCGCACGAAGGTCGGTTGCTTGGCTTGCTGACCCTGACTCGGTGCACCGCAGAAACTGCCTCATCGTCGAAGGCGGTGCCAAGGCGGCCATCTTGCCCAACCTCGACGCCAACTTTACCTTGTGCTTCGAAAACTTTGTCGACGCCGTCATCGACTTGCTCATTCCCGGTCAATCGCCCGGCATCAAGGAGAAGATTGTCGATCTGTCCGGACGCAAGGACCCGGAGGTCTTGTTCTTCGGTCCCGATGAGAACACTGCCGGCCTCATGGACTGGGCTTGTTTCCACGCTCGAAAGAGGAACGCCCCGTGGTGGAAGGTGAGTTGGGTCGTCCTGGGTGATCGATGATCGGCTTGCTAACATAGGTCGTCCGTCTCGACAGTCCTTCACCACCGGAAAGAGTGCTTCGGCTCTCGGTGGTATCCCTCACGACGTGTACGGCATGACCTCATTGTCCGTCCGACAATACTTGCTCGGTCTTTACCGAACGCACGGTCTTACGGAGAAGAACGTCACCAAGGTTCAGATCGGAGGACCCGACGGTGATCTCGGTTCGAACGAGATCTTATTGAGCAACGACAAGACTGTGTGAGTGGATGTCTTTGACCGTTCAGTGTCGAGACGTATACTCAATCTGGCCCGCCTGCTCGACAGCGCTATCGTCGACGGAAGTGGAGTCCTGCACGACCCCAACGGTATCGACCGAAGCGAGCTCACTCGTCTCGCCAAGGCTCGACAGACCGTTTCGAACGTCGACCGAGCCAAGATTGGACCCGGTGGATACCTCATCCTGCTCGAGGACAAGGGATTCGTTTTGCCTTGTGAGTGCCTATCGTGCGTGGAAGTCGGTTCTGGTCAGCGCTAAACAGGGCATTGTCCTCGCGATTACAGCCGGCGAGGTCATTGCCGATGGCTTGACCTTTAGGAACACCGCCCACCTCCGTTTCAAGGCCGACATGTTTGTGCCTTGTGGAGGTCGACCCCAGGCCATCAACTTGTCCAACGTCAACCAGCTCTTCGACGCCGAGGGCAAGTGCCACTTCAAGTACATTGTCGAGGGAGCCAACTTGTTCATTACCCAAGAGGCCCGTGAGCGACTCGAATCCAAGGGGATCGAGCTCTACAAGGACTCGAGCGCCAACAAGGGAGGAGTCACCTCGAGCTCGCAAGAAGTCTTGGCCGGTCTCGCCCTCAACGACGAGGAGTACATTGCCAACATGCTCTTCAAGGACGGCGCGCCTACGCCCTTCTACGAGGCTTACGTCAAGGACATCCAGGCATTGATCGCCCGTAACGCCTCGGCCGAATTTGTCGCGCTCAACAAGGAGTACGCTCGACACAACGGCAAGGTCTTGCGAACCAGGATCGCCGATGAACTCGCCAGCGCTCTCAACAACCTTCAAGCCGAGCTCGAGACCAGTGCTCTGTACGAGCAAGTCGAAAGCCGCAAGAACGTGTTGGCCAGGGCGTTCCCCAAGACCTTGATCGACTTTGTCGGCCTCGACAAGTTGCTCGAACGTCTCCCTGAGCCGGTGAGTCAGAGATCGTTTGGTGTTTGAATCGATGTGCCGGGCTAACGATTTCCTTTCGCTCGCTTCAGTACCTTCGTGCTCTCTGGAGTGTCAAGATCGCCTCCGACTTTGTCTTCTCCAAGGGTCTCGGAGCTAGTCAGGTCGACTTTTTCCTCTTCTTCTCGTCATTGTCTTCGTGATCTCTGGCGCAGTTTCTCTATCTACCTTTCTCGTCTCGTTTCCGTTATTAGCATTCCGACACATCATCTTCCTCTCTTACAGTCAACATCAGTCCGTCATACAATCATCGTCAGCACATTTATAAAAAGCATTTGTACTCCTTTCCATCATCTATCCTATGCTCATTGCGTCATCGTACTTGTCTATCAGAGCTGACGGCTGCGGACTAGAATGATCGAAATGAAATGGCGGTGAAGTATGTACAGAGGTACAACGGGTGTCGGGAAAGGGTACTCATATATACAAAAAGCTAAGATCAGGCAAAGGCGTTTCACCAGTAGCAGGCATCCTTGTTCGGTTCCTTTCCAGTCCATCCGCACGATTGAGTCGATATGGAGGGGGTCTCGGGGTGGATCATGTAGGCCATGTTCTGCTCGAGCTGTTCGATCGTAAGTTGAGCGGCGAAACCGTTCTTCTCCACCTGAGGATCGCCGATGTTCATGCCGAGGGTCACAGTGCGGTCCTTTTCGTCGGCGCACTTGACTTGTTGGCCGTTCTCACCGGTACACTGGCGGACGTTGGTGACAACGTACGTGGTGTCCTTTCGGATGAGGTTCTCGTCGGTAGAATCCTTGGTCTGGACCAGCATCAGGTTGGAGAACGGCGCGGCAGCATCGAGGGCGATGGATATGCCGTGGACAGCGTCGTCCTTGAAGATCCGCTTGACCGGTCTTTGTCCCGATACCATGCCGAACAAGACCAACAGCTGATCATCTCGAGCCGTGTCCTGCGTAATGTTCTCGGGCAACTGGTATTCCTTCAGCCTCTGCTTGACCTGGGGCAGATCAAGAGTGCTCAGGATGGCGCTCTTCCACAACTGGTTGTTGTTGGTCGAGTTGGCGTCAGCATCCTTCCAGCTCGTGTTGACAAGCAAGGGGTGGGACCCGGGCCAGAGGTTGACCGTGGCGTAAAGATCCTGCTCATGCCTGAGAGCTTTCATGCTGTGAGCACGAGAGGTGTCCTCACCGCTAACGATCTTGGCCCATTCTTCGGGATTGGTCGTCTCGATCTTGTAACCGGTATTGTTGGCCATAAAGTTCTGAATAGCGGTCCACTCATGTCTGATGTAGAACTGAGCTTCACAGACCTCGGAAAGTCGGCGACGAAGACTCTTTTCCTCGCCTGTTCGATATCGCGCTTCAGCACAGGGGCTTCGATCATTGACCGCGCATTATTACGCCTACTCACCGACATTAGCCGCCTCGCTCAAGCTATAGTCACTGGCGATAGAAAGAGCGCCTCGCCAGATGAACTTGTCATCTACAGCGGTGGCTTTAGCCATCGCGGCGTTCAGTTTGGAGGTTGCCGAAGCGATGGCCAAGCTGGCCGAGGCTTCGGGGGGGATGAACGTGCTGACCATGGTCTGGGTTACAACGCTAGGGTTACCAGTGGCGTTGACGGTCTGAGTGATTAGGTTGGTCTTGATGACCGTGGTAGTCGGAACCGGGGCGTATGATGATCGATCGCAGGATAGCGTCACACCTTGGCCGTCTACGATCGGCTGCGTCGTACCAGGTGCGACGACCTGGGTGCATGGTGCGCCGGCAGCGGCCGTAACGACGCCAATGTTGACCGCTGGCTGAGCATTATTAGTAGCGGTGGGAGCATTCGGAATCGTAACCGTAGTCACAGGCTGGGGGGCGGCTGATAAGAGAGAAATGATGAGAGTTCGAATGACTCGTGAAAATCATCTCGCTCAACCCACCTCGGGCCAAAGCGGCAAGGGCCAGGAAAACAGTGGATTGAAGGAGCATTGGTGGAAAGGACGATGAGGTGAAAGAGCGTGGTGCTAAGTGAGAGCGTGTTCAAACAATGTTCAAAGCTGGTGCAACATACGGTCGAAGACTTACCTCGAGTAGCTGGTATTTGCCGCCTCTTATAATCGTTACAGCCGGCCTCTCTGTTTCAGAGCTTGTCTCAGGGGTTTCTGCGAATCCTTTGTGTCCCTGTTTCACGCGCCTGGGATCAAACGCGGAGTCAACGTGAAACGCGCGAGTTCCGGCCGCGACGGGCGACTGGACCCTATCGTACCGGCTGACTGATCTTGCGCCAAGCGGCTTCAGACTGCCCGCGTTGGGTGCCAAGCATGGATGGCATGATTATATCTATGTTACAAGCGAGAAACGGCTGAGACTCAATCGACAAGCCGGTAACGTTGCCGGCACAGCCATTCTGAATGGTCGACAAGCCGTCATAGCACTCAAACACGATCTGGGGTACCTTGCAACTTGTCATCGAGTGACAAGTTCGAGTTGACCCCATTTAGCTCAAGACCCATCGATGCAAGCGATATATGACGATGCAGCAGGCTTCGCGATGGGTCAATTCCCGAACCTGTCATGTGGTCGATCTTGAACCGATGGAGTAGAACTCGGTAGTACTAATAGATGAGAGTGACTTGATGACGGTCCCGTCATTAAGCAGATCGAAGTACTCGTGTGACGATACTAGCTTTTTGAAAACGAGCCTCTCAAGCTGCTCAGCACACAGCACAGAGCGGAACGCTTCCTTCGCATCGCCGTGGGAAACATCATGGTGGATCACAATGGTTTTGACGTCGGTTCCAAGCACGGCCAGGAATTGGTACGTCTGGTATCTTCGGACGTCTCCGCCTCTATCCGGCCTTTCCAGTACGGAAGCCGTGATTTCATGTGGACCGATTTCATGAATTTCAACTTGGTGAGGCCCCGACATGACGATTGGAGGAATTTCACCTGGAATAAGGGTATCACTTGGGATGGAGGAATAGTGTTGTAGGGGGCCAGCAGGACGTATGATCAAGGACGAAGATCCCGGTCTTTATACAACGACATCGATATGTCCCGCTATTCAGGTTTTCCAAACACAAGTTTGAGAACCCTGGCCGAGCGGTCTATAGTCTGACATAAGACAAAGGAAGTCGAAGACTTCAAGCGAAGTACCGAAGCTATGTGGACGCCCTTCCACTCCTGGCAGAATCATCAAAGAGGCGTTTGTACGGACGAAAGAACAGCGCGAACTTGCGGCTCCAACCAGGACTAGGCAGGCCGGCTTTGACTCGCTAGACGGTGTGGTCAAAGGATGGAAAAATGCAGCGACGATTAATATTCATGCAACCCCTCCATAGCATGCGAACACATCGTCTTATCAGTTCAACAGTGTCACGGGAGAGAGGGAAAATGAAGCAGCCCACGAGGGTATTCATGATATATCGCACACTATAGTGTTACTACGGGTCTGACAAATATTTGAGGTTGACAAATTATCAGAAGCGTGACTTAAGGTTTTCTAAGGGTAAGTGTCGTTGTAAATATGTAGAGTCGATACTCGCCATCCCGGATGATGCTCTAACACATCGTAACAAAAAACCCACATCTAAGGAAACTAAACACCTGTACTCGTACACCGTACAGAAACCCTCTATACATGCGTCTGCTATATGCTTGTCTTTGGCATTGTATTGTTTATCGGAGTCGTTGTTATCATATACTGTGCCGTTACATAACTATTATTTGGGATCTATCGTCAAGATTCATCCCCAACCGAGCTCGCATCTCTATACCCACGGCTGCTTCGCCGTGCCGTCTCTATATACAGCCTATTACGCAGTCGCTGGACCCGTGTACTGAGAAGCCTTCTTGTTGCCTGACAACTGTATTCCTTTGTTGCATATATAAAAGCACACACACTCGAAGTAAGGATACATATAGACGTATCATAGCAAGGGTAGCAGGCGGGTTAACGATGTTTCGGTTAACGATGTTTCATGCATTGCCATCCAAGCATTCCACACAATCTTTCTCAGCAAAGGAAAGGCAACGGTTCACACTCACTACAGGACTTTGCGTTGAGTACTCTGAATGTCATACGCTCAGCAACAATCAGAGATGGAAGGGGCTATAGAAACAGATGCTGAGGGATGTGAGGTATCATATAGATCAGACACGCATTTGCAAATGGATCTAAGTGCCTATCTCACGTATTCTGATCAGGATGAGAGTTTGATACAGCTGCCGGAAGCAGGGAATCATATGTACAACCAACAGTTACATCAAGTATTGAGAGAGTCCTGTCATTCATCGAATGGTCAGGTTCAGAATCTTAGGAAAGCTAGAAATCAGGACTGGCTACAGCGGTATGATGGCGAAACAAATGGCTCTGTGACAGTGCAGACCACCAATCTGGACAATTCGGACCCGATACTTATGGATGAAGCGCTTGCCTCTAGCAACCTTGTAATCACCGAAGCTGTCTCTTCTGAATACCTGGAGCTGTCTGATGTCAGCAAGATACGCCCAGCAGAGACTAGGCAGAAATTGTATGATAGCAATCTGCACTTTGGTCACCAAGCAGAAAGACGCATTGCCGAGCAAGGCAAATTCACTCCATTGAAGTGCAACGAGAAGAGCTCACCACATGGTCCTTGCGCACGGCTCTATCGTGTTGAACGGATTGATGAGACAAGGTTTGACTTGGAAGGAAAGTCCATGTATTATGCTCTGATCAGGACAAACTTAAATGTCAGGACTATCACTGGGATTGGCAAAAAGGCATTAGGACGTGCTCAATGTAACACGTACGTTGAATGGGGTGAATGGAAGATCATGTATCTAGGAAGAGAAACTCCTAGAGGTCATGCAGACCAGGCTGAGAAGGGATACAGTGATACTCTAGCCACATCCAGCCTGTTTCAGACAGACTACAACAAGTCATGGCCAAGTCATGACCAAAAAAGTAGCCATAATCAGTCAAGCCAAACATGTGATCTTGGCAAGAGTCTCAGCTTGAGCGATGAGAGCCCTTGCATAAGCCTGGAACTCCCGGCAGAACACGGTTCTAGATCAACCTATACTGTTCAGCACACAACTAGACCTCTGCTATCGTCTTTCCAACCAGATATAAATGGCAATGGGCAAGCAACAACACTGAAAGCCAAAAGGCGGGCAGGTCGTCCAGTCTCGCTAGCTACTAGGATGAAGATGCAGGAGAGACTTCTCCACCATGCTGTCTCTGACACAACCCGTGCAAATCAATCACTCAGTTCTACAAATGCAAAATTGTACCTTGTGAAACGAGCAGATGGGACCGACTTTGAGTATGAAGAACAGGTAGTGAGCTGTGCTATCGTACGGACTCTGCCTGCTGTATGCAAGTTCCTTCATTGCTCTCCTGCAGGTCTTTGGCAAGCTTTGCACCGGAAGAGCAAAACAAGGGGTATCGTAAAGAAAGAGTGGATAGTAGAAGATCAAGGTAAAGCCAGCATTTCTGCTTGAAAGGGATATGTAGTCTTTTTATACGATTGACTAGTCTTCTTGACTACTGTATATGGTCATTATACATAGAGGTATCTGCACGGGTTCATCTGTGGTCTGAACATGTCGAGATATCAGTTCGCGACGGCAAAAGAACGCTGATGAGACTGGGTGACCAACATCACGTGTGCACATATCGCGCAGGGTCTATCTGGTCTTCAGAGCGGTCGAGGGATCTGACCGTAACAGCGTCAATAACGTCGAGAAGGAAGGAGCCGGTATCTCACTGGCAAGACATGGATTTGCCTCTACGTGGACCGGCTCAGCTCTGCCAATCAAGCGACAGATTTGACAAAGCAAAAGCCTTTAGCGGCGGAGCATGCTCTCCCTTTGATGTTCAGATCGACCCGAGGTGACTACTGCAGTACCTCGAGTGAATAGCTTTGTGCAGAATGCAAGAGACAGATCACTGGCTTAGGTCGACTGCTGAAAGCCACAGCCCCAAGTTCAAGCTTTCAGGTTTCCCGTTGACAACGTGAACGTGCTGCAATTCGAAACAAGATCTGCTTGTTAGAGCAATCGAATTAGCTTCCGGCCAAGTAAGCCATGTATCAGCGCGACCGGTGTTTCAGGATAGACAAAGGAGCCCATTGCGCTGGCTGAGCCTGCAGCGAGAGATCGTCGTGATGGCAACATCCCCTGCTGCCATGGGATCCTTCTCCGTGCGCCGACCACTGTCCCAAGCTTGATGGGCATGCAAGAGTTGCGTTCCGGCCGCGCTCGGTGCTCACTTGCGCTATCAATGTATGGTGTCATTAGATCTTGTCGCGTCTCCTCTCATCACGCTGGTGGGCTGTAACAGCGGTCACGATGGTTTTTGACCGTATCTCTGGATTCATCTCGGTGATAGATCATGCTGTATCGATCACAGCAATCGGTACATATGTATCCTTCGATCAGGCATGTTTGAAAGCTATTTGCGCTTAGGGTTTCAGATATTCCCGTTCACGACACGCTATACCCTGTGTTAGCCACTCGATAGAAACTGCATTGACGTCTCTTGCCCCATGAATCTGAACTTTGCAGACGATCCTCCCTCTTCCTACCTCGTGTGTATCGGGACGTCAAGATCTGCCCCAAGCACGTTTCGTGCCACAGGCCTTACAGCGCGCCATGTGTACAGATAAGAAAATCACGTATTTCGGAATCAAACTATGGTTCCACTACCTGAATGACAACGATTTATCTCCTACGTAAGCAATGTCCAAACTTACTTGTCCTCAATCGCATCTTGCTTTGTCTTGTCTGCCATTCGATCCCAGGTTCCGCTCATGCTGATTCGAAGCTTGGCCAGGGCTCGTTTTGGCCAAGTCGCCTTGAGTGCCAACTTTGCCCCTTCAGCATCACTCCGTTGACGCCTGGAATTGTCAGTCCCGTCTTGGGTTGCACGACTTTCGTAGGTGATGTGGTAGTGCTGAGGACTGCCTTGGTAAGTCTCGTCGTACACCTGAGTCTTAGTGACGGTAATTGGACCTCCATCTTCGGGATTCTCGATGATGTGGACGTCGTGTACGGGTGTCTCGCGGGTGGCGCAGATGTCGCGGTGAACGGATACTTTGGGGGCGGTCATTTTCATCGAGAAGTTGAGGTCTTCGGGAAGAGGATTGGAACACAGACATCAACCCATTTGGTCGCCTCGATCCGGGTTGACGGGTATCACCCATCGTATAAGGACTGGGTCCATAGGGCCTCTTACGGAATCGAAGCACGCCTTCAGGAGAAGGACAAAGGGAGACAAATCGTGACGTCAAGCGTGACAAGACGAAAGGGATGAGCTTAGCAAACGTTTTCGGCACATCATCATACCTTTGATCCCTGATACGACATTGCACGCCATCGGACCTCACATTCAAGCTCTTCAACGCAGATCGGTCACGGCCAGGCTTCCTATCGTGTCGAGACCTCTGTCACCTGGCCCTGAGCGGCGGCGCTCGTTCCAATAAGAGAGCTGAACAGGATCTTGTGTCGCCTCTGCAAGCGCTTGTCAACGATTCACCTGGTACTCGTGCCGAATCACAGCTGCTAAACCCTATGGTCAGGAGGAAACATATGTATCTTGTCCCATGCTCTGCAAGAAGACATCATGTCGAGACTCATACGGCCCCTGCCGGCTTTGTTGCATAGATATTGTAGAACCCCGTTTCGTGGACAAAATGCCCACTGAACGCGGACGGCATGTACCGCCCATATCGCAAGCTTCAAATGTATCTGCAGTCTATGAAGCACATTTCGAAGGTCGCCTTAAATCACAGTCAGGGATCAAGATTTTCATTTCAAAATATCAACCGTTCGGTTCCGCAAGTCGATAGTTTTGATATCATCTAACGTTGTCCAATACAGTTCGTACCGCGGTAGTCACGCTTGCTAGAAAGCTCGGTGTGTCATCGACTTTGGAGTCTGAGGATTCACAAGAAGGATCTGCAGGACCATTCGGCATGCATGTAGACCGTGAAGAAGGAGCAGACGGCTCTTGTTGCGCTTGGCCCGGTCGAAGGTCGATCAGCTCTTTGACGGCGATGGTCAGGTAATGATCGAATTGGCGGCGGGTCAGCCATTCATCAACCTGAGAAACATCGTCAAAATCGGAGTTGACGATGAGGAGCACTCGATGTCCTTCAAATTCCCTGAGGATCGTCAGAGTATGAAATCCTCCTCCTCCGAGAACGAGTTCTAATTGATATCTTCCAGGATCGTCGGGATCCATCTCGCCACGGTCAGTCAGATCGCATGTGGCTTCGGGAGATGGTCTCACCCTCCTACAGACTGGAGTTCTGGCCATGGTGTTGAGCAACGGAAGTAAATCGTGAGTCGAGACTAGTCCAAGCGCGGCGATTCTCGCACACAATTTTGGCCGACCAGATCAGATCACTCTGGAGGCTTTATAGTCGCACATAGCAATGAGATTGACCGAACTTAGCGTGATCACGTCAATTATGCTTGTAAAGGGATAAAAGAAGGTGATGTCGCGAAGGGGGGGAAAGGGAGACATGGCGAGCTTCCTCATGTCGTGACTGCAGTGGAGTATCATTCGGCATCATCGTACGTACGTCCTGACTTGTAGCACCAGGACCCCCATCGTAATCGTGAAGTGATCCGGGTGGGATCAGAGCTGGTGGCTTTGCTCGATCGTGAGGGCAAGGTAGCCGCAGTGGCGGCATCAGGGTTTGCGGCGCGGCTTCGATCTTGTATCTTGCTGATCTGCGAGCTTCTTGAGTCGTGAATATCAGAGATCACAAAGGAAAGGTCGGACGATACCAGCCGACTCCACCAGGTCCGCTTCTCCATGTCGTCAAATGACGCGCTTAGGGTTCAGAGATCGTCATCTGATGACATGTCGATTACGTGCTTCAAGCGCTGGTCGCTGACGCGCAAAACCTGTAAGCCAACTTTCGAGACCGGATGATCAGCGATCAGCGATCAGCAGTCCATATCATGACATGAGGTAGATGGACGATCCGGCTCGAAAAGACAATCAGGTGATTTGCCCGATGGCTGACACTGTTCAGTTTGGTCAGGACTGATGCGAAGCGATCTCTCGGACTGGAATTTGAACGGTCTTACGGTGACCTTGTGCCCGACCGAGACACAGATTTATGTGGAGAGAGTCGCAAGAGAAGCACAACTGTTCTTGGCAGCTTAACGGAATTGCGCCGATAAATTTATCGATAAAACAGCCTCGTCATAGTTGTTGTCGTCTGTTCCCCCAGGTTCAATACCACACTGACTTGTCCAAAGTGAGACCTGCTGACTGATGATCCTGATTGGTCAGATGATTCTACGCTTCTACAAGATCACACGGCTGGACATCGTTAGGAAAAGGGAAATTAACCATTATGCGTGTCTTATCGTCTCAAGCGCAAATTTAGACATGTCTAGAGAGCTGTGGTTCATTGACTTTGTCGAACGCGATCAGTCCCCGGTACACACATCATCATTCTAATTCCAATCTTTCACTGCATGCGTGATATTGGACTTCGCTACATGCTGTCTACAACAGGATTCAAGATTCATTGAAACGGGATCCATCGATCAAAGATGCCACACCTTGTCGAAGAATTAGGTGGCGCACAAGTACGTGTAGATAGATCACGTGCTCATTCCACGAAGAGTGTTTACCAGAGACGATATGTCACCTGTAACAGCACTTGAGCCGCCTCGGTCACGATCCGATGAATCATCCGGCCCGTCTGTGCGCTGAGAAGAAGGTCCGGAGGGTTCTTGCTGCCCTTGCACAGAAAGCCCTTGAAATTCGATCAGCTGTTTGATAGCGATAGCTAACGAGGCTCTAACGTGCTCTTTGTCCATCCAGACGAAAAGATCGATGGTCTCATCATTCAATCCACGTGTGAATTCGATGGCCACCAGGTATGGTAAGAAGTCCTTGTCATAAGCTTCCGTGACAGAACGACCGCCAAGATCAATTTTTATGTTATGTCTGTAGGGTTTGAATGAATCCCTCGTGCCATAATAGCTTAGTGTGGCTTTTGTCTGTGCATCGATTGGTAAGTAATCGAAATGAATTCTCCAGGAGTATCCTCAAGCAGATTAGCATCGTGTGTAATTTGGATAATGCTTCCAGATGTCGACATTGTATTGGCTAGAGGATGTCCGCCGAAGGAAATTCGATAGAACCGTGCAATAGTATTTGATTTACAGTAAGTACTGTACAGTCACACCCAGTATGTCCGCCTGCAAGAAGTGGTGTATACTGCATATATACGTTGTCTGAAATGGAGTACGTTCTTGCCGAGTTGCGGATCAAGACCAGATTTCCCTCCTTTCACGTAGTGAACAAAGTCATCTGGATTTACCTGCTGCTGCTGCTGCTGCTGCGTCCAGGTTCTCATTTTCACGCCATAAGGCGAAGTCCTGATGTTCGGCGCTATCACGCCATTGCACCCTTTGATCAATCTATCGAAAGGCTTTGTCAAAGGCCATTGAGCTATGTCGTCGTGCTTGAACGACAGAATATCCCCAATGAATCGTAGGATTCCCCCAACATTCGCTATCTTTGCCACACAAAAGCCACCCGCACGTGACCAGGTGAAACGAGGCCGGCGAGGGTTTCGTCACATGCCCATTCAAGTGTTGGATATCGAGTTGATCACCGTTGTATAGTTTGCATGAGGATAAAATATACAAGAGGGGATCATGAAATCAGACCAGAATGGTCTGCTATATATATTATTCTGGTAGGTGGCAAGGTGCTGCGGTTTGCGGTTTGCGGTCTGCGGTTTGCGGTCGCAAGTTGCGGTTTGCGGTCGCAACTTGCGGTTGTGGTCGCAACTTGCGACAGTGGTCGCAGATTGCTAAGCGAGTCGCAGATCGCTAAGCGAGAACAAAAGGAAAGGTGCGAAGAGTGGATGTGCTTTATTGTTCCATGCGGTCTATTGTTCTGGGAGAACAATAGACGTGCGGGAGAACAATAGGATTCGACATCAAGGTCAGCGGCCTGATTTCCAGCCAAGAAACGTTTTCTTATCTCTGAATCACGCGTGGTCAAGTTTTCGCCGTGGCGCCATCATCCACTGCACGGGGATATCATATAATCAAATCGGATAACACTGAGCCCGCAAATAAGAGGTGCATCAAAGTCTGTGGTTTCTCTACAGGTCTGCTTGAAGCTACAATACTAGATCAGCAGAAAATGGAAAGGACATATTTCGAAAACAATCCCATAGTCTAGAACTCATACAGTAGAATGCAGCGGATCAAGACCAAAGGCAAGTCTTTGCGACTGCGCTTCGTCGATATAGCATTCTACTTCGAATCATTGGTGTTTGTGGATGGCGGGTTGGTTCCGCCCAGACTCTTCTGAAGTTCAGATTCTTCTCGACTGTCTTCTCCCCCCTGAGACGACCCTGTAAGCGACGGGGCTACATCCCCTGCCTCACAAGCTTGGTCCACAAGATGAACGACGAGCAATCTGAGGGCTTCCTCAACGACCGGGAGGCACATCCACCTCTCCAAGCTATCCTTGTCTCCGGAGGTGTTGGACTCCATAATGAAGGTGACCTGGTAGAGAGAAGTGATCCTATCGAATCGCCACACCAGGTCCTTGTCAATCCTCAAAGCGTTGGGGTTCGCCGCTGCATTTTTGGCTTGTAAAGCCTGCTTGCTGCCGGGCCATCTGATTTCAAGATAGATCAGGTACCTGTTCGAGACAGTTTCCCCGTCCAACCCCATATACATGTGGGCGATCGGGCCCCGGGAGTCACCCAGATTGGAGTCCGTCTGGTATTTGTGTGTGCGCATGATTTGTCGAACACTTTCGATTTGGATTGCGAATTCCTGCGATAATTTGAATACACAAGGACGTGTGGTGTACTATCTATACTACGGTCTCGCCATATATACTGCTCCGAAAGCCAATCTTACGCGACATGAGGCAGCAAAGCGAGAGGTGTCGATCATGCTTCTCGAAGGCAACTTTAGCTGTGATCTTTTGTTTCAATTACGCCATACACACAGCCCGCAGGCCCTGCTGCTTATGATAGTAGGCTGCGACAAGGGGGCTGTTTGAGTTCATCAAAGGAAGATGAGACACGGTGCAACGCCAGTCATCCTCGCAAGTAGTCGAGTCACCTGATAGGCATTGAGAGAGCACATCATATAACGTTCTTGATCGATAAACAAGCGATCAAGGGTTCACTGGTGTCTGTTCCACTTTGTGCGGGAATAGGCGGAGATATGGTATGTGATGACTCTCGACTACGAATAAAGATCATTTATTCGACAAGTTTTAGTCCCTTTGTTTCAATTCCATTGTTGTGGCTCCTCAAGCCATTTCTACTAGCTGTTGCTGGTTTGCAGGCTCGACTCGCACAATTGTAGCCTGGTACGCTTGTCATGGTATAATCAATCGATCTGTCTGGGTTCGCATACATACCGGCTTGTCGTGCCTGTCTCGTGCGATCTCATTACTATACCAGTTGCCGCTTTACCGATTTGCAAACGATCACCTGGTGTGATTACAGTTTTTTGCAATCTCGTCAGAAGAGACGCGCGAGCGGAATGCATAGCGCGATTCTGTTGATCGATATTCGCTGTGCGATTCTAGTCCCCTATAACCCCCAGTAGGCGCCTTCCTTTTCCCTTCTTATCTTGAGCGATCAGATCAGTCTTGGTATCTCGGGACAGAGATCCAGGTGGGCCGACACCCGCTCGTCGTTAGGTCACCCTTAAGGTCATCGGATTATGTAGCTTTTCCTGCTTCTCGCGCCGCATCGATCGTGACCCTTAGATTCACTATAATATGGATCTCTCCCTGATTATACCCTCCTCCCTTGCTCCATTATTGTGCTGCTTGTATAATCAATCTAAACAGCAGAGCGGACAGAGGTCCAAAAGTGTGGTCAGCACCGACAGAGTACAGTTGCCACTCGAATGGCGCGCGCCATTACAGTACTAACATGCAGCGCCTTAAGATCGCGATCTCTCGAGGGATGTGATATCCGTTCGTGAGTGAGGATGTGCTTCATGCATTTCGTCGAATGAGGGGTCTGCTCACATGCTTAGCTGTCAAGAAGATATCTAGCTTGATTGCGATGTACAAGTATGCAATCGATCTAACTATGGCAATCTTCTTCAAGAGCAATCCGATATACTGGCTCAGCACCGCTCGACACGAGATGATCGGATTGTGGTCAGCCATAGCGATCACAGTATGTCAAATTATCTCCGCCAATGCCACGATTGCCACTTTGAAAAATACGATGAACTCAGGTGACATCAATGTGATAGTTGTGATAGTCGACGCCACCCAGAAAATGCAGCCACGAGGCACCAAGAGCTAAAACAAGTCACATGGTACCACCCTAATCCTCATCTCTCCAGTTACTCTGCTCGTCAGCGGTATGGTGTTGAATTGGGCTAACTGTAGCGATTCTGTCAGCCTCTTACTTGTCACCGGTGAACCCTTCAAGCTTGTACGGCTTGTCCCAAACCTTTCCCACTAGGGCAACCGTGGAATCCAACCCGGTATCCCCCTCATCCTGAACATCTTGCGGATTCTCTCCAGCCCTGATCCGGATGATAGCTTCACGGCTCAGATTGGCTGCATCACACATCGAACGGAACACTGAGTTGGGTTTGTCAAACAGACTGAATCACTTGTCTGGTTAGCCAAAGTTAGCTCAGAATTTGAAGGGGAGACTCACCAAAGTGGGTGGTCAAATTCAGCAATCTGGCCTGCATCCAACACTAACACCTTGTCGTAGAATGCCTGGCCATCAAAATTGAAATGAGTCAGCATGCAGAGGCTGGCTTGGATGCAGAACTAATCTTGTATTCACAATAGTGGATAGCCGATGAGCAATACACAACAGGGTTGTATTGCAAAATTCCTTCCTGATACAACCTTGAATGACTGCATCGGTTTCAGGGTCCACACTGCTGGTAGCTTCATCAAGCAACAGGACACGTGAATTCTTGACAAGCGCCCGACACAGAGCAACTGAATTGTTTGGCTGTTTAGCCAAGGTTGTATGCTACACAATGGTCAAGGAGCTCACCAAGTTGACGTTCTCCACCCCTATCAATATTGATAAGATTCAAGACAGCTGAATGAGCAGTAGCAATGCTTCTGGTATCTACTCAACTTACGAGAAGTTCTCGCCATCATCATTGACCACTGCATCCAGTTGAAACTTCCTATAGCGTTCTATATCTGATCCAGCTCGAAGTTGAGAAGTGGATGGCACCAGACCACAGCGATGCAGAGCTTCGTGAAGTTCTGAGTCTGTTTTGATCCCTGTGGGGTCCAGGTTTTCTCTCATTGTTCCAGAGAACAGAAGAGTATTCTGTGGTAGTGCTGATAGTTGGGACCGCAGTGTGTCCAAGCCCATGATCCTAAGGTTGTATCCATCAATTTTGATGCTTCCCTCTGACAATTCCACAATTCTAAACAACACTTGAGCCAAGGAACTCTTGCCTGCTCCAGTTCCTGTGGTATCATGAGCAACTGTATCAGCTTCTAGTTGCCATCTTCTAAGCTGGTTTGATCGACTTACGCCCCACAATCCCCACCTGTACGTTGTTTTGTAGCATGGGATCAACAAGAGATCAAATCAGGTGAGTTAAGAGCTTACCTTTTCCCCAGGTTGAGCCTCAAAGGTGAGACCCTTCAGAACAAGTGGCAGATCAGGTCGATAGCGCATCTGGACATTGTCAAAGACAACATGTCCTTTTTGAGGCCACTCTGCTGGAGGATCAAGCTCCAAGCGTGAAGCTGCTTCACGTTTCAGGTCAATGTAATGCAGAACCTGTTGTGCAGATATCTATGAGTGGTTGAAGATCGATCAAGGATCATAGTGACTTACCCTCTCAGCAGTATTCATATCTTGCTCGGCCTGGACAGCATAATGCACCATCTGGCCAAAGACTTGAGCCGTTATAATGGAGTATGTCAAAACAACTCCAAGCTTGATGGGGTCCACCTGATTCCTCAATCCTACCCCAAATAGACCAATACCTAAGACTAGAAGAGCGCCCAGACTATCAAGTCTCAGTACAAGCCACTGGCGAGCAGCCACAATGAGATATTCTGTGCGCAAGTGGTGATCCACTGCCAAACGGAGCCTTTGGAGGAATTGATCCTGCATACCATGAGCCCGGATAGTTGACAGCCCGTCCAATTGCTCACCAAATGAGCTGTAGATTAGTGATTCCTGTAGTGATTCCAAGCGCTTGATCTCACGGGAGGACCGATTGAAGAATTTGCCAACCAGGATGTAAATGAGTGCAAGGGGTAGAAAGAGGATCCCTAAGAGCGGATAAGTATAAAGTACTAAGAAAAATGTCCCCATGATTGCGGCAAAGTTGACCAAGACGGAGTACCATAGATAGGTGAGCCAATCATCCAGCTTCTCAACATCTTCTGTGAGGCGATTGATGATCCTGCCAACAGGTGTTGCATCATGGAAAGATATTGGCGAGCGCAAAACACTTGTGAGTGCACCATCAAACATGATGAAAGAGGCCCGGATTCCAGCAATGAAAAGTGCGTAGCTTGATCCAAAAGTACAGAGTGTATTCGCTGCACCAAAGGTTGCATATAGAGCCATATATTTGCCTTGACTGAATCCTGGGATTGACTGCCCGCTCCAGAACCCCAGGAAAAGCGTGTTCAACACAGAGCATGTTTCGCCCAAGATCAAGGTAAAGATTGATATGGCGAACCACCATTCTTTGCTCATTACGCGTGCGTAAGCAATGTATGTTCTCCATGAAATACTGCCAATCTTCCGCTCTTCATCCATGATCAATTTGGTGGTAGAGGGCAAGTGTTGAAGCTGGTTGTCAGGGACCTGGGCTGCTCCAGTATCAAGGTCGGTGGTCTCTTTGAGTCTACTGTCCGCCTGTCCATTTCCATGGTCTGCCATGAGCTTCTGTAATATACCACGAGTGCTGGACAGCTCCTTGTATGTTCCCTGCTGGACTATATGTCCTTCTTCCATGACTAAAATCAGGTCTGCATCTGGTAATACTTCCAGGTGGTGTGTCACAAGGATGCGGGTTTTGCTTCCAAGTGCTCCTTGTCCTAAAATGCATTTTTTGACCAGATGAGCTGAAACATGACTGTCCACTGCAGCCAGTGGGGAATCTAGCAGTACAATGTCTGCGTCATGATACACTGCCCGTGCAAGCGCAATTCGAGCCTTTTGACCTCCTGATAAGTTGATTCCACGCTCTGTGTTCAAGCAGTGTTGTCAGGTGATTCCTAGCTACAGACAATCCTAAGCACTTCACTCACCTCCTATCTCAGTCTCCAGACCGTCTTGCAGCTGTTCTATATCTCTCAACAAAGCACAACATGTGATGGCATTTGCAAGCCTTGCTTCATCTGGATTCTCATCATTAAATGTGATGTTCTCCCTTAGAGTAGAGTTCTGTATCCATGAATGTTGGGCTACATAGCTCAATGTCCCTCCAAGCTCTGAAGTGCCCTTTGTCTGTCGCATCTCACCAATCAAGGCAGCCATGAGAGCACTTTTGCCAGACCCAATGCGGCCAACCACACAGACAAATGCTCCTCGTGGGATGGTCAAGTTGATATTCTTCAACGTGAATGGGGAGTGAAGCATTTGTTGATCCGTAGGTTCCTCTGTATCCACTAAAGATGAACCCCGGCTCTCTTGTGCCTTCACTGCCTTGGCAGCCTGTTTGGCAGCAGCCTTCTGCTTCTTTGCCTCTTTTTCAGCTTTCCGATCCTTGCCTGCAATTTCATTCTTCTTGCTACTATTGGATTGCTCTGAAGATTCAAATGTGAAGTCCCCATCAACCTTGATTGCAAACTTTGCATGTGGGTTACTCGTGATGTGCCCTCTGTTGTGTCCAGCATACTCTTCAGCCAAGAGAATATCTGAGAGGCGTGTCAGCGCAACCCACGCATCAGTCAGGTTGGCAAAGGACGCTGGCAGGTTCTGTAGCGGTGTTTGGATGATGTTGAACAATTGAAATGCTGAGAAGATCACTGCGGGCTTCAATTCATGTCCAGACATTCCGTAGGTGATGAATGATAATACTGCAGCAAGTGTTGGCAAGAATGTCATGGTAGCAAGTACCATGCTAATGACAAAAAGTACAGTCAATCAGCTTGACATTGGATTGTGATCAAGCTCTGGGCTGACCTTCGATTCCAGACATTAACTTTGAGCCGACCAAGCTCTTTCTCACGTATCTTTATGATACGCTCTGAAAAGAAGGCTTCATAGGCATACAGTTTGATCTGGCGGATTGATTTGAATATCTCGCTCAGAAGCCTCAATCGTTCATCGATAAACTTCATTTGTTCCTGACGACTGCCAATGAGCTGATTCATCATTGCAGTCAAGATGGGTGATGATGCAAACAGTACGCCCACGCCAACCAAGGCGCTGTACTTCAGGTTGTAGATCAAAAGCGCACAGCCTGCTATGATGGCGATTGGTTCCACAATAACATCGATCAAGCTGGTGCTACCTGAATCCACAAAGCTGGCATCACCAGCCACTGCACTTGTCAGTCGACCAGAAGTTTGTTTGACCCGTGATCTTGTGGAGAGCTGCATTGATTTGCAAGAGATTTGATCGATGATAGCTATACGTAGTAGGGATCCGGCAAAGGTTGACCGGTATTCATACACCCCATTGAGTAAGAATGAGACTTGTTGCATGGCAGCCAAACCAATGGCCAAGCCAAACCCAATTCCTAGTTGCTTTGGTTGATGCAAGTTGACCCGTTCGGCATCCGTAGCTTTGCTCCACGCATGGGATTCTGAGACAAACTGTATCAATTCCTTGACCACCACAGAAGAAGCGATAATGATCCCACCTGGGAAACATGGCAATGGTGATCAAATCGCACCTTGCGGCTAGAGATTATTATCAGACTCACGTGAGACTAGTTTAGCCACAAGTGATACCACAAAGTCCTGGCGTACTGTACAGAGGCAAGACCAAAACAGTCGCATCGAGTGGCTCCGAGCAGCTGATTTGTGATACTTCTTTGAAGATATTGAGGCTGGTACACTCTTTTTCTTGGAAAAGAGAAGTCGTATCCATGTCCAGCAACCAGTGTTTGGCGACGATATTTTCTCTGCGTGCCCAGTTGAGGTGGCTGTCAGATCAATCTCGGTGCCTGGCCAATCCACTGGAAGCATCATCTGCGGAAGGGTTTGCGAACCTGTGGTCTTAACCTCCTCCTGAGGGCTGATTTTCTGCAATGCATCCCCATCCGGATCGATAACAACCTCAGCTTTGGCGGTTTTGGTCTGAGTCCCCTCGCTATTCGAGCAAGGCTTGCAGTATGCCGCATCAATGTGGCTATACTTGTTGTAGAAATTGTGTGCCAGAAGGTTTGATTGGTAATAACATAATCTTTCATCCTCAAGCCTCCAAAGATCGGTCAATTGTAACGGTCTTGAGTACCCAATCTGTAAGCACCAGAACACATTGTGATTTAGCGGTGAGTCTTTGGTCCCAAACTCCACCTGAAACTGACCTGCAGAAACGGGTGAAGCCAGGAGAAAGTCAATTGGGAGAGGAAATTGCTTTTCCATTCAGGAGAGACGGTATGATTTTGGTCGAGCGGTGGGGCTGGCTTGGTATGAAAGCTGAAAAACCCCATGACTTGCAGTTTGAGGGTGTGGATGGACGAGAAAGAGCTTGAGGGGATGTGATCCGAAATTCGGGGTGTGGATGTGTGTGTGTAGTAGTTCGAAGTTGTGCTACGTTTCGATTGTGTAATGATCGTTTGTGGATCCTTGGGGTCGAAGAATGTATCCCGCTGACCAGCTCTACCTTATATGCGACACTCATAGACGATCGGATAAAGGATAACTGAAACGGGCCGCTTCCTTGCGATCGTCGCCCAGGACAAAGGAATCATGAGCCCTTGCTCCCTTGCCCCTTCCCGCCTCTCCTTGACTCGCTCATAGATTCGGTTCCGCCGCTTCGTAGTCCGGCGAAAAGGTCTCTACATCACAGGCAATTCTGCAAATCAATCCCAGAGCAATGAGTTGTTCAACGCACATCAGTTTAAGCATAGCAGACATATCATGAAAGCCTTTGGTCCTGTCGTGCGCTGCGGTCTCACTCCAACACCAGGCTCAGTGCTACCGCGTTCAGGATCCTGTCGCGCACGTCGGTCGAACTGAGGATGACTCTCTATGGCGAGAGATATGGGGTCGTCCGACTATCCAGACAATATGGGACCCCTGAGGAATCAGAAGTCTCTAAACCGTTACCGTATCGCAAAAAGCATCATGACTGTCGTCCGGGTGAGTATGCAATCAAGAACGGATTCAATTGGTCCTTCCGTATACTCTGCCCCTAGTCCTGCGGTATGCATGAAGGTTGAATGACCGATCGTGTTCGGCAGCGCAAGCGAGATCATGTCACACGACTGCACCTGTTGCTATGACTCATCGCTGTTCCTTTGCGACATAAGCCATCCATACCGTTTCAAGGCGTGTGCTACTGGACGTGGCGGTGGTCATGTCTATCCCAGGAGCAGTCGGTGCATGATACGGGAGAAGGCTTATATACACAGATTGTGCAGCCAGGTCTCTAGGCAGCTCAACGGCCGATTCGCTACTCGAAACAGGCAGATAGCAGAGTCCCGCGTGCCAGTAGGAATATACATTGGTGTACATATGACGCTAGTTCAGCGCCAACTATCATACCCAGATGGCCTTGTGTCACCAGCAGAAGCCTCGCCACCCGTTGCGATCGGCCTCCAGGGCCAAGGTCGATTGGTTCCGCGTTTCAGCCCCGACCGCGCGTATCGACTGTAACGGCGTCTTGTCACTCCTTGGCGTCTCCAAATTGCCAAAGGGAATATTCGAAGGTGCAGGCGACGCAGCCCCTGGTTTCAAGTTCAAGAGCTCCTTATCGACCCCTTAACAAGGAGCAAAGTTGATGGAGCAGACGACGTCAAGGCTAAGGTTAATCGGCTTCACTTTGCCTACGTGTTAGAGAGCACACCGCTGAGACAAACCCCCTGCCAACCCCTCCAGTCACGACGTTCAAACATGCGTTTGGTGATACCTAACCACTGACGAAACCCTACACTGCAAAGGGAGAGTGCTCAAGAGACTTTCCCTTTGATCCCCTTTGTTTCGGACCTTTTAAGCTTGCAGTATATAAATGCGCTTGCAGCATCCAGCCTTCCAGGTTACGCTCAGAAGCTGTCGACGCTATACCCAAACAGTCATCGGCGTATCTCCAGTAGATACTATCATCCTCTAAAACAACGCAATGCGCTCTTCCATCATCGGAGCCTTGGTCACCCTCGCTTCACTGGGCGCTGTACAAGCTGGCCTTTGTCCCGGCCACACCGAGGCCGCCAAGACGGATCCGTATGCTACCTGGAGATGGGCTACAGGAACTTGGTCGAAAGCGAAAGGGAAGGAGAGACTGAATGTAGCCAACCACATCGATTGTGTCAGCTTGTGTCGGGAGGAGGTCGGCAGTGAGCCAATCTGAGCGGCTTTTGATGCGCAGTTCTTACAGTTGATCACCGCTATCTGTTGTACTTCTGACTCAGCGGCGGAAGGTTGCTCGGGAGCCTCTTGGTTTTCCAATACAGGAACCTGTTTCTTAAAGCATAAAGACTGGAAGCTCGAACATGTGGTCGGTTTCAGAATGCCAGGCTCGAACTCTTTCAGCGGTACTTCGATGAAGGGCGGTTGCGATACCGATGCAGCGAAAGCTCTTACCGGTCAGTCTCCCATACCACCGGTTTAAACAGTTCTTTCAAGGATCTTGGCTTATATTCTCCTTGGGTTTAGCGGAATTTGGAATCGAGTGCTGCGATGCTTGAGCGCCGAAGCTGGGTGATATGAACGGCTGCAGCATCGGAAGAGGTTCAAGGCTTCTCGATCCTCGGTCCATTCATGCATCACAGTCGCCTGTCCGATGATTGCTCGACAAACAGGATTCTATCCTTGCTCGCGCGATATGATGAACTTGTATTTGAGCTATTCACCTTTCATTTATCTATGATTTTCGATTTTCTGTCCCATTGAATCAGTGGCTTCGTTTGACAGGTACTAAGGAACAGGTCGTGAGGGCAGCGTCATGATTGGTGAACTCCCATACATACGAGTCTGTCATTAGCTTCGAGCGGAGATTCAATACGCGTGGCCTTTTGATGAGCGACCTATACATAGCTTAAGGAAACTTCAAGATTAGTGGTGCACATGATAGAAACGCGCCCTCTCCGACATGGGCAACAGATAACGGTTCGCCGATTCCTCTACAGTACAATGCGAGCTGATTGTATCTCTTTGGCGATGACAGATTTTCCCACATGCATAGCTATCTACAGTACAAGACAGCTACGTACAGCGATGAGTCCTAACGGCCGCACGACGTGGAAAGTATCACTCGGATTGGACAGTAGAGTTTGCTGTGACCGAAGAGGCGGTATCTTCTCCACTGCTTGCATCGGTAGAGGGATCGGGTCTGACCGTGTCGGGGTAGTACGTCCTCTGGATGTAATCGAAGACCAGATCATCCACGCGGTCTTTGTCTAAAGACAAAGGGCGATGCTTTCCAGGGGCGTAGGTCATGACGTAGAGTCTGATGAAGCGCCCTCCTAGAATACGTTCAACGGCCACGAAGGGATCTGGGATCAAGTCGCGGTTGTCGCTTCCGTCGCATGGAGACACCATGAATTTGATCGTGTAAGTCACGGTCGGATCCCCTGCGAAACCTGCGATTTCGAAGGTTTGTATAGTGTAAGGTGTTTGTGTTTGAGAAGACATTGGGCTTGGCGAAGATCTCTTGGAACTGCTGAAGACGATGTGTGTTAATTGCGTCTCTTCCACATTACTACCATACGTCCATTCCATTCGTACTGCTTTATATGTTTATGGAACGATTTTGTCGGAGATGCTCCATGTCTAGTTCACACAGACGGAGTAGAACGACGGGTTCCGCCTCGGAACAACGGAACTATCAAGACAAAGGTTCTTCAGAATACCGCCGCAGAATACAACTTGAACATTGTGCATAAAAGCGGAGGGGACAACGATCACAAAGGTTGATCCAACAGTGAGCACAAAGGTCGGCATACCAACGAATCTCCCCCCCCCCCCTAGAATAAAGCTAGACCTTCCTCCGACAAGTCCGAATTCCAGATACAAGACAAAAGAGCATCTGGGTCGGCTCCATTGTTGATTGAAGCGAAGGCTTTCAGAGCTGTCATACGTCCGACGGATTATGGCACGTGGCACAAGTTGAAAGAGCAGTGTTGCAGAACGGACGTGGTGAAAGGCAGTAGGAGCAGTACAAAGCCACAGCCTCGATCACCTGAAAGATCTGCGGAGGGGAATCTGCGCTTGACGCAGATGAAAGGAGCCAACAGAAACCGTGGCATGCAAGTTTACGACACGCCTGATGGCCGTCGGAGCCCGCTGATCTCTTTGCACGTCGATGACATTTCGCTGGTGCGGTAGAATGAACCTGTGATGAAGATGTCTCGCCGCTATAAGCGATGACTGACCCTTGAAGCTGGAGGATTACTCAGAATGAGGTGCGAATTAGTTCGCTGAGTAGCTTTGCGCAGGGGAAGGATTAAGAAGCTACTATATTGGGCGTCTTCAAAGACACATCGCCATGGCACGAGCGTCGCACTCGAGGGGTCCCCAAGATGGACAGCAACAACGATCGGAAAACAGCCTGCTACTGAGATCATACCAACTGCGGATCTTTTGAGTGTGTGTTCGCGGCAGAGTGGCATTCAGCCAAATCATCATCGTATGTAGCTGACGTTGTAATTCTAAGTAGGTACAAGCGGTTCTGGAATTACTAGGGTTAAGTCTTCCACAGTCTGGCTTGAGGGGTTTTTCTCAATGTCGACGACAGCCCGCTTTCGAGGCGTTCAAACAGTGGACGCTTCTGTAACTGCAACGGACAGAGATGTCCTACCACCCTGCGAGAGTGCATAGTCAGTCTCTTCTGTCTCCCTCGTGTACTGCCTCTTAACTTCCGCAAAGCAAAGCTTTTCGATCTGAAAACTATTCAAACCCGGTGGAAGACTGCCTCCTTCGGCGTAGGGAACGATGTAAAGCTTGGGGCCATCACGAGGCAGCGTGAACAAGTGGTCCCGAACCCTGTTGCTCTCATTGACTTCGACATTGTCGACGATGAATTTCACTCTGTGAGTGTGTCCGTTCCCAAGAGTAGCCTCTCGGATTTCGTAAGTGTATTCGTATGTCATCGCGAAGCGATAGTCTTGCTTGCAGGGGTGTGGCGACGGTGAAACACGGAGGTAATCGTTTGCTCTTGGCGCAAAAGTTTTCTGAAGGCCTGCTCGCGTTCTCCACTTCGAACTTTTTTCATCCACGAGTATATATAGGCGAACAAGGTAACAAAGGAAGGACTTAACATGGGTCGATATGCATCGATGAACATAAGCTTCTGCCACCTTATCACCGAAATTCAGCGATCGGACACTCAATTTGTTGATTGGCCGCCCAGCCCATCGCGCCTCAAGCAATGTTCTAGCCATCGTGGCTCGACAGAGAGTTGAGAGTCAGCAGTCTACCCTTGTCGTTCAGAATCATAGCTTCTCCGTCAAACCAGGGTTAGCAAAAGTTCAATCGCAGGCATGTCGTTATCATCGATCATAATGTAGCCTTCGTGATCTGGTTCCCTCAGATCTCCCACCTCGATCGGCCTGTTAAATTGGACAACAGGCATTTCTTACTATCGATATCGCATTCCTCGACGCGATTTGGATCTTGGGATGATCGCCAACATCCTACCTGTACGAGTACAAGCCCATTGACAAGGCGAACACAAATTGTCATGTGTTATATGATCATGACAGCCAACCATCGAGTCAAACTGCGCTGCTCACGTAGCATATCGCTGCTACCCCTATCCTCCACTGGCATCCACCAACGAACTCTCAAATGCTATAGACTACCATCAGGTGCTCATAGCGCTGAGTATCAGGAAACTCGGCGTGGCATTGTTTTTATCACATCTACCATTGAAACATGACCAGGTCGAAACGAACAATAAGCTACCTTGTCGACCAATTGCGCGGTCTTCCAGGTAGTCGATAGTGGTGTCGTACCTAAAATATGCGCGTCAAAAATCGGGATCGGGTTACAACAACGTCAAACAGACGACGTATGATTCTAGCTAAATACACCGAACTCCGTTTGTACGGGCTCTATATGCTTGTCTCAGTACTGCTCATCAGAGACAAGCTGGACGTGCTGCTCTTAGAAGGTACCAGCAGAGGGAGCTGTTGAAGGGGGAGCGCTTTCGGTAGTGCTGGTAATAGATTCTTCCCGGGGTAGACTATCCGGATGGTACAGCTTCTGGACTTCGTCGAAGACCAAGTTCTCGATGTCTTCATGCTTCAGGTCGCTTGGAAATTGCCCTCCCTCGGCGAAAGGCTTGATGAATACCTTGACCTTGACCTTTGGATCACCTAAAAGGCGTGGCCCCGATGCCTTGCGGAATACACCGGTGCAGCAGGTGTCGTACGAGATTTTGGCATCGTCGGGAAGGTCGATAAAAACATCTGCGTGGTACAAGATGCACCCAGCAGTCTGTGTTTTGGGGACAGAGATATCGTACTTGTAACTATGATTGTCGGTCATTTTGCTTTGAGCTCGAGATCGTGCGATGGAGATGAGAGAGGATGGTTCGTTTGCGCGAGATGTTGTTTTCTTCCTTCCTCTTCCCAGGTGGGATCAAAGCTCCTTATCGACAAGCTATATATGTGGGAGGAGAACAAAGGGAGAATCGAGAACGCTCAAACGAGTCAGCAGACCAATGGAATCGGATGCTTCATATGCTGCCTGATGAAAGAGCGGAACATTTTCCCCCTGCGAAACTGGCGCTCAGGGTATGCAAAGCTTCTCGATCAGTTAGAACGTCGATTGATCGATACTGGGCAACTCTACTACAAGTTGAGTACATGAGAAAGTACTTTGCCGATATACGGACGATAGCGGCAAGAGTAAGCTGTATTCTGAGAAAGCACAGGTATAGTCATGGAAGTCGCTCAGGAGGTTGAGTTTGTTGTGGCCAAAGAGCCATCGTTAGTAGTCCCGCCCTCTGAAGGCGCGGGCTTTCCATAGTACTGTTCTTCAACGTATTCCCAGATCAGGACCTCGATTTTCTTCACGGTAAGGTTCGACGGAAGTCGGTCTCCTTCGGCCTTGATCTTGTACAACACTCTGACTCCATGTCCGCTCATTCGTGCTCGAGCTGACTCTTTGGGTTCGAGGACCACATTTCCATCGGACGCAGAAGAACAGTGGAACACAGCATCGAAGAGATGGTACCCATTTTGTACTGGGGGTTCGCCAGGCGTGACTTCGATAGGATACTCTTGGTCTGGCATGGTGATGGGACTTTGGCTGCGGTAGTGGAGTGATCGCGATGATACGAAAGGGCGGAGAAGGCTTTTGATCGGTAAGTAATCCTTTTGCGACTCAAGGCTGGTCATGGATCTCGCCTTCTGGTCAACATATATATGAAACAGAAGGACAAAGGAAGCCATAGTGTGAGCCGGAAGATCAGGTGATGATGTGTACATGATGGTCGATCACGCCACTTTTGTCGCTTTATCCTTGTCGCTCATCGCTGAGTGGGATTCGCAGACTTGAATCATGCTTCTTGCCTCAATTCATTACATCTGTTGCAGGGGAGATGTCAATCGATCAGATGTTGTATGAACATAGTACATGAAGGTGCTACAGTATATCAACAACCGAGGGTGTTCAGGCCACGTATGAGACCGTGCGAGGATGTGCTGTATCCTCAAAACAAGGGTTCAGACGTGAACAAGCCTCAGATCGTTGACTGAGAGTCTATCGACGAAGAACCGATCCAACTGGAGGCATCAGTAGTGTCGGGTCCTAAGAATTGATCAAAGTAAGCGGCAACCCGTTGGTAGATTTCGGCGTCCGTCCACTCTGGCGGAAGGGCTTCATACGGGATATACGGGGAGATGTAGACCGAGATTTTGACATGGATCTTTGATCCATCGCTTAATAGAGGGTGTCGAATGAGTTCCACGACCTTGTTGCCCGCTTGGACTGGAGCATTTTGAATGGCAAAAGACACGTCGTAATTGCCAATACCGGAGCGGTTATCGAGGTTGGTCACTTTGATGACGGGTTCAGGCTCTAGAGTCGACATGGTTCAAGGCGGCGGTTGTCGTTCGGTTGATCTGTGTGAAAGGGCAAGGGGATTGATAAAACTGGTAAGATTTCGACCGCCTGACCTCTCCAGACCTTCAGCTAGATTCTTGCCAAGGTATATATACACGACCCAGGACAAAGGAAGCGCTCAAACTATGCCACAGGGTCACCTGATCTTCGCTAACTCGTTCGTCAGAAATCGCCATATCGCTTAATGAGATTGTTCAGCTTGTTTCAGGCTCCCCTCGTCAGCTGAATAGCTAGGTGCGATCATGATACAGGTCTACCTTTGTATCGCCCTCGGAGATGATAGCTTCTTCTTCATGCTTGTCGAAGTTCTCAAGCACGCCATTCCATATATCACTCGCGATCACACGTTCTTGATCGCAACATTTGTCCCGGCGACTCAAGCCTGTCAAGATTCCTGGGTCACCATCGAACAAAGGAGCTGTAAGCCCCGATCCGCAGTCGCTAATGACTCGATCTTTGTCGTTGCCGACATCGACTTGGGGCATCTCGACCCCAGTTCGGAAGGGTTTTTGCCACCCATCTCCTCGCGCCTCTATCGCGCCGGCCCTCGGGCGAAATGTCCCCGCTCCACACTCCGACCAGCCAGCTGGTTACGATCTCGACCCTTTTCGCCTCTCTACCCTTTGTATCTATCCCTTGCTCGCAGCCATCATTATTGTGTTCATAGTCTTCTTCGTCCTAGTCCTAGTCCTAGTCCTAGTCCCAACGCTCATAACTTATATCGAAACCTGACGACGCAACTCCGGCTGGGGGATCGTCTCGCTAGTCTTCATCATCGTCATCGCCATCTCGATCTCTTAAACCTCTTCTCACCATCTAACACCTCTTAACACCTCTTGACACCTCATAACACCCCGCAAGCCTCACACTTACCGCCGCTCCTGAACACATCCCGACATCCCTATCAACTCCCGAACTATCATTCATCTTTAAATTGTCATGGCAGCACTCGCAGCACCGATGCGTCAGATAATCAAAGAAGAGACCACTTGTCTCCTTTCTGCCGCGGCCGAGTCGGTCTCTACATCATCTATTAGTTCAGCCGCAGGGATGGGCATGGCTGTCAGAGAGGCGGTCGTCAAAGAAGCAGGGATAGGAATGGGAGCGGTCAGGGAGGCGGGGATAGGAGCTGTCAGGGAGGCGGCGGTGAAAGAAAGTCCGTTGGCGGTGAGCAGGGTCGGAGGTGGGGTGGCTGAGGAGGGCGTGGCAGGGGGTGAGTCCTTCTTCTCCGTCTCTTCACCTTCTTCTTCTTCTTCTTTCTTTTCACGTCCGGTATTCGGGAGACGTTGAGAGACTTGAGAGCGCTGGGCTGATCTTTGTTCGTTCGCTCGGTTCCGTTCTCTACCCTCTGATCTTTCGGTCTGATTTATGGGCAACAACAACACTACTATGACTATGACTACAAGCTACAGGCCGGACGAACGTCGCTCAACACCTCGAGATACTTAATAATAACCTCAAATCCGCCGTCCATCCTCCTACCGGGACTGCCCACCCGATATCTACGACGAGCTCCACTCCCACATCCTCGCTACACGTAGCCAGCCCGCCCGTTCCTCCTATTCCCAACGCCCACCTACACCCCACCTTGATCTCACCTTCGATTTCCACGATCTTAGAATCGCTCTCTTCCTCAATCTCCTCTACGGCCCGCACGTCAGCAGAGAAGAGCAGCAGCAAGATCTTCAGCCTAGAAGGCGGTCTGAAAGAGGCCGTAGAGAATGCTCTGCAGACGGGGGTGCAGGAACAGGTCGAGGTTGTTGTTGATACGGCCGAGGTGTCGAACTTGAACTTGAACTTGAATCTGAATTTGGGTTAAGGGAGGTCAAGTTGCAAGTTGTAGACACTTCCTAAGGGTCTACAATACTCTCTGGTCCGGATTCTGTTTCCCGTCCGTTTGGTCGGTTGGATTTGGTGGCTTGTAACTTAGTACGAATACTGTATCCTAAGTCTTTATACCTTGTACTCGGACGCATCTGTATGATCCTGTGTCGACGTTGTCGACGGCTTTACGCGTCTATATATGGTCCCCCCCAAGTTGCAAGTTGTCGCTTCTCTCGGACCCGAAAAACGCGCCCGAGGTCGACCTCGAGCGAGAGATAAGGGTCGACACGACACAAGTTGACCATCATATGTTCATCTTAACAACTTCGAATTCTCAACCACCTACTCTGCCACTAATAGATTACAAAAACACAGGGCAGGGTACCAAACAAGACACAGGTGAACGGAAAACTGGGAGAGCCATGAACTTTACGGCCTCATCGGCGGACGAACTGCTCAGCCTGGATTCTATCCGGGGGACGTTGATCAGGTTGGAGGATACCATCATCTTCTGTGAGTCCGAACTCCGCCCAGCTCTCTTGCTCTTTCGCTCGTCTTCTAATACCTCGATGACTAATCCTGTTAACCTGTAACAACTTCCTTCTACGTCACGGTCTTGACTATCATAATATACTATCAACACGAAACGCTAGACCTGATCGAAAGAGCCCAATTCGCACTGAACGCCAAGATCTACCGACCAGGCGAATTTGAAGAGCTGGAAAAGCTCGGGTTTGAAGGGAGTTGGTTGCAGTGGTTCTTGTTCGAGATTGAATGTTTTCACGGTGAGTCCTCTTTGCTTCTCGGCTCTGTTCTTCCTCTTGTTTTTCCTCTTTGTTTTCTCTGGGTTTTCTCTTGGTTTTCGAGGGTTTGTGGACTTGGAGATGTGGGAGAGTGAGTGAGGGCTGATAAACAGCATTCCGCTTTTCTGGTTATAGCGAGGGCTAGACGGTACACCAGGTGAGTCCAATCTTCCCATCTCTTCCAGGCCTCAATGAGTTGATTCAAGATCGACTGCTAACCTCACTCGACTTCTTCCTTATATAAATACTCGATATGATACCCATACCAATACCCCACTCCATTCCACTTCGAACTCGAATTTCGAACTCGTTACAATTCGTCCTACATCCTAATCGTCGCCACTCCAACCTCGCCCCCAACCTCATCTCCACCTCATCCCACATCCCATTCTATTCTCACCAATACTACAATATCACCACCATCCCCAAAAAAAGCCCGGACGAATACCCCTTCACACCCATCCACAAACTCCCTCCACCGATAATCAACGTCCAAACTTACCCTTCGTTACTTCATCCGGCGTCGACGGCTCATCCGAGTACGAACGTTAATCATCGGATCTTGGATTTTTATGTGAGGGAGATTGTTCCTGTGATCACCGAGGGAGTCAGAGTTATGGTGAAGGGAGGGGATGGAAATGAAAGTGGAATTGGGAATGGGAATGGGAATGGGAATGGGAATGGGAATGGGAATACAAAGGGGGAGGACGGGAGGGACGATGGGAATTATGGGAGCAGCGCGACGAGGGATGTCGAGGTCTTGCAGGCTTTGAGTAGGAGGATCCATTTCGGTAAGTTCGCCGTCGTTGCTCGGGACCTGTTTGAGCTTCTTTTTCTTCTTCCTACGGCTCTGGTCATGCAGATGATCCCATTGACACGCTATACGACATGACGCTGACAAGACGCTCTCTCTTGTACCGCGTTTGCGCACCGACCTCGACCTGTGCTCCGCTCTCGGCAGGCATGTTCGTCTCGGAATCCAAATTCCGTCAAGCTCCACACGAATTCATCCCGCACATCCTCTCCACCCCACCTAACCGCGAAGCCTTGGCGGGGCTGATCACCAAACCCGCCGTCGAGGCCGCCCTCTTAGTTCGTCTGGGCAACAAGGCCAGGCTTTTCGGGGCCGAGTTGGACGCGCAGGGGAACTTGAAGGGTGAAGATCAGAGGGGAGAAGGGAGGATCAAGACGGACGAGGTGGTCAAGCTTTATCGGGATTGGGTTATCCCGCTCACAAAGGATGTCGAGGTGGATTATTTGGAACATCGGTTAGAGGGCGTCGAGCAGGGTCAGATTGATGAGTGGATGAGGGCTGGGGAGGGGAAGTAGGAGCAGGAACCGCACAAGCGGGCAAAGGTGGGGAAGAAGGCGCAAGAGGTGTGATGTAAGAAGGTTGATATGTTGGACCCGTGGGAATTGTTAATACTTGGGCTTCAGTCGAAAAGCGGCGAAATCGTGGAATAGATATGCTAGACAAATCCATACATTATTGTGACTCGATGCCGTCGAAATGGACACAGAATGGAGTGGCCTTGCCAAGCGCAAATGATCCTGGATAAGGTCGCGATACGAAACGCGAGCGGGATCGCGGGTTGTAGGGAGCTGGGTTATAGGGACGAGAATAACGTGGATGAAGAAGGTAGAGCGGGACAGGGTGTGCACGGGGGATTACAGTCCATCTCGTTACCATTGGGACGTCATCATTGTGAGAATTTCAGATTCCAGGTGGCGCTTCACGACTCACACCCAAGGTAAGTTTGGGAGACTGTTCATGTCAGATTGACATTAATTCAGAGGGACAAGGTGCGATCGCGCCTGCGAATGGCCAAGGTTTATACCAGGACTGAAGCCGACGGCGTAATGGAGAAGCTATTATTTTCATGTTGTGTGTCAGGTGACATGATGTTCATCTTGATCTCGAGTACAAAGGTAGGTCTAGGTCGTCTCAATGATCCTCATCGTCGTCGTCGTCTGCCAGAAGCTCCCAGCTCGAGGAGGCGCAGATGAGGACAGGTGGCGCAAGAACCATCCGCAAGGAAGGTGGCGAGAGACCTCATAACGTCTGGGGTTCTCCGTGTCACCTCCTTTATCCTGTAGACTTGTACATCTAATCTGGTAGGGGCTACACGATGCCCCGTTCGTAGACTATATATCCTGCCCCGATTTGGTTTGGGATCCACGTTCGAATGATCGATTTATATGGTTGTTATCTCCATTTCTCGCTCACATTCACCTGTTGGAACGACTTCAACCTCTACCCTTCAGACCTCCTCGCCAGCCCACTCACGAGTCACGGTAGAGCAAGGATGGAACCGCATTTGATTTGGACCTACGCCAAGCGTCCCGAAGAGCAGGAGTATACTCTCAAGCTCGAGGTCAAAGGAAAACCATTCCGTCATTACACGGTCATCACGGACTTTCCTAGAATCAATGGCAAGACGATCACCCTCGAAATCAAAATTTACGCCACAGATGAAATGCTCGGCCGCGGTACGGAGTCTTATGAGGATCGAAACGACCTTGTGGACTTGGCTTGCCGGTATATCAAGAAGAATCCCTATCAGGAGGAAGATGATACCGAGGCGTCGCGGTCGGGCACATCTGCGATGACCCAATCCACTCTAGAGGTGTCGGCTGCCTCGTGCAGACCTTTGGATGGATGATCTCAGTGTGATCAGAAACGCCATGTTATCGCTTGCCTATACATGCCTCCTTTGTACTTGAATACATGAGCATGAAATGCATACAAGTCAGACTGACTGTCCCCTATGCTGTATCACTGTGGAGACGATTTCGGACGTCATGCATGATTCCGTATTGATCGTTTGTGAAGATAGTTCGTGTCTGATCAGCAACATAGCTTGTGGCTTGTGAAGATGCGGCTAGGAGTATACTGATGAAACGACTTCACTGCTGATCTTCTCCCTTTCTCTTGCCTTTGAAGCTTTGGAGAGAACCTAGAAAACCACAATCTGATCGATCCCTTGAAACGAGGAGGGAGGCTGACACACGCGCTGGTGAAGGCGTTAGGAGAGTGGCAAAAATAGTCACGAGATGGCGAATAATGACGAGTGTGAGCTACCCCGTGGCCAAAGATCCTCCTTTGTTGTGTATATGTATATATATGCTTAAGATGAGCAAGCCGGTCAGTGGGACGATCGGAGGCTAGCAGGATTCTCGCAGACGAGCATCCTTCTTTCCCTTTCCGAGAACCTTCGATTCTTGCTTCTGCGCGCCCTTCCAACCCCCGCGACATGACGCACGAGGTTCTCCCGCCGTACTATATCAAAGTCTCTCCTGGGGCTGAAGAAAAGGACAAAGTGGTGTTCGAGGCCGATTTCGTCGTTTTGTCCGGTGAAAAGAAGGCCCCGCCCAAAGTAGAATCGTGGGGTGAAGAGGTAGCCAAGCGCAAGATGGACAAGGATCAAGTACAAGTGAAAATCACTCTATACGCTAAGGGCGGCCAGTTTCCACAAGGATGTTCAACACACATGGTGGAGAAGGCAGTCTTAGATTACGTCTTTACCTTGCATTACTCGCCAGAAGCCCTCGCTGAAATTGATGACACCAGTGGCGCTACGTCTGGCGAACAATCTACGAGTACCTTGCAAACGGAACGGGATACTGCATCTTCTCGTTGACGCTTCGATCACAATCTATCGTAGATGTCGGGTTGGGGGGGGGGGGGGAGGGGGGGGGATTTGCATGTGCTTAGATAGAGTGAGGCTTCGGACGTGTGATACTGATCGTGTCTCTCCAGCTGTGGTATCGCTCTGAGCTCGACATGCTTGAGATAAGATTGTAAACGGCCAGAGCATAGATACATATCGTCTTCAATCTACTCGTACGCGACATTACGTAGTTGATAAATACGATATGTAGGTGTTGATTCTTTGTCTTGAGTTCAGATGTCCCCGGTGAGGACTGCCCTGTGAAGTTCTGAGAACGATGCCAATTTGAACTTTTTCGAGTTTTGTCTCGCGATCAATGAAGATCCGCTTCTATGCATAGCTGCGGCCAGTATACGGTTTCCAACTGAAGCTAAACATCTCGGCTAGCGACTAGTTGGATATCGAGCTCAAGGTTGTCCCACATATCGGTAACGGTGTACTTGGGTTTCCATCCAAGCTTCCGGGCTCTGCGACCTTGTGCATTGACCCTGCAAGAGTATCACAAATCCCGGTAATTGGCAGTGCCACGATCAGATCGATCGAGATCGCATGGTAAGACTTGCCTTCCAGAGATCTGTGCCGCGACCTCGTCAGGTCGAACGGACAGGATCTCTGCCATCTGGTTTACATCTTCCTGAGAGGGTTCCGCAAGCGCGTTCGGCAACCCAAGGACATCGGTGACCAGTCCGTACAAACGCTTCCATTCAAAGAAGCCGTTCTCAGCGAAATAGACCCCGCTCTCGATCGTCTCGTTGGAGAATGTCTTGTCGATGATGAGCTTGTACAACGCGGTTGTGTCCCGGATATGACATTGGGTCCATTCTTGTTTCCCGCCATCTCGGTCGTCGGAGAACGTAAAGAGTTTGCCCATTTTTGAGGCGATCTTGACGAGAGCGGGAACCTGGATCGAGAGCGGGTTCCCTAGAGATCTCGAAGGGCCGCTATTTTTCGGTGAATCGATGGCGGTGTCAAGTACGATATGCGAACGATGTAGTAAGTCAATACTTACTGTACGAGGCAAGGCGCGACGACGTGAACACCAACCCCAAGCTCTTCGCCCAGCGAGAGCATGTTCTCGGTCGCAGATGCGGCGGTTTTCAGCCACTAAACCGGCAATACTCATCGGTCAGTGCACTCCGCATTTCACCCATAGGGTCCTCCTGCTGTTGATGCTCACCACAGGATACGAATCGGCCTTGACGACAGATCGTCGGACGGTCGGAAGGAAATCTGGATCATCGTCGTACAGAGCCTTTTCCGGGTCAAATCCAGCGAACATCGACCATTGTTTGGTACCATTTGACTGGAATTGGTACAACAGCAGCTGATATCAGTGATGGTTCAATTATATGTAGGTAGGTTGAGCTCGTCGATGACCTAGACATACCGCTATGTAAGTACCATTGTTAGCCTGAAGCGCCTTGATGCAGGGAATGGCTATGTTGTCAGTAGCCGAATCCGTCGTCTCGATGACGAGTTTGACTTTTGGAAGAAGCGGTAGCGTTCAGCTCTTTTCAAGCTCGATAACTGTGTCAGGAGTTATCTGTACATACCATGGCGTTCGCGGATGAAAGCATCCAGGTCCTGAGGGCTGCCGAGATCCAGCTCGACGGGGATAATACGTATCGCTTCGAAATTTGGCCACAATGATTTGTTGCGAACCGTCGCATAGATGGCGACGTCATCGTACCTCGAATCTTCTCGGATTTCAGCGAGGATGTCGCCGCCGCTGTGGAAACACGCATGCAGATTGAGTGATGAAACTCTGCGCTTAGCGCGGCAGACGGCAAGTTTCACTTACAGATAACCTGTCCCGCCGGTGACGAGGATGCTCTGTTGTTCCCGGTTCATCTCAATCTTGTGATGCTCAAGTCGACCTGAAACCGGCTGTCAAGTAAGACCCGGCCGCTACACGAACCGATACCTTTACGGTCGTATACCAAGTCTACATATGTACTCTACACGTTTCAAGGTTCACATGACGACATTCAGATTCAACTAGCGCGCTGGACGTCTTGCTTGATCATCCTTCTGACAAAGCGCATGATCAAGCCGTTAGGGTTGGTAATCACAAGTTGTTCCCGTTCTTGGCACCATAATCGATTCATCACTATATAGTCGAGCGATACCCATGGCATCGATCCGTGCTCCTTGTACAACGTTCAATCTAGGCAGCGTATTCTACATGACCGGTCGCGGTCTTCTTTTCACCACCGATCTTGTCATCGTGCTCGAGAGCTTCCTGAGCCGAGGCGTTGACAGAGTGGTCGCTAGGGCCGTCAAAGATCTCACTGATCTCTTCGAGCATCCTGCCTTTGGTTTCGGGAAAGAGGAAGTAGACTGTAGAGAGCGACGAAGGTAAGCGGTTGTCACTCAGATTGAAAGATTGGGGTGACGGAGACTCACTGCAGGCGATAGCGATGATTAGGACGACATCGTACACGATGTAGTATTTCCAGGCGATCGCATCGAGAGCGATGGGGTTGACCTGAAAAGCGGATATCTGTCAGACGACGGTCGCCGGAAGCCGATATTGGAAGACCCACGTATTGGTTGAAAAACAGGGCGATCTGAATGGCCAGCTGCAAGATGGCGTTTCCTTTCGATCGCAGGTTGAAAGGCAAGATCTCGTTGGGGTAGGCCAGGGTCAATCCGGTGAAAGCGATACTGTAAGAGCCGTTGTACAGGAAGATGAAGGCGATGACGGCGTAACCGGCTCCGATGGTTCCCTTTTCAGCAAAGACAGCGGAACAGGCGGTGATACTGATGTAACAGATCAGCATGCCAATGGCCGAGGTCAACCAGAGAGGTCGTCTTCCGAGCCTTTCACAGAGGAGCGCGGCGCCTATAGCCCAGAGCCAGTTCCTATATCGGATCGAACGTCTCAGTATGGGCATGTATCGGAGAAGGCTACCGGCGCGACTGACCAAACTTGAAGACCTCCATTGAGACCGGCTTGTTGCGTCGAGTTGTTGACACCTGAAAGTTCAACGGATCTTGGTAAGCGCTCTTTCGCTGACTACTTTGGGAAAACTCTTGTGTATGCTTACCGACACTGGACAGGATTCGAGCCAGATAGTACGAGATGATTCCGTTCCCAACCCACTGACTGAAGAACCCGACGAGCTGCATCACCGGGCCACCAGATCGAATCAGTACAATGGGGAGTTGCAGCGACATGACCGGGATCTCAGAGTACTCACGACGATGACGAGCAGTCGGTGTCGGTTGCCGCGGCTCTTGAAGAAGCTCATGTAGGTGATCCCAGCCGTAGCTTGTTTCTCAAACTCGAGCGCGGCGCAGATCTCTTGGTATTCGAATCTGCAAGCAGTAGGAAAATAGGGCGAGTCAGCATAGATGCCAGCGAGTTTAGGCTGCGGTAGAGAAGGACCTACTGCACGAGCTCGTCCTGCTCGTCCCCATTGGCATGGTACCTCGCCAGCGTACGAAGCGCCTGCTCGTTCTTGCCCCTGCTAACGAGGAATCGGGGGGACTCGCCGATGAACCAGAGAAGGGGGAGTTGGACGACACAGGGAAGCACTTGGAAGAGCTGAAACACGGACACCAGGTCAGGTCAATGAGTCCCCAGCGCGATTGTCGGACAACGAGGTATACCAAGACTTACGCAAGGGAGGCGCCAAGCCCAATCCCCGTTGATGTTCAGGGTCCCGAAACAGGTCCACGCGGCGATGATCGATCCGACTGCGAAAGGGATCGAAGGAAAAAGAAATCTGGTTCAATCGAAGCGCTGGGGAAACGATCGGCAACGGACATCATGACGTACTGAACCAGCAAGTGTTGATCAATGCGGTCGCTTGAGGCCGGTTTCGAGGATGGCTGATCTCGGTGACATAAGGCGCGGCCCCTAAAAGCGATCGGCCAAACAGGAGAGGTCTCAGTTTGCGCTTTTCAGAGGAGATCGAGGATCCGACCAGGCGAATGGGAAGGCTCACCGATCGCTTCGAAAGACGCTCCGAGACCGACGACGAATCGACCGGCGAGCATGGGATCACCGCCTTTGGTAAACGTTTGTACGACCGCACCGATGATGATGAGGAGCGCGCCGATGGCTAGTGTGTCGAAATGGCGACGAGCTCAGCTTGGGAAGACGTTGCGAATGGACGAAGGGTGGGATGAGTTTCTACGTACCCATACAGATCTTTCGACCGAACCTGTCACCGATCCACGCGGCGGGGAGAAGGGAAGGGATCCTATGTCAAAGTACAAACGGTAGACCTCAGTCTTCCTGTCCTGCCTATTCGATCGGGCGAATGCGAGTGATGATGAAGCGGACTTGAAGACTCACGCTCCGAGAGCATAAGCAGCGGAGATGATCCCCAGCTTGTTCCCATCCGGGTTCCCAAGTACGCCGAGGAAACCGTCGATCGTCTGAAGACCGTTGAAGAGGGATCCATCGTACCCGGCGTTGACTAAGAAGCGTTCGGGCCGCAAAGATTTCGATCAGTCCCTCGGCTGGGACGTGTAAGACGAGAGTGGGTGAATGACCCACCGGTACCGCAATACGCTGCGATAGTCGCTACGGCCAAGCTTCGCATCCCAGGGTCTTTCCACCAGGAGCTCGCCGCCTGTGACGCAAAGAAGCGACAGAGAAACGATCGAGATGCCAAATCTGATTAGCTTCTCCACATCATTGTTGCTCGTGGCACCCGATGGCGGTAAAAAAAATGCGGCCGACTGACATTGTTCCGTAACGTCGAGAAGTGAGTCCCAGGGGCAAACGTGCTGGTAGTTATTCCGGACATGTTAGTTCTTCTTGATAAGATAACAGCTGAGAAGCTGAACTCGAGTGGTGGAGAGGTGGAGGTGGAGGTAGGTCGGGTCGTTTGACGGTGACCGAAGCGGGGTACATTCCGACCCCAACTCCACCTCGATGGGTATATATGGATCCCTTCGGAACTCTCGTTTCGGGCGGGATCGCTGTTTCTCCTTGTCTGTGCTACCCGGAGTTCGAAGGACGACACCCTGCGTGTCTGTTGATGGCCGTTCTTTCGTCTTGGGACCCTCTCGCCCTCGCTCCCGCCCTTTGCGATACAGGACGATCGTGGCATGCGCTCGACTGTGAGCCGTGCAAGCGATATCAAATCACGCCCCCTCAACGATACAACTCAACCTCGTTGCCCCGTTGTTTCAGTGCGGCACTCCGAGCGGCCCCTCCCCCACTCAAACACGCTCTGCAGCAGGAAATGCTGCGCGGCAACGGAAACACATGTCTGTCTTGAACGCCGGGTGGTTTTTCGTCTTCGCATGCGGGGCAATCGGGCTGTACGTTTTGACGTTTGCCCAGAATATGCGCGGCATCGGGCGACAAGGACAAGCTGGGGAACGCCGTGCTGGACGTCCTGCCTAGTCCGAGGCGCTCATCCTGTCTCTCGACTAGAGATAAACTTGGCATCGCCGGGTTTTTCGTATGTTTACGGGCCCCGTTGTGTCGACTGTCCGCGCCGCACCGAGGGGGATAACGATCCGCACCACCACATGTCGGACGTTCATGTTTCGAGGATTTTCCGACGATGTCATCGACGTGGACATCCTGCGAAACAACAACGCCATGTGTTTGGTCGGCTGTGCCTAGTCCCGCCTTCGGACCGAACCAGAATACTCGTAGATGGTGCAGTCAGGCGAGTCGGAAAACGACAACATACCCTGTCTGAACACTGCCGTTGATGACCCCTAAGCCTCGGCATCGCTGAACGACCACGATGGACGGAAACGGTGACGGGGACGCGGCCCAGCTTGACGACAGGGTCACTTAGAGACCAGGCGCAGCACTTCTCAATGGAAGAGTTCTGATTTGCCGCCTTTACCTCGCATTCGGCCGCATCTTCGCCACACCGCATCAAGCCCGGCCAGACCGACCACAGCGAAAACGGAGCGCGATCCTGGATACCGATGTCGGAACTCGATCGTCATCATTCTTCGTCTTGATTCGATCGACCCATTTCGGGACAGCCAACTGGCGGGGAGGCCGAATGCGAGAATTATATGTCTATAATCGTGATCATTAACCACATCAAAGCTCGAGCGCATTAAAGAGACGTAAGCGAGATCGTTATCGAAAAAGAAACCCAAATCCTGTCCTGTATCGTATCGTATCACCTTCGATTCAAGCAGAGCCCTTGACCAATCTGCCCAATAATCCCTTCATCTCTTTGATGATCCTTCCGATCAAAACCCCGTCTACCATGTTCCCCTCCCTCCAGTTGACGCTCATCCAGACCTCGCCCCCGGCCAACCCGACACAATCCACTTCGACGGCATGAGAGTCGAAACAAGCCGCAGGGTGACCCCAGACGACCGCGTCGACTTTGGGGAAAGAAGGAGGGACTCGACCGAGGTTACTGAATTGCACGGAATGCGAATACTTGGTGCGTCTATGGGATGCGCCGAAGTATTCTTCCCACCCGGTGAAAGCGCCTCGGGCACGGGTGGTGGTCGAGTTCGAGCCAGAGCTGGGATTTTGGGGCGGGAGGAGTTTTTGGCGTTGTCCGTCGGGGATATGAGCGCACAACCCCCACGTCTCCCTTCCAGCCTTCCTCATCTGTCCGTTCTCCAACCGCTCAGCTAGATCCTCGGCTACATCCCAATATCTCTCTTCTTCTGTCTTCTGCCCTTGACCCTCGACGACGGTTGGAAACCATTTGCGGTACATCGCCGGTACCATCAAGTTGCCCAAGAACGCCGGGTGGCCGAGCTCGAGGTTCCGTTCCGACATGGGCACGTTGCCTTCGATATTCACTCCGTCCTTGAGGGTCTGCTCGTCGAGCGTGGAATGCACTGCTAGCATCAACGCGGCCATCAACAGGGAGGTCAACTTGACCCTAGGTGCGTTCGATGCGGCTTGATGACGAGCGGCGGAGAGGTGGACGAGTCGTCCGATCAGCTCGGCGGGGAGCGGGACGACGGAATAGCGACAAGGCAAAGTGGCTAGATCAACACTCTGCCCGCCGCCTTCAACGTCGAGGTCGAGGTCGCTTTGATCTTGAAGTTCGTCTCCGTTCCGTTTCGCCGCCTTGACATTGACCTTGAGCTTGTCATCACCTCCAGCGATGCTCCGCCCGATCCACACCTTGGTAGCGTTCTCATCAACAAAGAACCTCTGCAACCAACCGGGAAACTTGGGGACAAGGAGTTCGTACCAGACCGCACGCAGAAGGGTGGACAGGGCCGGTTTGAGGCGGATCGTGGATTCGAGCGCTGGAGGAAGGGGTCTCGTGGTCGTCGGTTTGTTCGAAACGGTCGGCTCGGTCGATCGCGCTTGTTTTTGCGACTCCGACTCCGACTGCGAACGTAACAGCGGCTGCGATTCCATATCCCCCTCGCCCTCGCCCTCGACCTGACCCCGCACCCGCACCCGCACCCGCTCCCGCTCCTGATCATACCGCAAAGCCCGCTGCAAAAGCTGCGAGAAGAACTCTAACCCTCCCATCCCGTCGGTGATGATATGATGAACTACGAGCACTACGAACCCGGTCTGGTCTACCTCGTGTTCGTTATCCGAATTGGAGTTGAGGTTGGACGTGGGGTTGGGGTTGGAGTTGGAGGTGGGGTTGGGAGCGAGGACCCGGACGATACGCCAGAGATCTCCGGTCTCCACGTTCAGTTCCCTCCGGGCGGTTTCGGTCTCTTGGTGGAGGAGGTGGGACATGACCTTCCCTAGCTTCTCCGACTCCAGATCCACGTCAGAGTGCCCGTGGTCGTCGTCCGGCTTATCCTCGTCGGTGTTGATCTCGGCGACGGTATTGGGAGAGATACCGTACTCGGAGAGTGAGAGTGGCTTGTCGAGTACCGTCTCACACCTCCTCCCCACCTTCCTGCGTTCGCCATTCTCGAACTCTCCCTCTATCTCCGCCTCTACCTCTCTCTTTACCTCGAGATCCAAAGGACCCCACCTGGCTTGGGTTGTCTCCCACCCCACAACCCGTGCGTTCAAGATCGCTTCTTCCCCAACCGATTCATCTAGAGCCGTTTGTAATCCTGATAGACTCGGCAACGGCTTCCCTGTCTTTTCTGAGGCGGCAGTGGAAGTGGAAGTGGATGTGGATGTGGGGGTACAGAAGGCGGCCACGTAGGTGATCAGAGGAGGTTGGGCGAGGTTGTCTTGTGTGAGAGAGTAGCGTTCGTGGGCGGAGACTATCGGTCGAGGCGGAAATTCAAGATGATGATAATGGCAGGTATAAAGGAGGTGACGATGGTGGTCGTGGGTCAGCTTGCGAGATTCTCGTTCATGGATGTGATCTCTTCCAGCTTTTCCCGGTAATACCGCGAAAGGTGGAGAGGGTAGGGCTTACTCGGACGACCTTCGAACTGCACCATGACGATAGGTGACACCTCTATAATCTGGTTTGTCGACTTGCGTAGATGTGGCTGTCGTTGAGGCTGCGTCGACGTTGAAAAGCGAGCGAAAGGAAGGTCGTTGGTCGCTGTAGAGGGTTGTATGCCGACCGTCTGATCTCTGCTCTTCGACCGACTCTGACTTTGTGGGACCGCTATTTCTTCGCACGAATCAAACTATCTTGACGATTTAGAGTTGGAAGACATGCGGTATCATCACGTTGCATGTTGACGTTGTGCACGATATGATGATAGGTCTTGGTTGTTTGTTTATCAAAACCCGGATTGATGGCAGCTTGGACATCCTTTGGGAGAATCTTGCCTGAAACCCCTAAGAGTCGGGTGACATCGCGGTTTACTCATACCCAGATCGTTTTTGCACGACGGCCTTGCAGAGTGCAGCGGTTACATCGAGCTGGGCAGTCGAGGACGCAAGAGCTTAGGGTACTGTACGGTAAGAGCAGCTCACTACTACTAGCTAATAGACGAGCTCACGTTCGGATACGTCGTCCATATCGCATCGATCAAATCAAGATAACCCCGAGATGAAAAAGTCAGAAAACGCTAGAATCTTGAACAGAAACCGACAGACGTGGTTGGGTTTTTCTTCAGAAGTAGGTTGATAGCGATAGAAAGTTGTTCTATCGAGCTCAAGAGATTCACGGACTCGTCTCGGTAGTCAAATCTGCCGTATGCATTATTATATTATTATTATCGTTGACATGTTCACAACCTTCAGCCAAACTGCTACCCCTCTCTTCCAGCAATTCAAGGCCATGGTGTTCCCCTTTGGCGGTACTAGTATTCTTCCGTCACCCGGATATTCTCGTCGTCTCTTTACTATGATATTATTATTGGCAACAAACAGTTGTAGAGGAGGACCGTATGGGCCAAGGTCTTGCTTATCAGTGGCATGAGCTGTCTCAGCCTCACGATCCGAGCTGACATGAGATATCGTACTTTTCCCACATTCAGTCGGTTGAGCAGCTGGTCTTGTATCTTTGATTTTTGCAGGCGCTCGACAGAACTCTTTGGGGCCTTTCGCTACATGGCAACCAATGGTTCAGACCGTTCCAGTACACAGGTCAGGACGAGATCAGTACCTGGATCCTGCACAATGATGAACGATACTTTTCCAACTTCCCCTTAATGAACGGTGTCATCAAATTGCCCTATAGCAAGGCTACGAAGATCTTTGCGCCATTTGCTGTGGGGACAGGCGATAATTATCTTTATCAAAGCCCGGAAGCTGATACATGACGTAAGGCATTGTCGGAAGCATATCCGTAAACCTCGATCGTCCTCTTTGCAGCTTCTCTGGGCATGTAGGCATAAGAGTACAGTCGGAGCATACAGTAAGTAGTATCGACACGTTCCCTCCTTCCTCGACCCACACAGACAGATTCGATAGACAGCCAGACGTCGATACGGAACATGATCGACGTAGGACTCGAAGGCGTACACGTTCTCGTCACCGGGGCGAACGGCGGGATAGGTGCGATCAACCCTCTCCTCGTCCGACTAGGTCTCGCCTTGCTTGGGCTCTGAAATGAAGCTGACGATTTGGATTCGACTCGGCTCAATTTACGTCTACCGCAGGTCTACCCACGGTCAAGCTCTTCCTCGGTAAGCCCATCTCCGAACCTGCTGCTGAGACTTGGGATGGAAGGGTCTGATGACAAGCCGATGAACCTGATCATGTGCAGAACAAGGAGCCTACGTCACAGCCGTGTATAACACCACCTCTGCCGACCTAGACTCGGACCCCGTCATCACCCTTCATAAATCGAAAAACACTTGTCGGACGATCTCACTGGACGTGACTAGTGAACAGGCCGTCGAACGCACTTTCACCGAATTGTATAACGAAGATTCCAGTAATAAGACCGGGGGATGGCCGGCACTGAGCTGCCTCGTGGTGAATCATGGGATCTTTACAACCCCCTCGGTACCTATTTGGGAGATGACAATGGAACAGTTCGAACGTACGCAGCGGATCAACCTTTTCGGCCCTTTCCTCCTCATCCGGGCGTTCTTGAAGGGGTACAAGACCCACCTCTCTTCTACAATCTCCCCCGAAGGGAATCACAATCAGATCCTAATAGCCCCTCCTAATATCGTCATCATCGGCTCCACCTCGGCCGAATTCGGAGAAGCGGGCCATGTAGACTATTCGACCTCGAAATCGGGGTTGACGCATGGGTTGGTGAAGAGCGTCAAGAACGAGATCGTCAAGATACATCCTAAGGGACGGATCAACTCGGTGAGCCCGGGGTGGGTGAAGACGGGGATGGCAGAGGAGAGTTTGAAGGATGAGGAGACGAGGTGGAGGGCTACTGCGACGTGAGTTCAAGTTCGATTACGGCGTTGTTTTTCTTATAGGGGGCATCTATATCTTTATCTTGCCTCTAGAGGGTCGACAGCACAGCATCGTCTTGTGGAGTCGTCATCTGCATCTGCAAGCTGATACAATACACATCAATATTTTCATCTCTAATCTCTGATCTCGTACCGTGCTCGTGCTCGTATGACGCGGTAATAACGTGACGTAACGACAGGACCCCGATGAAGAAGATCGCCAGCCCGCTCGAGGTGGCCTACCAAGTGCTCGTCATGAGCAGCGACGTCTTGTCGGGACATACGACGGGTCAGATCGTCATGGTCGCAGGGGGGATGGAAGGTCAGTAAGGTCTCGGTCCCACACTGTGTGATTTCTCATCTCGCTAGACGATTTTTCGGGGGAAAGCTGATGATGGACTATCATGCGTGTGGGGACGGGCCGTAGGTCGGCTGTTGAACCCGAAGCCTTGAGATCGAGGCCGAGGGCGGGGAAAGAATGGGCCTGCCAGCAGGACGGACGACGACTTCCAGCCGCTGTACTGCTATCGGCATGCTCCAGCTCAATAGTGTAAGCTGGGCACTGTTCTTCTTCTCGTGAGGATTCAGCTTTCTTCTTTTGCGTCGACATTGGGCTTCTTCTCGAGAAAAGGTTTCATGGGGAAGAGACCTTTGCGATGATTGGACCTTGGGGAGACGTTCCTGAGAGCTGAATGGCTCGCACGTGTCGGCTTCGAGTGGGACTCCTTATGTGCGTTCGTTCGAGAGCGAAAGTCACGGATATACATATGGATAGGTGGCGAGCCGAGCGGGCAACGATAGCTGTGAGAACACGAACATACCGGAACGTACTCGTGTTTTCGCTGGGACGTTTCTTTGCACACGACCAGCGTGGTTCTGGTCTGGATAACCGTTGAGACCATAGATCGCTACACTGCCGAGGGTCAGAAGCGGAGCCGAGATGACGTGTCGAGCACTCGATCTTGTCAACCCTCAAAGACCTCGGCCGTGATTGTCCAGATCGAATCCCACGGAAATCCCCGAGACCCGCTGGACCTCGACCTCACCGGTTCGTGAGCGATATCGACCGCGATTCGAAGTCTCAGCAAGGTTTGTCACCATCTTGATCCGCCATCATCTCGGGTTCTTGCCAGCTTTGATCCACCTTCCCGACCTCGACGTCGTAAGGGCCAGCTGCCACGGGCGGCCGGACTTCTACCGTAAGCGCCTGCCGCTCGACGATCCCCGAATGCGAGTCTCGGCGCGGTCCGCTGATCGTCGACATCATCCGAGGAGGTCAGTTGACGTGGACTTCGATCTCATAGGAGCATGGTAGCATGAAGGCATGAGACACGGCCGCCAGATACCGCTCGTACTCAAGGTGCCAGCTGCCAGCAAGCTTTCCCAGCGGTGCCGCATCGCGGCTCACCGTTGTATATAGCAAGGAGATGCAAGGACCGAGAATGAACGACGAACCACTTGCCGTCCTCGAGTCGCAATACGCGATACAGGTCACAGCAAACTCGCAGAACGATGTCTTCGGCAAAGAACATCCCAAAGACCGCTAAAGGGTCAGTCAAACAGTCCCCTCAAACATTTCCAAACCTTCCTGTCCACTATCTTGTTTCTCCGCCCCGCCTGTACTCTCCTCAAGTACTAACGTTCGTCATTCGTGCACCTCTACATCGCTCTCACAGCGCCTTTTTCGAAAAGACCGGAGGAGAAGTATCAATCCAGGAGTACAAGGTCAATCAGCAATCGGAGCTCGAACCGGGTCAGGCGTTGGTGAAAGTAGAGTATAGTGGGGTTTGTCATACGGATTTGCATGCGTGAGTCCCGAGTTCAGTCCTTCCAAGATGGCTTGGTTGGAGACAAGGAGTAGGTCGTGGTCGAGGCTGACTGTGTTCAGTTGTGGGTCTCGATGACGATGACGACGATGATGCGATTACGGCGAGATCTCGACAGGTTGTTGGTAAGTCTTACAACGGGTTTTTGCACCTACAAACAAATGTCTCGTGGTTTCCTAATTATCAGATTGATCGTATGATAGGGCGACTGGCCTCTCGATAACAAGCTCCCGTAAGCCCTACACCCCCTTATTTACTAGGACTCGTCTCATGTTGAACCGCTAATCAACATCTGCATTCGCTTGATCACGACTGAATTTTCATCTCGCTCTCGTTCTCGTCCTCGTTCTCAAATTATCAACACACAAACACGACCATTAATCGATGCTGCATCAATTATTTGTTATTGATCTTTGATTGATTGATCATTGATCGTTGATCATCGATCGTACAGACTCTGCGGTGGACACGAAGGAGCGGGTAGGATCGTCGCGATTGCGGATAACACTACGACGGATTTGAAGGTCGGGGATGCTGTGGGGATGAAATGGCGAGTACCTGCGACTCGCTCGATTGCAGCCGGACATCTGTTCCTCGCCGGACACTTACTTTTTAATGTCCTTACTTATCCGTCTTCGTCTCTCTTCTTTTGTGGAACCCCCGCAGGCTGGCCGACTCGTGCATGCACTGCGCCTACTGCCGTCAAGGCTACGAATCCCTCTGCTCTCAAGCCAAGTTGCACGGGTTCACCCATGATGGGACGTTCCAGCAGTACGCGGTCTCGTATACCAACCACCTGACTAGGATCCCGGATGGTTTGGGGCTGGACGAGGCGGCTCCGGTGCTCTGTGCGGGGGTTACGGTTTATAAGGCTATCAAGCAGTCGGGGGTTAGGGTCGGGCAGTGGATCGCTCTGCGTGAGTGTGGTGGATCTCGGGGTGAAGAACTGTTTGTCTGCTGATGATGGTCATTTTGGTCTTGGGGATTTGACCATAGCCGGGGCGGGAGGAGGACTTGGTCATCTGGCCATCCAATACGCTCAAGCTCAGGGTCTTCGTGTGATCGCTATCGACGTCAGTAGGGCCCCTATCTTTGTCATGTAGCTGAGCCGACGCTAAACTCCAAAGCTTATCGTCGTCCTGTTCCCGCCTTGCGTAGACCGGCGAAGAGAAGAAGAAACTCTGCGAGAAACTCGGAGCGGAAGTCTGGATCGATTTCAAGGAACACGAGGATATCGTCAAGGCGATCAAGTCGGCCACTCCGGATGGACTTGGGCCACATGCGAGCATCGTCACGGCCGCACAGGCGTCCGGGTATGAGCAGGCTTTGGGGTATATCAGGCCGGGTGGGGTCGTCGTCGCCGTGAGTACCTGTACGAGGTCAAAGGGAGACAGAGAAGCTGTGCGCGATGCTGATGGTGGCTTTTCGAGCAGGTCGGGTTGCCTCCCGGAGCGGTGATCAAGAGCGAAGTGTTTAGTCATGTGAGTCTGGGTTCGACCATTGATCGCTCTTCAAGGTTGCGGTTCTGATGAAGGCTTCTCGATCTCGACGACAGGTTTTGTACGAGAAGAAACTCCTCGTTAGCATTGCCAACGGCGTCTCTTGCTCTGTCGGAAGATGGGCTGACAAGATCGTCGCATGCGGCAATGGGACCTTGAATCACAGGGCAGCTACGTTGGGAACCGTCAAGATGCGGATGAAGGTGAGTCTGCATCTGAGGTCATCGTCGCCCTGCCCTCAGCTGACCGGGATCGACCTATATCTTTCGGACGATAAGCCATCCAGCTCGCCGCGCTCGGCAAAGTCAAGTGCGAGTTCGTACTCAAGAAGCTCGAGGACTTGCCCCAGATCTACGAGGATATGCATCAGGGGAGGATGGTGAGTGTCGCTCATGCGGAAGGCGAGGCGTTGAAAGATCGCTGACAAAGGGGTATTGTTGATCACAGGTCGGACGGACCGTTTTGAAGCTGCACTAATTACGCTGTATATCGTTAGGAGGTTCGACTGGTGATCAAAAAGTCCGGGTGGCAAGTCAAGTAAAATCAAACGTTTAAAACAGGGTTGTTGTAATCGAAAAGCACAGAAAATCGCAAGTACGAATGATCGGGAATTTCGCTCGTTCCAGACGTCAATCTTGGGCCGTTTGCATGTGTGTCCGAACATCAGAACCAAACGTCTGCCTTAACTGACCCAGCATAGTGACATGGTCCTCGAGCTGGTCAGAGGTGGAAGATGAAGTTTGCAAAGGTTTTGGTGGCGAGACGTCCAATTGTTGAGCGTGACATCATCCTGCTCGCGCTCGCACAGTAGTAGTGCCAAAGGAAGTTCTCGATCGACCTGAACTTGACATTCTTCTCGATTGTGGACATATCTTTACTCCGACTCCTAATCTTACCCATACAATCTACAAGATACACATATCACTTCATCATACTCACTCCCTTGTTCACACTATACCCCCCCATGTATCACATCGAGGATGAATCTGCGTCACCATTATCGATCGGCAATGTCCGAACGGGATTTTCGATACTTCGAGACGTACTCGGCCAGGGATCAAGCTCTGATCATCGAAGAGGCCAAGGATAGGATACAAGAGGAGAATCTAGCCAGGTTGAAAGAGTCTATCAGGTCGACCCCGATCACCAAGGTGTTAGGGATCGTTTCGCATGTGAGTGCTGCGGGAGCGAGCATGGTTCCCGGTCGTCGTGTTTGTGTGTATGTGTGTTGATGATGGGTGGCCTGCCTCTGATCGTATCTCATTCGCAGCAACTCCGAACACCTCTCAATGCCATCGTAGCCACCATCGATCTGATGCAAGAAGCCGAGCCCGACGGACCAGAAACTATGCGTCCAATCGCTGGAACAAGGCAGCAACAATCTTCAGGCGATGTTGAACCGTCTGCAGGACATTGCCGCCTTGTCACACGGTCAGGGGACGGTGAACATCATGCCGTTTGATATCGTGGCCGTCATCACGGGCGTGGCAGAGTATAGACAGTAACAGACGGGGGTGGATGGGCAGGATACGTCGGTCGTACTGGAGTTGGATCCAAAGTCGCCATTGTTCGAGGGAGATCTCGCCAAGGTGAGTTCACGAGTCCGTGTCGCAAGTAGAGGCTCGCTGGCTGACTCGACTCTGACTTGGCTGGCCAGATTCAACAGATCATGAGTAACCTGGTCACCACGACCATCGCCTCTTCGGCGGAAAAGCAATGTCGGATGAAGGTCGACGTCGTGAGGAACGATGCCGAGGTCGTCATCAGGGTCATCAATCGAGAGCCATTCGAACGCACGTCCAACGCCGCTCCTCGACGGCATCGGGCTGGATTTCTCGGCAGAAGGGTTGTTGAGACTGATGGCGGCGGCAAACATGTCCCAGGGGCTGGTCATCACCCCTAAGGGAATATTTGCGGGGGCTGGGCAGCAAGTTGGAGACGAGCTAGTCAGAGGACGAGGGGGGAAGTTGTCGTTCTCCTTTGACCTGAAGATCCAGGCTAGTAATAACGTGGCGGGCAAGCAGGGGGCGGATAATCAGAGCAATTTCGGGAATTATGTGAGGGATCCTTCCACGGTCAAGGTTCTGCTCGTTGAGGATAATCAGGTCAATATGAGGATCGCCAAGGCCATCTTGAAGAGGTTTGGGTTCGATGCGGCTACTGCGGCGAATGGGCTCGAGGCGATCAGCAAGATGCACGGCGAGGTGTTTGATATCGTCTTTATGTTGCGTCCCGGATGGGTCGTTGTCGTGGGAATGTCATAGCCGCACCTGACGGACGTTCATTGCCTCGACTCGCCAGGACTGCGACATGCCGCTCTGTAACGGCTATGATGCGACCCATCACATCCGCAATAGCATGGAACAGTCCGATCTCATCATCATCGCACTGACCGCCGACTCGACGAACGACGCCAAGAAACGATGTCTCGCCGTGGGTATGAACGACTTTTTCATCAAACCGATTACGACCAAGACGGTCGACGAGATGCTGCACAAGTGGTTGACGACGACGCATAACGATGGAGCGAAAGGGATTGAGAGAAGGGAGACACATCAGGCGGTCGGGTCGTAAAGCAGAGACTATGTGATCCGCGCTGTCGCGGATGTCGCATCGCGTCAGGTTGTAAGACTTGGGTCATGTGCAACGATATAATACCTGTACTCTGCCTAAATGCGAGATCTCGGGTGCTCCTAAGCGATACGGTTTATTACTCTGAGATCGGAAACACATCGTCGTGAGTACCGCTTCTCAACCAATGAGCGTTTTCATCGACTTGGTCCGCCACGACAGATCAAACAGCGATCAGATCAGGTAGACTAGTTTCTCGGCTTGGTAAGCCCCTTTGCCGAGGATAGCCACTCCTTCGTGGGCTTTGTCCAGACCGTGGTTGAATCGAAGCTTCTGAGGCTTGTATCGAGCCGATCCCTGACCCTCTTGCCAGCCTTCCAATAAGGCAGGAAGCTTTTGCGTGACCCACTCAAGCGCTCGGCGGTTGTCCTCGTGCAGTGCAGGGAAGTCGAAACCGTTCGCAAACTTGAACTATAGCGTAAAATGGGTAATCAATGGAGCGATCAAGCCAAGCGTCAGACGAGAGCCGAGACTTACGGGATAGCCGACCATGGTGTAGACCAAGACGAAGCCGACCTCGACGTCGGAACGTCGAGCTTGAAGGCTAGCATCTGCAGGGACAGTCGACATGACCCTGCCACCGTTCGGACCGATGGAATCTACGTTCGTCCGGGATCAGGCAAAAGGGTCAGTCGAACTCGACGATGAGAGCTATAGGGACGACTTGCTGATACAACTCGCCGTCGAACCGTTTGAAGCGGGAGTATCGTAGGCTGCATAGATCCCTTGTTCGCCGGCGGCAGCTTTGATGTCGTCGACCACCGAGGGGCTCCTATAGTCGAAACACTTGTCCGCACCCAGCTCGAGCAGTCTCTGGTGATTGGCCGGGGAAGCGGTGGTGAAGACTCGGTAACCAGAGAGGTGAGCAAGTTGAACAGCGTGGTGTCCCACAGCGGTCGCGCCTGAGTGTCCGCACGCATCAGGCGCTGCGTCGTGCCATTCAAAGTGGACTGACCATCAAGGCGGACGCTTCGGCGATACTCATCTCGTCCGGGACACGACAAACAAGGGCAGCATCGTATACCGTGACTGTACCCAGAATGGCAACGCTCGTCAGCTTGCAAGGCGGTTGGAGCGCTTTGCATGACCATGGACGTCACACTACACGTACTCTCGGCAAAGGTCCCGTTCGACTGGGAGGATGCACCAAAGACCATCCCAGAGACCCTGTCACCGACTTTGACGTGCTTGACGTTGGATCCCACCGCGATGACGGTCCCTGCCCCGTCCGTACCCATTACGGCTGACTTGTCTGCCGCCCAGCCTTCATAGGCATACTGCGGTGAAAGTACGAACGGTCAGATTTACATGTCTGGGGCGTACGATAAATGTCTATGGAGGATTCACCTTGTAGTCCGTGCTGAGTAGACAAATGCGATAGAGGGAAAGATAGAGTCAGACATACGAGTCTCTTGCTGACATTGGGTCGCGCTTGCTCGTCCTTGGCCCGATTCGATGCGCGACTCACGGATTTAGAGCGATGGCTTGGTTTCGGACCACGACGGCGTTGGGCCCGAGATATATAATGTCTGATCTGCTCGCAAAAGGGATTTCTTTGAGCTCCAGAGAGGCGAGTTTGGGGTTGGTCACGACGGCTCGAATAGTCTGAGGGAACTCTGTGGTCATTGTCGTGGGGGTTGTTGAGCTCGGTTGGGTTTGCGTGCGTGTGTATGTGTGTTTGTGAGAAATGGAAGGTAGGCTAGAGAAAAGACTCGGAACGTCAAATACCAGTCGACGAACCGCTCGAGGTATTCATATAGTCTGACATCAGCTCCCTGGTTCTACAGAGCGAGGCTGTACCAGTGTATTTGGCTAAAAAAGCTCGTCATCCCAAACTCTAGACGTTGTAAGGTCTTGGCTTACTAAGCCTGATCTTCGATAAGGTTCCGTCGACAAGCGCGAGCTATAGGCGGGATCCGCACGCAACCCGAGTTACAGGTTTAATTCGTATCGCTTTGATTAGCAAGCACGGAGTGGTGCGGTGACAGCTGTAGGGACAGTGTGGTTAGAGAGGGGGAGAGAGACACACTGAAAGAAAAGAGAGGGATCCAACAGCGAGTTTGGACAAATTATCAAACACCGACCGACCTTTGCTGCGCCTGAGCGAAGTTGCTAGCGAGATGAAACCGAGTTGCAGCCGTCATCGCGCTTATCAATCAACCATCCTCGAATCTGTCTGCGGACGATCTGGGAGGTTTTCATGGGCAACTTTTCGCCCTCGAGATAGGATGTTGGCAGATATAAGGTCACTGGCGCAAATAATCGAATGGGAAATCCGAACAGCGGCAAACGCTCCACATCAATGACATTCGCCATATACACGACATCGCATCTTCCCGCACCAACTGCCGATTACCTACTCGACACTTCACGATCGACCTCATCTTGCATCTATACAATGGTCTACTACCCCGCACGTCCCGCTCCTACCGGTCGTCTCACGCAGACCGTCACGATCGGCCCAAACTCCGACCGACCTCTCACCGTACACCGGATCGCCATGGCCCCGCTGAGCCGTTTTCGAAACGACCCAGACACTCTGGCTCCAACGGACATGGCGGTCGAGTATTACGGTCAGCGTGCGAATAAGGGCGGGTTGATGATCACCGAGTCGACCGTCATCTCGGAAGAGGCTGGAGGTTATCCCAACGCGCCGGGTATCTATTCGGAGGAACAGGTGAGGAGGTTTCGAGGAGATGACAATGGTGTCCATGACGTTCGTGTCTCTTAATGACTCGAACCTGAATTCGCAATTTGGTCTCCTGTTGACCGTCCAGGTCTTTCGATGGCGCAAAATCACCGACGCCGTACACGCCAAAGGCGGTTACATCTGGCTCCAACTCGGGGCCCTCGGACGGGCCAACGGAGGTCATTTCCCTCATATCCCGATCGTCGCACCGTCGCCCAACCCGATCAGAGGTGTTCATCCTGCTACCTTGTCGACGGATACGCCGGATTCGAGGCAGATGGCCGAGGAGGATATCGAACGGTACTTGCGGAGTTATACCAGCGCAGCGGCCAATGCCAAAAGGGCGGGGTTTGATGGAGTAGAGATCCTAGGTGGGAATGGATACTTGATAGATCAGGTAAGTCCCCGGCGACGTCTGTGATAGACGTGAGGCACGCCACGATCTCGCTGACGGGTCCCCTTCGCTGCTTCCTAGTTCACCCAATCCGTCTCGAACAAACGTACCGACAGCTGGGGAGGTCCGGTAGAGAACAGGATCAAGTTTGGATTACGCGCACTCGAGGCGGTGGCCCAGGTGTTTGGACAAGAGAAAGTCGGCATCCGACTCAGTCCTTGGGGGAGGCATCAAGACATGTTGGAGGAAGTGAGTCTTGTCTTGTCCCGGAACGACTGAAACGAGGTCTCGAGGGTTTCGAGATCGAGGAGTCGATCTCTAGAAAGGACCTCCAAGCTGACCAAGTCCTGCCAAAATCGTGTCTCTCTCTCATTCAGGACCCGTATGCGACCTTTGTCCCGTTCGTCAAGGCCATCGTCAAACAACATCCCGAGCTCGGTGTGAGTCTGGACATTCTAGACCTGACGTTTTCTTCCGAGTCTATAGCTTATAAGATTCGCCTTGAATCACTTGCGTTCAACTCGCACTTCGTCTTCCAGTACATCCACCTGGTCGAAGCACAGTCTTCCTGGTCCGGCATGGAAGCTGACAAGAATGTCGGAGAGGGTATCGTAGAGAGCAACGATATCGTGCGTATCATATCCTCCGTTCGAACGAGAACGAGCGACTCCGAGTGCCAAATCTGAGGATTCTGGTTTTTTACGGTGTCGACCCAGTTCCGAGCCATCATACGTCGACAAGACACTTCGGCCTTTACGAGTCCATCGGACTACGCCAGGTCCAGCCCACGCATAGAAAGTCCTTCTGAGGAGAATCCGACGGTGATCCTCTCGGCTTCGGGACATACCCCAGAGGATGTCGCCGAATGGGTCGAGCGCACCGGAGATGTGGCCGTGTTTGGTCGATATTTCAGTCAGTCCGACGAGCTACAGGTTTCCGTGTGAAAGATAAGGCGAAGGTCACTGAGATTCAGACTTGAAATCGGGTGGACTGGTAGTTGCCAACCCGGACTTGCCAGCGAGGGTGTTTGAAGGTCTCCCTGTCAATCATTACGATCGACCTACTTTTTACTCGGCTGGACCGCGAGGGTATACCGACCTGCTGACTTACGCAGAGGAGCAGGAACGACGAGGAGATGGTCGACAGTGATCAATGTGCTATTATGGTGTATGTTCCGATATAGATGCATAGCATGGCGATGTGACGAGTCTGGACAGCTGGAGTGCATCGAGAGTAAGAGTCGAGGTCCATCGATAAGTTACAGCGCGAGGTCGACCTCGAAGGAGGCAGGATCACGCCGACGAGTATGTAAGATACAAGTAACCTCACCACTTGCCAGTATAAAATCGTGCTCACGATTACACAACGATAATAGCAGAGCATTCAGTGCATCTTAGTCGTTATACGTCCTGTACCTCGTAAAAGCCCACGACGGGAACGCAAGCACGATCGCAGCATGAACAAGCTCGCCTCGACCACAATCATCCACGTCAATCGATATGCGACGACCCGTTCAGGTCTGGAACTCTTTGCCAACTTTCATTATTCGCCTCAATGCCGGTCTGAACTTGCGGATGGTGGGCAGAGAGGAGGTGTGATCAGTTATCATCCGGGTGGGATGTTTACTGGGTCGAGGGATATGGACTTCGTGTTTCCTACCGTCAAACGTGAGTCGCAGGTATGTTGGCGATTCTCGCGATGGGGTGCTCGAGGTCTCACTCGTTCAGGGGTTAAAATGTAATAGAGGCTATTCTGGACGACGGCCACATCCTCGTACAACCCGGACACCGTCTGCTCGTCCCCACGTCCGGGCACGAAATCTTGCAGGATATCAGGTCGTTCTTCGATTACCTCGAATCCGATCGATTCCTGGCCGCTCTGCCTGCCGGGGTCAACCCCGATCTGAACAAGGTTCTGGTCTCGGGCTTCTCGGGAGGAGGATATGTCGCTCGACTAGCTGCGATCGAGTTGCACGAGAGGAATCTTCGGTCTGGGCAGGGGAAGTCGAAGCTCGGATGCGTAGGATTGCTTTCGTATTTCGGGATGGGTGGGGATGTCATCAAGAGTCCATGGATACGGGCTGAAGGACCGCAGGGGGACGACAACGACACGGACTCTGAGATCTTTGATACTATAAGCCGGCTATATGCAAGGGGGGAGATTTCGGACTCGCCTTACCCAGCGGAGAAACGCTTGAAAGGGTGGGAGAACGATCTAGAGAGGGAGCCGATTTGGGATTGGTGGAACCGTTGTGGGACACTATCGGATACGTTGTGTGGCACTCGAGGTGAACTAAGAGGAAGTTGGGGGAGATCGGACAGTAAGAAGGCTGAAGAGGTCGTCCCCGAGAAGCATCACGGCTTGTTCCCCCAGATCTACTTTGAAGGACTCGGAATGGGATCGGGGTTCCCGCCGACGATGTTGGTACACGGGACGACGGATGAGCTGGTCCCGTTCGAAGAATCCGTTACGACCAGGGATCAGCTACAGAAGGCGGGTGTCGACGTCGAACTGGTGGCGGTTCCTGGGGTCGACCATTGGTTGCGGTACTCAGGCAAGGAAGAGTCACCGGTCGAGACTGAACAGGCACATGCGAAGGTCGTCGAGTTCATCAGGAGTTAGGGGTTAGGGGTTAGGGGTTAGGGGTTAGGGGTTAGGGGTTAGGGGTTAGGGGTTAGGGGTTAGGGGTTAGGGGTTAGGGGTTAGGGT